CATTTTGCAAAGCGAGTCGCTAATAACTATTACTACTACTACTATTTTATTTCTCTGTTTCGTGACGCTGAAAAGATATCCCTGCGTTTTTCAACCGCTGCATTAAGAGAGTCATCTTATGTTAATCTCGCTGAATTTTCTCTTAGAATTTATCCCGAAATCATAGTAATCATATGGGACAATATGGTATTGGAAGAATTTTATAAGAGTTTCTCTGATTAAAATTTGCCACAATCAAAAATATTAATATGCACATAGCAAATTTTACTTAGTAAAATTAATTTAACATATTTTATATCTTATTGTGATGAATTATTACAATTTTTTATTGTGGTAAATATCATAAAAACTCTTACAAATTTATTCCAATATTGTCCCATATGATTACCATGATTTTCAGGGTAAATTGTAAGAGAAAATTCTCTCTGTGTAGCAACGTTTCCTCCAATTTTTCATAGATAAAAGGAAATAACAAATTTCATTATTTTACAGTTGTTGGCTACCTTTAAAGTTGCATAACTGACGCGATTGTCATCCTTAATTAATTTAAAAAGAAATTTTAAAATTGTTTTAAAGCCCCTATATAATAATTTATGGAACGATATTTTTTCTGTGTAAAATCTTCACAATTATCATGATTTTCAAGATAAATCCTAAGAGAAATGTCTCTGTGCATAAAATATTTAAAAACATTTTTTAATTGCAATGTACACAGATTTCTCGAGAATTTTATGGTCATTTTTTCCTTAAAAAAAAAAAAAAAAAAAAAAAAAAAAAAAAAAGGAACGATATTTTATCAGAGTATCCGGTTAACAACTTGCGCGAAACATTTGCAGCAGACACCCGGAGGGAAAAGTAAAAGGCTTTTAGTGTTTTTCGAACCGACGTGAAACTTGCATTGATCTCGCAATTCTCGACCACGGATTCGCGGTAAAAAATTCGCGGTGTTCGAGAAGAGAAAAAAGGGGACGTGAGTGAACGACTGACTGACTGTCTGAGAGTGAAACACGATTAAATGATCGGGTTACATCAAGAAGACGCGTATCTGTCTCGCTCGAAGTTTCCTGTTGCAAATCGAAGAAACGTTAGAAACGGTATTATCCAAAGCGTATCCGATCCCACGAAAATACACACACACACATACTCAAGCGGGGTCACGCGGAAGTTTATGGAGGGAAATTCGCGAAAATGATCGATTAGCAATTTTCCGGCGAACGAGCGTGGAAAGGAAAGATTTATGGATATAGATTCGTGTCACGGTGAATTGTGTCGGCGTAGAATATATACTATAAGTCGTAATTATGGTCCTACAGACACCGTGTGTCGATCGGGAAAGTCAAAGGGGAAGGAAATCGTCGGCGTTACAGAGACACGTAGACTCCTACAAAACCTATCATTTGCATTCGCTTCTGGAGCTGGAGTTTTGCGGCGATCTGGCACGCATGACTGGACCGCGTCTCTATCTAAGGCACACGCGCGCGTATATATGTACATATAAGCGAAACCGTAATTTCGCAGCGTGTGTTAATAAAACGTCCGTAGGATAATGATCCGGAATCGATCCGTTCATCGTTCGATTATATATCGATACGCGCCGCGATATATTAAAGATTGCTACTAAGAAATGCGTAACAACGCTGCGAACAACATTTCCGAGAGATTCACATCGAATAAAGTGTATTGAGCGAAATACGGAGAGAGAGCCGAGAACCACAACGTGGACTTAAGTCATATTTATAACCGGTATTTTCTCTTATAAGCTGTGCCGGTTGCGCGCGAAATTTTACATAACGAAATATCATTCCGTAAATTATTAATAGAGGCTTTAAAATAATTTAAAAATTAGTTTTTAAATTAATTAAGGACGACAATAGCGTAAGTTGCAACTTTAAAGGCAGTCAATAACTAAAATAACATAAAGATATGAAGAAATTTTTTATTTCCTCACGGAAAGAATTTTCTCTTAGAATTTATATGTACATAGTAAAATTAATCAAACCTATTTTATATCTTATTGTAGTAGATATTAATATTTTTTATTATGGTAAATATTAATCAGAGAAATTCTTATAAAATTCTCCCAATAGCATGGCATATTGTTCCACGGTTACTATGATTTTCAAAGTAAATTTAAGAGAACATTCTCTCTGTGCTTGTATGAAAAATTCTATGAAAAATTGGAGAAAACGTGCTAATTAATATGCTACTGTCACAATAAATAGGCTAAAGCTCAAGATGTTTCTAAGCGCTGTCAAAATTATATAAATAATTGCTCATCTTAATATTGCAACGAGCAAATTATTTTTTTTTCCTAAACTTCGTTCTTTACATAAATCATCCTTTCAGCGTTTCATAAATAAGGTTCAACTAATTAGCAAAAAAAGATGCAAATCGCGTCTTGGACATATATATACGCTTCTAACTTATCGCCCTTCAAACTGCCTTTCACTGTCGACGGGAATTGCTAGATCAATTTATCGACCTCGGATATCGCCACATAGAAAGACGCCGTGTCGTGACACGGTTAAGGAATTATTGGTACTTAGACCTTGCACACATACGGCAACCTCTCGCCTCGCGTGACTCTGCGACGTGCCGGGTTTCGCGAAATAATAGTACGTCAAATATCTTGGCGAACGGCAGTCAAGGCTTCGACGGGTTTTTGCAATTTCATCGATACGAATCACACGAGCGAGCGACTATCTACGAGCTTAATTTAAAATTTGCTCGCGCGAAGATTACAAATATCTCTCAAATTAAAGATACCTTTGAAATATATTTGCAACATAAATAATTAATTAGCGCGTTTCAAAAACTTGTGTAAATTTTATCAAATGATATTCCCTATCGAACGATATTCCCTCTCAAACGATCCGGAAATAAAAATAATTTGCTTAATTAAGAAAAAATTCAGAAGAGGAAAACCAACACACATTTGTTGCAGACTGAATCTTGATACATATAAATTGACAAGTGCAGATAACATCGAGAAAAAGAGGAAAAGGAAAAATTTGAACCGTACGAGGATATATAATGTGCATACTTATTGAGAGTAAATTACAGATGACTGCTTATGAATTTGGATCGAGACTCGCGAACGATAAGCAACACGCAAGCATCTCGCGTCGTGGAAAATAAATCGAAACACGCAACTCACGTACGGTTTGCATAATGTATCTCGATGCATCGATCCGCGATGCGTATGAGAGCGGAATTAATTATTTTGTAAAGCAAAGAGACTTTAACACATAAAAAAAAATATGCGCACAAAAACCTATCATTATGGTAACCATATTTTCTAGGGAAAAATAAAAGACAAATCTGAAAATTTTAGGGCTTCGCTTCAACATGTTTCCAAATCAATTAACGATCAAAGTGGAGATCGACGAGCAAAAAAATAATTCTGTGACTATCAAAAGCCTACGTATTCTTATAGTTTGAACTTTCGACTTTGTTGAAACAAATCCTTGAAGAGGTTTCGTTGTTTTCGTACAAATTCTCATATGTTAATACTACGATATTAGAATACTAAATAATGAAGAACAAAATTTTAAAAATAAATAACAAAATTGAGTTTAAAAAATAAATAAATTTAAAAGACAGCTACTTGAAATAAAGAACTGTCCTCTAAAATAAAGGACAGATGGTCACCGTAGTTATCACATGCAATTATTGAAAAAATGAATTCAAGTCACATAATTGTATGTACGACTTCAATGCTAGTCGCAACAATTATGTAAAAAAAAAATAATCGCTTTCAGATCGGTTTGCTAATAGCAAGTTGAACATCGACGGTTCTCGCTGGTCATGACTAGTAACCACATTGTAGCGAAGACCAAGGACCAAAAGACACTTTCCACGGATGACTTGTCAACTTCGAGACTTACGTAAACGCTTTCCCGGCGTTAAAGTCTCGCCTCTACTAAATATTATCGGATGGTTCCAGTGATTATTACGTTAGTTTCTCTCTCGAGATTGGACTCGATAAGTGGGAAGAGATCTTCGGAAATGCCGAAGGTGCCACGCGCGTTCGCGTGTACACCATAATAACGACACTTCGTGCTGCAAATTATGAATACCGAATCCGACTGCTGTATTCACCTCGAGAACTCTCCCTCTCTCTTGCAGTCTGCATACGCGAAATGAAGATATCAGAGTTAGCCTGGGCTTGCCGTACCTCCTCGCGCGGATCAACCTTTATTATAAGATGCCCTTTAAACTCCAGGCACACGTGAGCAACCGCGCGCATAATTTTGATGCGCAGCTTTGTTCTTGTACAGTCTTTCCCAAAACTGTTTGAGAGAGACAATAAAAGCAAAACGCTCTTACAGACGCAATCATATATATCATTTGCGGGGAAGAGATTAACTCTCCATATATATATGTATATATTGCAACATATTGCACTCGCGCATGGGTTGTTGCTTCAATTACTCTGATCGAGTTTAGCAGAAAGAGGGTAAAATAATGATTGAGAAATTGAATGCAATGCAACAACCTATAGATTGGAGAAAAATATTACTTTGTTAAAGCATGTTTGAAATTTCACAAATTAGAAGTACACGGAGAGAATTTTCTCTTAGAATTTACCCTGAAAATCATGGTAATCGTGAAAGAATTTTAGAGTTTCTCTGATTAATATTTACCACAATCAAAAATATTAATATGTGCATAATAAAATTAATCGAGCATATGTTACATCTTATTATGATAAATATTAATCAAAGAAACTTTTATAAAATTCTTCCAATACCATATTATCCCATAATTACCACGATTTTAGGATAAATTCTGAAAAAATTCTCTCTGCGTATAATCTGACGCACCATTTATGACTTATAATGTTTCATGCACCATTTATAACTTATAATGTTTTAAATATTGAGATTGTGTCAAATTCGGAGGCTGTCGTTGCATCTCAATTCCTCGAGAAATATGACTTCTGCGAGTCATCGGATTCGATTTTGCGATTCCCGGAGAGACAATCTTTGTAAACTTACCATGACTGGTGCACGTGTGCGCCTGTATGTCACCTAATGCCGCAATTGTTGACCGTCAAGCAGGGGCATGTCTACGACGAAGGAGGCACAATCGGAGCGGTGGACGGCGAGAAGAAAACTTGAAATCGCTGTCCCTTACTATTTCTCTGTCTTTTTTTCTCTCTCTCTCTTTCTTTCCTTATTCTCCCGTCTTCTCGTGTCGTTGCACCCTGCACAGTCAACACGAATCACACTATACGTAAACACACATACACAAATGATGGAGAGAGAGACGCGCGCCGCGAAAAAGGCGCCAGCGCACTTACGCGTGCGCCTCCTTCACTCTTTTTTTTACACACACAAATTTTCAAATTACTCTCGATTCGCGCGAAAATTTTCCCGCCTTCCCGAGAGAGAATCTCTCTAAAATAGTGAACGATCTCGAGGGAGATTTACAAAACCGAGGAATTCCCGCGCGACCATCGGTACCATCGGCGGACCGAGAAGAGAAACATCCCCCGAAGGGAAATTATATATTTCGGCGTTCGTCCCCTCTCGAGAAGAACGCGACCGGTTCGCGCGTATTACACGGTTACGCGCCGGTTAGAGGGCGAGAGAAGCGAACGGACGGATTTTCAACCTGGCGGACACAGACTGAGCTCGCGACCGGCAGGTAGGTGAGCCGTTGCCCCTCTCCGATCGTTCGTTCGGTTGCCGCACCACCACCGGTCGCCGCTCACCGTGTTCTCCATTCTCATTTCCCTCGCTTCACTTGCCTCGCCGCTCCTTCTACTTCGTCCGCCTTTCGTCGTACGTATACGTACGCGCGGTCTCCCGCAGAGACGGCTCTACCGTCAGGCGAACTGGGTGAAAGTGCATTCGTCGCGTTACATTATACGTATACGAAGGCATTTCCATGTAATCGCTTGTAAATACTTTCATCGAGATTTTCGCACAGATCCATCGCGTTTGTTTCAAGGTAAAAATACTAGGAAACGATAAATATTATCTCGCCGAATATAAATAAACGATTATTTGTATATAAAACCTCAAAGTCTAACAAAAAAGTATTATTAAATTATAGCGAAGAACAAAAATTTCTTTGAAAATATATTTAAATATATATTTAATATATATAATTCAAATATCTATATTTAATTATATATAATTTAAATATATAATAACAGAGAATTTTAGAAATATAATTATAGAGAAAATATATAATATAGCGAATTTTGTAAAATAAAATCGAATCCTGATTTTTTTACCTTGAACTACGAGAGAGAGATTAACGCATTTACAGAGACTTCATATTTGCAAAGAGTTTTGTATATACAAGGGCTTCATATTAGAGTATTAGACTATAAGACGGCTGTTTAGATTTCAACGGACTTCACACATATATAAAGAGTGCGAATTAAATCTATAACGCTTTCTCATGGAAGCCCTTGTATGTACAATACTCGTTCAATGATATAAAAATTTACAATATTCACAGTAAATACATTTGCCTAGGGCACAGTTATTTCTAGTGCCGCCTCTGTTTACCTCCCCATGATCCTACCGCTTATTAATGCACAAGCGGTAGACCATAGTCATCATACCCTATCGGCGTTAACGAGATTACGTGCTGCATAATTATGCGCTTTTCGATGGATTATTATAGTCAAATTATACGAAAGAACAATTACGTCGTAACAACTTAATATAAAATGATAATTATAAATTTAAGATAAAGCAAAACAGAACTCATCTATTCATTGTAACATGTAATATAACAATGTTTCACCAATAATTTAATGTTTTCAATAATATACTGATAAAAAATTTATAAGCTTATCTGTTCTAGTAACCAAAAATAAATATATGAAATATTATATACTAATAATAACTATTGTATTAGCGACAAACGGGAGGAAAACAAAGGTTTTTATATAAATGTTATGTATATTTAACTATATATAGATATTTTTTAAAGTAATATACCTATAAACAAAATTAATGAGATGCAATAACATTTGACTTTTCCTCTTCTTCTTCTTCTTCCTCTTCCTCTTCTTTTTCAACTGTATTATCCTCAGATATATATTGTTCAAATTCAACTTTAAACATTTCTGTCGATGGCGGAGATGAAATACGAATTCTGTTAAAACACAATTACACAATTATATAATAAATGCATATAAAAAAATACAATTATATAATGTAAACATTCCTAAATATTACCTTGTGATAAAAGGTTCTGGTCGACGTGGCTTTGCTTTATGAACATCCTTAATAATGGCAATGAAATTCTCCTCTAATTTCTTTGTATCCATATCGAGCTATAAAATGATAAATTAATCAATAATCTTTTTTTTTAACCATTTGATAGATTAAACCGTATAATTAACAAGATGTTTATTATAATATGATATGATTATTATATCAAGAACATACCGTTCCAAATGAAATATCAACAGTGCCATAAGATTTTAGGACATCATGTGGTTTTGCCGTATATTTTATTCCAGTTAAAAATTTCGTTACAAGCATATTCATATCAGCACTTAGAGTACCTAATAGAATATAAATCATACAATAAATATTAAAATTTATTTTAGGAATGACCCATACATAAGTTGAATTTCAAACTTTTGCACGCACGCATGATCATATAGATATAAGGAAAATGTGTAAAAACAAAAATTTCAACAGCTTAATTACATATATCTACTAACCTAATTTTGTGCTGGGAAACTTTTTTCTCATGAGTCCTCTAATTAGCAATAGGTCAGGTAAGATGCTTGGCTCTGACAGAATAATATCATAATCTTTTAAAGAAAATTCTCCGCTCTATAATAAAATACATTTAATCAGTTGTTAAAAAGATACATATGATCTTCACACTCTTGTTATATAATAGCATTATATAAATTACAAAAATAGTATATTATTTTACCTGAATCAGTTTTATTAATTTTTTACCACCAGCATACATAGCTCCAGCTGCTTTTGCAACTTCTTGCATTTCAGGAGTCTTGCAAAATGCCAATATTTTTCTACTTTGACTATGATCAAACGAATGTGGCAAACATGCTATTCTTGTAAAAGCATCAACAAATTTTGTCTTTTTTACACCCTGATAACATATATTTACATTTAGCATATATATATTTATTATATTATATATATGTATATATATATGTAATTTATATTATATATATATATATATCTATATATATAAAATAAATCTTATATACACTTATATATGCATTTTTTCCTTTCTTATTACCTGCATATCCAATTCTATAAATGCATTTACAAGTGCATTTGGTACATTGTACATAGTAGGATGATGCGTTTCACGATGACTTTGTATTGCTTCTTCAAATGGATAAATTTTCCATTTATGATATCTCCCAATAAAGACATTATCTATTGGATCTGATCTTTTACTATCGTCTAATATAATTTTCTCCTCCTCAATCTTATTTTTTTTAGCTGCACTAATATTATAAAAAAATACTGAAGTTAATATATAAACAATTAAAATATTCAAAATATATGAAAAATGCTCACATATTTGCTTCTCTTTGATTGTGTGGTATAAAACCGACTTTTTGAATAACCACTTTGACCTTTTTCTTTCTCGCTTTCTCCCTTGTACCTTTTCTAGCAGCATAATTTCGTGCTTGTAAAAAAGCAAGGGGACAAAAATTAAGGCATGTTACATGCCTTATGTATGTTGAAGAAAAATTTAGTAACCAGCCTGCAAAAAAAAGCTACAATTATATACAAAATAAAATGTAATGTTTGATTTATAATTGAATCAAATAAAAAATATAGGTATAGCTTGAGGTTATGTATAACTTTTACAAAAAGACAGATACTTATAGAGATCTCATCATTATTTACGCATTAATAATAAAGAAAATATATTCAATCAATTAATTTGCTACGTATTATTAAAGAAATATTGAAAAAAATATAAAACACGCACCGCTAGCTGCTACCGCCATGATGGTTTGAAGTAGATTGGAGCAGGAATTTTCACACATGACATTTCTTACGTGTATAGGGATTTTTTGGAAGATTCTCTAGAAGTAATTGCACGTGAATACATTTCAAATTTACGAATTCTTTCTTATTTCTAATTATCAGACAAGTTTAATTTAATATATATTTAACAATATATAATTAAAGCGTAAAAAAATTAATAAAATAAAATAAAGATTTTATTGTATGAGAATATTGTATTGTAAATTTATTTTTACATGTATCTTTATATATACATGTACACACACACACACACACACATATATTTGATTTTTACAAATTATATTCTCATCTTTCTTATAAAAAATAACACATTTTTCAAGATTTTATTTTATTAATTTTTGGATTGTTATAATTTCTGTTTATAAATGTGACATTTAGATTGAATCCATTGCTCTTTTTCGATTTGGGATCTAATGGGATTTAAATAATCCCATTAGACATACAATCAAAAAGATATGATATAATTGTGTATGGAATCAAGTCTGGGACTGGGATTACATTATTAAGTAACAGCTCAAACATATAGAACTAACTATTGTAACTACTTGTGATCATAATAAATATATATCTATATTTATTTAGCTTTTTTACTTTTAATTTTTCTCATATAAAATTCCAGTTCTTTACCTTCCAGAATGTACCCATCAGCTCGTCCACACTGACCAGGTCTGCTTGCTATACAAGCTAAATTTGAAATATATCATTAATAATATGAAATAAACCATTACCTTTAGCCACTTTCATCAAACAAGAATACATACATAAATAAATATGATGTAAAATAAAAAAATTTTTATAATCACTCAATCAATATATGACAATGTTCAAAAAACTATTTCAATTTATGTAAAAAAAAGATATTAATTTCGTAATATTATTATTATTGATAAAAACCTATTGCAAAAATAAAAGATTCATACCAAGGACACGTCCCGTTGCAAATTGTTCTTCCAAAGCAGCTTCAACTTTGGCAAATCGCTGTCTAGCTTTGTATTTAGCCTCTGTCTTTTTAGAATGCTTTTTATTCAATACTTCTTCCTCAGCCTCTGTCTACAAAAATAATTATGTAATATTAACTTTATATTATTTAAAGTAGAACGTACCTAAACAGGCCAACTTTTATATTATTTCATTGATCTATTTCATAGATTTATATAAAGTTTCAATAATCACCAGCTTAGTACCCCTTTGCGACCCAGTGGAAGAATATAATGACCCTCGTACCATTGTCTGAATGGTGTGGCATCAATGGTGACAATAGCATTTTTTACTAAAGTTTTAGTTCGCACTAATTCATTGTTTGATGCATTATAAACTACATCAATGATACGAGTTTTTCTGGTACTACACTCAGAACCCCAGGAAAAATTTCCAGTATCCAATCTCAGAGCTCTGTACTTCTTATTACCTCCTCGTGTACGAACCTTATAAACATAAGACAGACATATTAATAACAAAGTTTAGACCACATCAAATATGTTATACTCAAATCAAAGAACTGTGAGAGTAACATTAAAAATGGCACTTAGAATAAAAGTGAATTAATGCCTTGTAATTTCACAAATGTTAATAAAGTATTATAAAAAAAATATTATTCTGCAAATAATCTTAATAATGATAAAATATATATATTTTTGATATAATATTGCTTATAGTAACAAAAATTGATATTTTTTCTTATTTTCAAAATCTTTCATTATTACTCATTTATTTTTAAATTTTATTCACTGCAAAAGTTTAAATTTACAGTATGAATCCGTTGTGGGCCAAGTTTAGTATTCGCAGCTGGACGTCCTAATTCAAACTTCCTCTTCTTACGAATGGGCTTCCTCTTTCCACCAGTAGCTCGTCTCTTATGCCAATGATCCCGAGAAATACCTGTACAATGTAACATTGATATATAATATAAACTTGTTAAAACAATATAAACTTATTAAAATAATATAAACTTGTTAAACAATGTATTAATTTTTCATTAGAAAAAAATTAAATCAAGTAATGCATATTTAAATCATATGAAAACTTTGTTTTTCTATGATTAATTTATTAAACTCTAAGTGAGGCAATCTAAAATATCTACATTTTTCAATAGCATAGAAATTTGTCACAGTTAAAAAATATATATAAATATAAATTTATATAAAAATATATATAAATTTGTGTGTGTTAGACAATTAATTTTTCATTAGAAAAAAATTAAATCAAGTAATGCATATTTAAATCATGAAAAGTATGTTTTTACATAATGAATTTATTAAACTTACGCGAGGCAATCTAAATATTTACATTTTTCAATAGCATGAAATTTGCCGCAGTTAAAAATATATATAAATCACGACAGAAAAAATTGTTCGTTCGAGCCGGTTGGTTTGCCGGAAGTTTTTAAAGATATAAAAACAATATTTATCACATAGCAAATTCGCTAACATGCGCTATTGATCTCTCTTCATAATATTTCGACGAAAAACATGACAAAGTAAATAAATTTCAATATTATTCACGTTTTCTTACCCATTGTGCCTCGTCCATAAAAATCCTTTAATTCCAAAAGACCATAAACTACAAAATCTATATACGTGAAATATACCATATGTTCAGGATCATGAGCGACCAATCACAGTAAAGCATTCTCGGCGTTCTAAAATCCTCGATTCCTATTGGTCGATCAGCTTACTTTGTCAGCTGCTTTCGGATTGGCTATCGGTTAGAGAATTCTAGAGTTTTTCGTAAAACAGCTGATTGGTCGTCGCCAGTTGGCGTCAAAAAAGAAATTCCTGCCTGACATTCGCGGAGACGTCAAAAGCCGCCTTCCCAGACTGCACCGCTTACATTACTGAAATTACGCGCTACAAACTTTGGGGGTGAGAACGATGCGGGAAGCGTTCCACGAATTTTGCTGTTTTTTTCGTCAATCGAAGGACTAGAGCGTGGACTCTCGCGCGCCCCAGGAGGTATCGCGCGATTCTCGAAGAGTATCTCGCCGAGCCGAGGATTCTCTACGCAGGTTTTCACATTTTTTTTGCAGCGCCGTACGGGAACCAGTTGCTGCTGCTCGGGAAACGAAAACGCGGGTGAAAGATCTGACAGTTTTTGCGCCACGCGGCGCCCTTTCTCGCCCGGAAATGTGCGGTATCAACGACGAGGCGAGCCTCGACGCGCCGCGTCGTCCCCGAGACCTAGAGCTCTTCCGCGCACATCAACGGGATGGTGTAACCTCCAATGTTGTCGGATGCGGCTGACTACGTCTCCTCCGCCTCCTTCTGCTTCTGACACGAAGAAACAATTCAGACTGAGATTCGCACGCGGAGGTGTTGCTCCACGTCGAACGTGACGTATTCTTCGACCTGGTGAACTTTAACTCGTCCGCGTGAAAATCCTTCGTCGTCTCCTTTTATTTCTTCGTCTCGCCTGTAATATACTCGCCTGAATTTCTAGGATTTTTCTATGAACTGATTCTTGTGATTTAATTGAATTTCTTCGACGACAAGCAAATATGAATACATTGAGCACCGCGAGTGGCGGTGGCGACAAACGTCTGCCGGAAACGACTGTGCAAACTGTGGCGCAGAACTTGACTACGATGCAGAATGTACAGAGTGTACAGCCAAATGTGCAGAGTGTGGTTCAGAGTGGTATACAAAACATTCAGCCGATTCAGACTATTGTTGGATCGGTGGGAACACCAGGTACTTTAGTGGGCAAATCAGTATCCCTGGATATGAATCCGAAGCTTTCCTTAATGAAGCCTGTGACACCCTCGGGGGCTCCCTCGTCTGTAGAAACCAATAAAATAACTACGGTAATGCCAGTGTCTCCATACTGTATGATAATAAGTATTAGTTGGTTTTTTTTGTATTATATGCAGTAGCAAAATTTATTTTAATTTATTTATTCTGCATTATATGTACAAAGTATCTGGCCAGGTGGGGAATCTACAACAGCTGTTACCGATCCAAAACTATTGCGCAAACATCTTTTTATATAGAGTAAATATGTTTAACAGTGAATATAGATTTAGAGTTGCAGTTGGACTTTTAACAGGTCCTGTGACTCTAAGGACTCATATGTTCAATCTCAGAATTGCAAGATAGAAAAAAATATCAAGAATGAAAAAGAATACACAAGGATGAAAAAGAAGACATGCTTGTGCCTTTGAAATGCAAAAAGTTCAGATCCAGGGATGTTTTTAGAACCTAAGAATCTAGAAAACATGAAGAGGTCATGAACAGCCTACTGGGATTAGAGCTTCATGTCTTGGGTTCGAATCTTGGGTTAATGTCTTAACTTTACTCTTAATCAATGGGGTTCTAATATACCAATTAATAATGCAAATTAAGATCTATATAGATTTATTCACTGCTACTATTATTATTTCAAATAATATATCAGTATATATGTAAATTATGATTTTTATATAATTCTTAATAGATAATAACAATTTTTTTATAATTTATATAGATGTTTTATAGTATATTTTTACAAAAGTGACAAGTATGAAAAGTTATTTGTATAACTCATATATGCACACCTTGTCATATGTATAGTATAATATAAATATATATATATATAATAAGTTTATTAATACCACAATTCTATTGTTTCTATAGTTATGTTCTATAGGACCTACGGTGAAAATAATATCACCAGGAATGTTAAATACTGTGGACAGGCAAAACCAACCGCAGACACAGCCAATGACACAACAAACAGTCAATATGCCAGCCACATACCATGTACCGCGAGGACCTGCAGCGGTTGCTAATATCTCTGCACCTAGATCAACAGTTGCAACTCCTATCGTCAGAGCAAATACAGGACAAACTGTGCCTACTACTAGACCAGGGTATGTATATTGGACCAGAAGACCAGAATTTAAATAAATAGGAATTTTTTAAGATGATAATAACAAAGCAAATAAAATGTAATCAAGGAATGCTTTGATTTAGAGTTAGAGACTGAATCAATCTCTCATTAAAACTCTTTGGAATTAACAAAACAGTGATAAAATTCTAATTGAATCTTTTTATCTTTTAGTAATAAAAATTCATTGGCAAATATATAAAAATATATGCAAAATTATTTTAATAGTCAAATCTATTGAATTCTTATCTGTATCATTTTTTTTCAACAGTAATACACCAATCTCCAATCCCCAATGGCAACCTAAAACATCTGTCGTATACGCGCAAAGTGTACCTCAAAGGCTTCCTGCACCTCCGGTCGGTAGAGTCTCCAGACCATCATCTGCCATATATACGGGACAACAAACACGACTAATCACACCAACCAGTCAGGGAAGATCTGTTCAAGCCATGGTCACTGGTAGTCCGTCCAGATTAATAGCGCCCATCTTGCAAACGAATAATATTACCAGACTTCCAGTTGCACAAAGCAGACCACCGACGCCACAAGTAGTAACTGTATCGCAAACTTCGCAACCCGGAAGATCATCAACGCAAACCATTCAAGTAAATTATATAATTTAGATATATAAAATATGTAAATTATATAATTTAGACATATACATATATACGCACATGTAATATTAAGTAGGATTTTAAACTTTACGTTTATTTTTTTCACTTTTAAAAACTTACAGTTGTCAAACATAAGTTGAACATGAATACGATGCGTTCGATCCGGAAATGAAGGCATACATAAATGGTTGTACAATCTTTTTGGATTGCTAAAAACGAAAAAATGTATAATTAACGTACTTATAAATTCTTCATTATAAATCTCATAAATTCTTTTATTGAAATGTTTAGCCTAGCCAATCCAGCAGACCTCTGACAACATCAGGTACTACAAAGCGTATAACTATACCGGCGCCTATAGATACGGCGAACAGAATCAGCAGCACGACTTCAGTCACTATCGGTGCGGTGGAAACACCAGGACGACAATTGTCGATTAACACAGTAGCTGGACCATCAACCGGTGCTGTTAGTCATATCGTTATTCCTTCGCAACAAGTTAGTCATGTGTGTTTTTTTTAATTATTATAATATAATATGTATATTAAATTGTTTCGAAATTAACAGTAAAATATCAATACAGATTCAACAACAACAAAGTGGACCACGAGTCGTCCAAACTGTCGTCACATCCCTGTCGAGCTTTAGTACAATGTCACAAGTGATCACGACAACCGCGAATACGCAGTCGAACACAATGCGAATACTGCAAACTGTCCCAACGACGGTTGCAAAAATTACAGGGATGTCTTTGCATCCTTTGCCCATAGTACCCGTAAGGGCTGCACCGGCGCCAGTCAAAGCCACTGTTGCACAGCCACAGAACATCGGACAAACCGTCCAGATTAAGCCAGCGCAACCGACTAGCTTACGCGTATCGTCTACCAACAGTGGCACGACTACCAGTTCCGCACAACCAGTTCAAGGACAATATATAACTCCACCGCATACCACTACATATTATTCCTTTGAGACTGGAGGTAAAATTATTATGATTAAAAATTTGCTGACGACCTTTCTATATCTTCTAAATTTCTTTTTCATACCTCTAAAATTTAAAAAAATGCTGAAAAACTATTATACTATTTTACTTTTATTTTTCAGGAACTTATTCGCCATTTCGACAGGGTTCAGTGCAGCCAGTACGATTAGTCGTTGAACCAGGATATGAGGAACCTCACGCGGGTAAACCTAATGCATCTCCCAGACCAAGCATCCTGAGAAAGAGAGATCATGACAATTCACCAGTTAAAGGTAAGATTATATGAACTTGTAGAAAATAACTAAAGCAATATAGTGACATTTATAACAAAGTATTATTATATAAATAATAAAGAATAGGAAAAATATCACTAACAATAAGACATTATTAAAGAATCTTATGTTAAATAATTTTTTTAATATTCTTTTTTATTGATATGTAATGGTAGAAACTAAAGAACTTTTAGTATTGATTTGCAGTAACATTGATTTTTTGTGTATATATCAGCAAAATATTTACATGTACTTAGCTATAAATAATTATGTAGCTGTAAATATTTACAATACTATGATTGTTTATGTATAATATAACTTGATCTTAGTTTACTAAAGTGTTCAAAGTGAAAAGAATACTAACATATCTAGCAAATAAATTTTCTTTACATATTGAAGTATTATTTCATTGCAACTGTAATTAGCATCTTTTTTTAATTCTCTATTCTTGGATATTAGGACAAATAATAATTTTTCTGAAACATAGTGTTTTATTGATTCAATCATGTTTCTTGAATATCAATATATCACAGGTATATATAGATATATAATTGTTTTAATTTTGTATTATTTTAAATCATAATTTTTTTTTAATTATATCAGGTGCGGCTAAAAATTTAAATCCTGTACTAGCATCTCTACCATCAAGTAGATCGATCAGTCCACCATTGTCGCCGAAAGGAGATCTAGATGGTGGTGGATGCCAAAGTTCCGGATCTACGACCGTATCTGCTACATCTTCACCTGGTCTTGACGAGGAACCCGAGCAATCAAGAATTACTATCAATCCTATTGTAGAAATGTCACCGAGAAAAAAGCCTCGCAAACAACAACTTACAGGTGTAGAATTAACTGAACCTAGATGTACAGAGGAAGAGATGCAATTTATTACAGAGGAAAAAATGAAAAAAGATAATAAAGAAGAATCAAGAGAAAAGTTATCTGACAAGAGACAAGTCTCCAGTGTCCAAAGTGACATCAAATCATCTAATCAACAAATGGAACACACAATACGGACACGGCCTGTTCCAAGCTTGATAGGTTTGTAACATTTCATTTTTATACATTCATTTATAGTTTATATTGCCTATAAAACATATATGTGTGTGTGTGTGTGTGTTGATTTCAATTATATATGTATATAAATTTTCTTTCTAATTGAACCTTGCTCGTTTTCAGGTTCTTCTTGGAAAAACAAATGGAGTGTTAGACTACATCATTATAGAAGACCTAGTGATGTTCGACCTCGCGAAGAGAGAAGACCTACAGTTGCTGAACTGGCACAGCAGAAACATGTATTACAGAAACTTAATGGGTGGAAAGTTTATCATCTTACTACGCAAATGGAAGACATTGCAGATCTTGAAAAACAGGTATAATTTTTTTTTTTTTTTTTTAGAATCCTCCAATCTGTATAAAGTAGTAATAAATAATTTCTGCATTACACTGTTTTGCAGGTACATGAAAAGTTAAAAACTACCTTAATGCTACTGGAATCACAGCAAACTGTTAAAAGCAGACACAATGACGGGCTGGAGCGTGTAAATGAATTGATTAAAGGAAACATGCAGCGCAGTAGTTTAATTAGCGAAGGAATGAACGAAGCACGCACGCAGCTTGTCACCATATTTCAACATAAGGGTCCTATCACTGATCTTTTACAACGCTGTGGTAATAAACGGGCTCAGAAAAAAAGGGATAAATAAGCTGTTATATATCGAATATGGAAGATGTTTATAAACTTTCTGAAAGAAAAAAGTTCAAAAGAAATCTATTTTTATCTGTGTCAGATTCTAGATATATATATATATAGGAATATAAATAAATGATTTTATAAGTCTCGAAGACACATGACTTTCACTATGGATAACAATATGTTTATAATTTTATTATATAAATATGTTTTTATTTTAATATAATGCTTCTTACTCCTCTTGCCAAACGTCTTTCTATTCATTTCATTTCTGCCTCTAATTAATTTATGCATTAATATAAAATTGATATCTATTCAGCGATATCATCTCTTAATTCAAATGAGGATTCTCTTCATTTGTACTGTTTGTGATGTTGTCATGGAAATAACAAATCTCATATATATATATAGGGACTATACTTGATGAATAGAAACCTTTGCAATCGTATATAACGATTCTAAAGTACATTTCATCAAAATCAGTGTATAAATCTCTAAAAATATAACATGTGGTGGGGCTATAGCCATCCGCTAGATCTACAAACTGAGGTGACTAAGAGAGAAGACCAAACTTCAGACAATCTTGAAGTATTGATTGTAGGTGCTGGCGATGCACGACACATCATGAGGACATTAGCATCATCTTACTTACATCCTGATCGAAATATCACATATCACGTTATTGAACCGACTTTGGAACAAGTTGCTAGGTCGATACTTTTAATGAGCATTTGTTTAGAAAAAAATCTAGGTATGTACAAGTAGTAATGAGTCTATTTTCAATTCTAAATTAGAAAAAGTGCATTGTATAATTATTGTAATATGAAGGATTGCAGGAGGCAACGCGATACTATCTGGAGATTTTAGGAAATACCCTCTTGAGACCGGCTACAGCTAAATATTTAGCAAAATGTACTAAACAACTGATTGATATTCCATCTCAAACTGTTGACTGTCCATGGTTATCATTGGAAAAATTTAAACATAAAGATAGAGACAATTTAGAATGCATTTTTAAGTAAGTTAATACATATAAGAATATAATATAGCAAAAGAATTAATATTAAATGATAGAAATACTTCATGTATTTTCGAGTATTTATGTAGCATATTTTCTAAGATTTTGGACGCGTGCAACATGCGAAGGAGTCCCTATAATAAACTATTGGGATCACAGAATTAGAAAATCTCTGAAGACGCGATACGATTGCAAAGAAGGTGTCTTTGAGTGGGATTATTATATGGTTTTAAAGTCCAGATGTATTAATAATCTTACGATACAAGAATATAAGTATGTTTTGTATGCGTCTAATGTAAAAGTGAATGCAAATGCTACTTTAATTATATTAAATAATTTTAATATTCGAATTACAAGAAGACATACATGCTTAATAAATTATTATTATTATTAATTAGATTTTGGAGAAATAATGGAGTAGCATTTACATGGCTCGAAGGTGAACCAGCCAGAAGTAATTCGACTCTAATAAATAACATAATACAATATGGATCTGGTTTTGTACATTATGCATATTTAGGAGACATTGTAAATGGTCCCTATTTTACTTGGGCTGCCATCGAAAAAAAAGAGGACAAAAAGTAAGGCCACTTTTCCCCTACAAAAAAAACAATTTTTGATAAAAATTAAGATAATTAAATTAAATATTTAAATTAAGATAATTAAATTAAATATTTTAATTGAAAGATTTAGGGCGACTGATATTGCGGAACGTGAAATAATGCGTGCAATTCATGAGATAAAAGCTAGAGAACCATTGTGCGAAGATTATGTGGGCGCTCATAGAGATGCCTCTATTTTAAATGGTGTTATAATAAATGAGATGCCAGACATCGAAATAGAAAACGAATCATGGACTAATATTGGAGATAAATCAAATAAAGAAAAAATTTCTTGGGTGGAAATACCAAATCACAAAGTGCGTATTATATTACTACTAATACGTTGAAGAATATTGTGTGTTTAAGTTTCATTTTCCCTTTTTTTTTATTTTTTAGATAATCTTTCATCCGGTAACATCGTTGGAGTTCTACAAATCTAAAAGCGAATACGTAAATAGATTTCATCTGATTTGGGTAGCGCACAATATGACAAAGCAGTTGGAAAATTTGATACCATTGGCGTCAACAGGTGCACTGATAATTGTGGAATCGCGTAAATATATAGCAGATCTGCGCAAAGAGGATTTGAAGAACTTTACCGAAGAACTGAAAGAGCTTGCACAAAAAAATGGACTTCGTTTACTCCACGACTTTGATTCCAATGAGCATGTTTTTGCTCGTTTCTGCAAAAATTAAGAAATTAAGCGAAATGAGCTTAATATTTATTGTAAATATATATATATATTTCAAGTTTTTAGTTGAGCAAAAATAAAGGAACTCTAATCGATAAAGTTAAAGAAATGCGGATATATTTGAAAAAGAATATTAATTTTAGATTGAATTGGCAAACTATAAAGATTTTTGCTGGTATTAGGATAGTTTAATCTAATAATAAGTTTCTCTCGATGCGATAAACACAGATTACTTTTATCATATTATTTATGAATTATGTGAAAATATTTAATATATTTTATTGCATTTTTTAAAATTTATGGTATTATTTGACATGTTTGAAGATGTAATTTATTTTATTTTATGAAAATAATATATAAAAGAAACCACGAAGAATGTTTTTTATTGTTTTATTAAATACTATATATTATATATATATATATATATATATATACACATATATATATATACACAATATATATCTTATGGTACATTATATATATTATGGTATTATATACATTATATTTTTTATTATTGTATTACATATATAATACAATTATATATTATATATATATATATATATATATATATATATATATTACATAATATTATATATTATACATAATCTTCCTTTCTATGTAATATATAATCAATAATAATTATTTCAACCAAATATACAAAGTATACAATTGTTTGTAATATTTGTTAAATATAATTAATATTGTACTTTATACTCTTGTACTGGCAAGTTCTTTAGTTATTTCAGATATTATTTTCTGATCTTTGTTTTCCTCTTCTTCTGCTGCTGTTTCTTCTTCTTCTTCAGATTCACTTTGTGGTAAGTCAGAAAGTGCTAATGATAAGAACAGATATGATAATATTAAAAAAAAGATATTAAATATAAAGCACAGTTACAGAAAGAAAAGAGAGTACTCTTACCACATCTATTTATTTTCTCCTGTATGGCATCCTCTATAAACTTCTCTTGCACTGCTATCATTTCTTTCTTGTTTGTGCAATGAGCATACTTTTCCAATAGTTCGCTATTCACTTCTAAGAATGAGTGTCCCCATCGAAATTCTTCAAGATAGAGCTTAGCCTCATCTCGGAATCCGGTTATAATTAAAGTAGCTGCTATAGCTTCAACGCAACTCAATTGACAAGGCTGTCCATAGCATGTTGGATTGGTAGCAACCAGAAACGGCAATATACGAGAATGAGACATTTTCATTTTATGAAAGGGAATATTGCCTTTACGCGACCAACTACAATCCACCACTGCACAACCATACTTTTGCACTATCTCACGATCCATCGGTGTTACATACTGTAATAAAATATTTCAATGTTGCGTTTGCAACGAGAGACCGTGGTTCTTTTTCAGTTCATTAACTACCTCTTTAGCATGTGGAGTAAGACACAAGCCAGGAAACAGAGTACCTAATTGCAATATTTTCATCAAGTTACGTTTCACCAACTTCTTGCCAGTACATTTTCTAGGATCGCAGTCTTTCAAATCCCACATAGCCACGTGAAAGGGTAACGGCCATTCGTCTATCGGTTCTGCAAATTCAAATACAATCTGCCGACAATTGTTATAACAAGATGAGTGAAATTCATCTAACCTGTTTCTTCATTTTCCTTGTCCGATCCTTCCGATTCCCTGTCCCTCTTTTGATGGTACATCTGCTCCTTGCCGAGAACATGTCGGGGTCTTCTTTGTAATAATTTACTCTTATCCTTCTTTCTACGTCCTGACATTTCTTCGGTTACTTTACGTATTATTTTCCACTGTGCACTTGACGTGACCCAACCAAGAAGTAGAAGACTCAAGACCCAACTTCGTGTCTAACCTTACCTGACATTATTTTGTTACGTGACATATCAGCTGTTAGAGTTCAGCGTCAGAAGACGTCACGCGACTAAAAATAAAAATATATCAATTTGTCATTGTTTTCATTGCTTTTTCCTCTTTTAATCTCCAATCTCTTTAAACAGATATCTATCTTATTTTATTCTGGTCAGCTGAAAACAAATTTATCGTGTCTGAGTAGTGGTGGGCAATGTTAAAAAAAAGCATTGATTCGGAAATAATCGATGCAAAATAAAATCGATGTTTCAAAATCGATATTTTGCCAAATAAATCGATTTTAATCGATTCTTTTTATCGGGACAATGCGCGCCTAATTTAAATAGCTGCAACTAAAAGAAAAAAAAACCGGCAAAAAATTAATAAAAAATTAAGTTAAGTATTATTTTGCTTTTATTAATATCCCTATTTTGTATTATTTTACTTTTTATTTATGTATATACAAAATTGAGCATGGAATATTGATGTTCCTGGTAATGGTTTGAATGCTGTATGATTTATAATTTTATCTTGTTTCTCTTATGATTCCAGAGTTGTATCTGCCTCTTTCAAATACATACCTATACAAAGAAAATATTTATTAGTTCTATGTTCATAAAAAAAAGATAACCGAATAAAAATAGTACAATGAGAGTAAAGGTAGAAGCTTGAGAAACAGGTTATAATTATTAAAAACCCAAGAAATTTGATATACTATGCTATATTATTAATTCCTGTAAACATATTACACATCTTGTACATAATTTTATGTACAGTAAGAACACATGCTTCTTATTTCGCGAAGTGAAGGAAACATCGATGTTATTTTTAATAATTGATTGTTACTCGATGTATCGATCAGCAAAAACATCAATTAAAATAATCGATGTTGTAATAAAAGCATCGATTTTCTAAACATCGAGTGAACATTGCCCACCACTAGTCTGAAGACTAAAGATTCGAAAGAATTTGACAAAAATAGCACATTAAAAACATTTTATTAAATATATTGAATAATTTTTATAAAGATAAAAAACATCCTTAATATAAAAATAAAAAAATCGTTGATGTTATTTATTAGCTGTACCACCGACGAGGTACTATCAGTGGCTGTACGCATTTTATGTATATCACGCAAAATGCGAAGCGATAAATAAAAACCCGCCATTTCCCATCTCCCTCAATTTTGAAAGTCACGTGGTTACGTTTTACGTTTAGCAATGCCGGGTAACGAGTTCGTGTGTTGACGCTTGTGTATCCCCCGAAGAAAAATGCCGAAGGAATTGAGTCGATCTTGTCGACTAAGGTCGATTAATGATTTGACTAATGACTTTATTGTTAATCCTCTCACCTTTCGTGCAAATGTGTTACGTTATTTCGGTAAACTATCAGATTTTCCGATTTTGTGGTTAGACGATTTATTACGCACAATTTTTGCGCAGCTTGTATATAAATGTATATTTACATTTACATTTTCCAACAGATTTTGCGTATACATTAATTTATCGAAATATTAATATCTCGAACTCAATCTCATATTTTTTTATTTATCTATTTTTATGCATGAAACTTGCATGCAGGAGATAAAATGAGTTATTGTTGAAAATTTATATTTACCTTATTTTTTATTTAACTATATAGTTATAGACACAGTATAATATATCCAATAATTTTGAATCTGAATAAATTAAAATAAATTCAAGGCACTCTGATAATCTTCTCTTATATGTTCTATAGTTAAATTTTATATTTTTATGACTTTATCAGTGATATCTTTTAATTAATGTCGAGCAAAGACATTTTTACATTATAATACAATATATTATTTCAATTATGCAACAATTTAATCCTTCAAAAATAATACACTTTGTGTCAATTATGTATACTTGTTTTTAAAACTAAAAAATTGGATTTGTATGAAAAAATTACATACAAGAATAAGAACAATAAAAAGTAATTTTTATTTTATTACATCTTTAAGGTTCTTTGGATATAAATTTTTGCATCTCATAAGAGAATTTCTCATATTCATATACACATTGCATATATATATATATATATATATATAAATATTTTCTTTTACATAAATTATATGAATTAATAAAGTAAACTTATGTGTAGATAATGAACTAATTGAAAAAAATGCTAAATTGGTTTGCAAGTACTATTTTATACAAAAGAAAGAACATTTTTGTATATTGAAAGTACGGACATCATAACTAATATAAGTTTTATGCACATTGTATGAATTTCAGTTATATATAATAAACTATTAATATAACAAGAGTAAATTTTATTAAAATGTGAATTGTAAATTAAAAGTCATTGAAAATGATATTAAAGATACTTGTAACACTTAAAGTAACTGTTTCTGAATATATAGACACTATTTTATATAATTTCTATTTGTTTATAGAATCAATTGACGAAGATGATGTGGCAAGCAATAAATTATTCCCCAGGTCTGTTCAGTCAAGTTCAATTAAGAGGTTTGTAGAAAATCGTTTGCCTCAAAGAAGAAATTTTCAACAAAAAAAAGAGTATAATAAAAAAGTTCAAATTAAAAGAGTGCAGAATCTGTATAATGAATTCAGTTGGTATAGAATCAATGTAAGTGATTTTTCTTACATAATACACGTCATATATATTAAGATTTAAGATACATTTTTTAATAAACGTCTAATGTTTCTTATATATTGTAGATATCATATGGCCATAAATATGAAAAAGAATATATTATAAAATCAATATTAAACTACATAGCACCTGAAGTATTTGTTGCAATAATGGTAAATAATTTTTTTCTGATTTATATTTTATTCAACATTTATGTAATTGATCTATACATGTTTATTGGTATAATATATTGATGATATAAAAATTCTCACATGATACAATGTGATATAATTTGATATAGCTCTGCAATAAATGACAAAAAATATTAAATTATATAAATAGCAATATGATATTATTTTAAGATTTTTAATCTTATTGCAGTTATATCAAACTAAAATTTCAAAAGTGAGAAATTATATGAATTAAAAAACGTTTTATCAATTTATATTTAAAAATTAAAAGTTATGTTTGCAAAAAATTAATTTATGTGATTTTTCTTTTAATTTTATAATTAAAAATGGCTGCAATAAGAGCGGAAAACATTAAATTACATATAATAATAGATATATTTATGATTAAAATTCTGAATTTATTTGTAGTATAAGAGAACAGAGAACGGAATTACTTTCTTTGTCGACGATTACAAAACGGCACATGTATTGTCAAATTGTAATCGCAAGATCGCAATGAGAGATGGCTTTATACTACAAATGTACATAAGACAAGAATATCCACGTTATGAGATAAGTGATAAATATAAAGAAAGAGTCAAACAAACCATATTCAAGAGATATGTGCAAGAGACAAATGCTTTGGATTTGTCACAATTTCATCTAGATCCTGGTTAGAATAATAGAATTAAAAAATCATGAAAAAAACACAGAGAGAATTTGTCGTTATATTTTACTGCAAAATTTACTATAAATTTTATCATGTTTTGTAATAAACTGAAAATTATCATGCATAAATTTATCATTAAGCTGGATTGAAAATATTACGCTGCATTGTAAAATTTATATAAAATATTTATATGTTTATCACTTTCTATTCTATTTAAATCACTTAAAGAGAATCATAAGTTTTTAATAATTTTAAAATTGAAATTTTACTATATTTTTTAGTAAAATTATAGACGAGGTACTATCTCATCAGTGGTAAAATCAAACATTTTATATCTCATTGTGATAGAATATTAATATTTTTTATTGTGGTAAATATTAATCGGAGAAACTTATAAAATTCTTTCAATTAACATATTATCCCACAATTACCATGAATTTCAAGATAAATTCTAAGAGAAAATTCTCTCCATGTAATAATACTAAATTTAAAGATGTATTATTAATTAAAATGCAAAAATAATACTGAAGATTTTTTTTATAATTTATGTATATGTATCTTACAGATCTTGTTGATGATTATTTCTGTGCATTATGTCACCCTGTAATATTATTTACCGTGTTAAATATCGTGGGCGAATATATACCAACATTGGAATTCTTAAACTTGGAAAGTAATAAGCTACAAAACATTGATAGACTCGTAATACTAAATAAAAAATTTTCAAACTTGAAAATTTTGTACATCAGCGATAACAAAGTGAGTATAGCCAAATTATATATCATTCAGTTTTATCATTTATATTTTTATTTATATTTTTGCATATACAGATAAAAGACATATATGAGTTGGAAGCTATTAAAAATCTAAAACTGGAAGAACTGAAATTAGCTGGAAATCCTGTTTGTAACAATTATGAATTTCAACAAAGTGAATACATTTGGTAAATATATTATTTCAGTATAATTTTTTTTGTTTTGTTAAGAAACGTCGCAAATAATTTCTAATATTCATTATCTCATAAGAGTAGTTATTACATTCACCCTTCTACTATTTAAAATTTAAAATTTTTAAATAGTTTAATTCTAGTAAATAGCAATTTTTCAGTTATTATTAAATTAAAAGTATGAAAAGTTACTGAATGCATGTTTTTTTAATATAATTTAATTTAATATAACATACAATTTAATTTAATTTAATATAATTTCTAAACATCAATCTTATACAAGGAATCTATTTTACATTTAGTAAAAGACGTTTTATTACATAATTGATTTATTTAATATTTTATATTACATTGCGCGCGCGTTAAATTTTTTTCTATATTATTTTATAATAAGAAACATATATTTATTATTATACAATTAGCATAGAACTTATGCAGACTTTTCTATCTTGACTTTATAGTGATATCCAGAAATGGTTCCCAAAGCTACTACGTTTGGTGAGTATCTTACATATTCTTTGTTATACAGAATCTGGTAATGTATCATCATCTCTTGAATGCAAGTAGAACGGGTTAAATCGAGTTAAACAGGTGATTATTACCAGACATCCTGTATAAGCACATATTTGAATTTATGTATCTTTTTTGATACGGCTTAAGTTTATGTTACATTGTTTAAAAGGATGACAAGGAATTACCACGACCAATTGAATTTGATGTGATTGAAGCTGCTAAAATACCACAATCACAAAGGATACTTTTTACTGATACAAAAGTGCAACAAATTGCGTGCCATTTTTTACAACAGTATTTTACTATATTGGATAGTGAGAATCGTCAACTTCTACTTGATGCGTACGAAAAAGAGGCACGTTTTAGCATGACAATAAACAATTCCCATGCTAACAAGTAAGTGGTTGTGCAGTTTTCACAATTGTCTCATAAGTATTGTTTCTGTTTTAAGTATTATTATAATATATTTTTAGTATTTTGATTATCATCTAATTAATGCTCATAAAGTAAAATTTTTGCAGATTAATTAAGTATCTCATAAATAGCCGGAATTTATTTAGAATATATGACACAACCAGAAGACAGCAGTTATTAAAGTATGGTAGATTACCTATTGTTTCTTTTATATCACAGTTGCCACAAACAAGGCATCTTTTAGATACTTTTACTATGGATGTTGTTCTTGTGGCAGTAAGTTTGTTATATTAAATGATTTAAATTACATAATGATGATTTGTACATTAAATATTGCACAATATAGATTTATATTGATAATTTATTTCTTGTTTATAATTAAAAAATTGTGTTTATAACTTGTTTTATAATAATTTATTTCCTTCACAGCAAACAATGATGTTTATCACAATAACGGGTTATTTTCAAGAACTTAATGATAAGGAACAATTCATCCGTCATTTTAATCGAACATTCATAATTGTTCAGGAAGGTGCTGGATATTGTATTCGCAATGAACAATTGCATATTAATTACCCAACTGAGGCACAATTGAAGGAATTGAGCCAGCAAATGCAGCCAAAGACGCCGGAGCCCATCGAAACAGTACAGAAGCCTATAGCTCCAGTATTAACCGAAGATATGAGACAAATGATAGCGACATTGAGTCAACAAACAAACATGAATCTGAATTGGAGCTTAAAGTGCTTGCAAGAGATGGAGTGGAACTATGATAATGCACTCACTGCGTTTCAAAACTTCTTCAAATGCGGGCAAATACCGTCAGAAGCATTTACAAAATGTACATGAGTAAAATAATTCGTCATTATGATTTTTGCAAAACACAGAACTTTGTATCGTACTTTTCACGTTTTTTTACATTTTTAACGTACACATTTTTTTTTTACATTTTGCATTAAAACTTGAAGAAACAGATATTTTTAAAAATTATGCAATTTAATTATTATAGAATCCGTCTTATTTCAATTTACATTAACAGAAATGCTTATAAAAAGAAGTTTGTTATAAATTACTAATAGGAACTAAGGACTTTTTATGTTGCGATTTTTCTGAATTTTTAATAAACTTCTAACAATTTATACTATTCAGTAGCATCAATAAAAGTATTACAACATTATAAATTTTCAATAAAATTATTTACAAAATAGTTTTCTATTTGAAAACTCTTCTGTTTAAATTTAAAAGAAAGTTTATAATAAATTTTTAATATGTATGATGAAGTCATTTCTAATAAAATGGCAGTAACTGATAATATTTTAAAAACAAAATCTATATATATTTTTAATTGATGCCATTGTACTGATAAGTGAATATACTACTATGAAAATATAACAGCTGTTAAGTAAACACAGATTAATGTGTCATGATAAAAAAAATAAGTCGGATTCCAATATATTTTGATCAATATGGGAAAATACTAAATTATTTTGTTATAGATTACTTTCTCTAACTAAATCTTCAAGTTTTGATATATAATATAAAAATTTATTTAAACAATTAAAGTTGTTTACATTAAATACAGGGTATAGATTATAAGTAAAAATATTGTTAATTTTCTGTTAAAATACCAAATTCGTGTAGAGTATAATAACTACACAGTATTAATCATACCAAAGTATTTTTTATAAAATTAAAAGAGAAGTTAAACACTAGTTCTATTAATCGCTCTCGCGTCATACGCTTTTAGATGTTAAGAACATACATTATAATTTTTAATTTATTTCGATTAATCTTTTCGACTTATGTGAAGAATGAGTGAAAGAAAAAATTGAGTTTTATACTCAGGGTCTTTATGTTGGTATGTTAATGTTTTACACACATACGTACAGAGATGATAGATACGATATATCGTAGAAAATTTATATTTTTTAATTAAACTTGCGAATAAGATGCAAGAAAAAAGATAAAGGAAAATTAGAATATATATATGAAGGATTAAAGAAAAATTATATATAAAAACCTTTATATGATATACAGGATTTTATATTTTATAAAATCTTGTATATACTATTTATAAGATTACTAAACCTATAAGTAACTGAAACGAATTCCATTTGTACTTGAAAGATTTCTAAAATTTTCTAAAATCACTGTGATAATTAGAATATTATAGTTAACATAAAAAATTTATATCGAAAAGATTAAATTGATATAGTTCCTAAATGTATACAGTTCCTTTATATATTATTTTCTTAAAAGAAATTTTTTAAATAATATATATTGTTCTCATACTAATAACGTACTAGATTCTTTATTACTTTTGTAGATAAGTCAAATTTATTTGTATACATATTTAAGTATAATTAAATATAATTAATATTTAAGTTAAGTATGTTTTATAATTATAAGCAGTTGCTTAGATAGGATATTTATTTTTCTCTCTTATTTTTTCAAAATTTATAGAACTAAAAGTTTATGCAATTCTCTTCAAGAGATGAAATATGCATATATCAAATAATTTCTTGAAATTGTCATAACATCCAGTTTTGTATATTACAAAATTCAAAAGAAATGTTTGCCCACTGAGAAAATGGCTTATGTTACACATCAATACACAACAATGAAATAATAATGAGAAAAAGAAAGATACAGCAAGAAGATATTTTAAATTCCAATTAAGTTTCAATAAAAAATCTACAATACGAAATGTAACAGCCCAGATAGCACAAGCTATTCGAAAAGAATTCATTTGTATGTCACCAATTTTGAGTCCCTTTTCAAATTTTGTAAAATGAATTCTATATGTATTTGAAAAGGAACTCAAAATTGGGGACAAACAAATGAATTCTTTTCGAATAGCTTGTGCTATCTGGGAGTTGATTGTGCAGTAAACAATATCACAATATTTTCACATTATCTATCTCTTGAAATAAGAGATCTCACATTCTTCAAAAAATGTAGGTGTATTGTCGAAACATTTAAATCATATATATATCCTTATTAATGACAATTTGTTTGGCATTGTAATTATAATATCATATGTCTGTAAATGTTAAAAAGAGAAGAAAAGTAATTTATATACATTTATATTCACATTTATATGCTAAATTGTGACATTATAGTGACTAAATACTCATTGTCAATGTCATAGTTTAATAGGAAAAGCAATATATGTGTGAGTACTCTAATATCTGAATATCTTTTTATGTTCTCATATATATATATATATATATATATATGAAAAAGTTAATTAATATAGATACTTTAATTTATAAAATTAAGTAAAGATAGAAAATAATATCCATTTATATTATAAATGTTACATAAATAGATTACATTATTCTTGTTCCTCAGAGAAAAACAATGTAAATATATATACATGTATCACTCGAATCATTAATATTATATATATATGTATATATATAGATATATACACATATATATAAATTAATAAGAGTGATGCAAATGAGTAATTAATTATGTAATGTATATAGAGATATGCGTTGTATAATTAATAAAATTAATTGATTAGTTAACACATTTTTTTATAAAATATATATTTACATTGTGTTAATTTTAAATATTAAAAAAAGATTTCTTTTTGTATAAGCAAAGTACTGTGATTATATATTAATAAAAAGAACATTGCCCATATAAAACTGTAACACTATATCAATATTTTTGAAAAAATTAAGAAAGATGAGAAAGTAATTAAAAACTAAAACAAATCAATCTAAATAGCACTAAATAAAAAATATCAAATAATATATAGTTTCTAAAAAAAAAAAAAGAAAAAAGGCATATGTTGTTTACATAATGTTTAGTCGGTAAAATAGTTACAAACAGTTCACCTGTCAAAAAGCTCTAAAATCGTCTGATTTGATTACCTCTTCATGTAGTATATTCTTCTAATAACATGCCTCTTCGTCGGACATGTTCACCGTATCATCTCGTCCGAAGTAATAGCAGAACATATGTTGTACAGAGGTGTGTATTAGGGGAACATAACATATTATAGAAGAGGTTATAAAAACATGATAATATAATATCAAATATTGCAAATTGCAGATTGCAGAATAAGCTGCTCTGTCTAACCTATGTATCCTAATTAAGTACGATTTTCCTCTTTGTTTTGTGAAAAAATAAAGGAGAAAATTTTCTAATAAAAAAGAATGTGAAGAAGATAGTCATAGAACATATATATATTGAAAGCATGTGAGTAATTTAAGTTTGAAAGAATTTTAAAACATTTTTTGGTTAATTGAAATTTATCTCAATTTGTTAAAGATTGTAATTAAAATTATTTTAGAGCGAGAGAGAGAGACATTTTAGAATATATAATTATTTAAAATGGAAGATGTAAAAAAAACGACGGAACACGATTTATATTTGGCAGAAGATGATGATTCTTTACACATTGCTTCAAAGTGTTGGGAACGGGTTATGGATGCTGCTGCCAAGGTATAAATATATACAATACATGGAAATTTTGACAAGTCAGCATCAAGATTATAAGCATGGTTTGATGCTTATGTGTCTGTGCATCTCGCAGTATTCTTTTATATTTAATAATTATATTTTCAGACTGGTTACAGAGAAGGAATACAGAATGGAGCGGACTCTGTTCTACAAGAAGGATTTGAGATAGGTTTTAAAGATGGTTTTGAGACAGCTTTTACATTGGGAAGATATAAAAGTCTGGCTACCAGTTTACCATCTACTGTAAAACATCCTGCAGACGTAACAACGGTTCTCGATAAAACTAGACGAGGCGCATGCTGGGTATGCAGTATGGAATCGCAAAATAAAACTTCAAATGAGAATATTCAATTTTCTGAAATCCTAAGTAATCAGAGAACACATTCTGCAGCAGTAATAAATAGGCTAAAGGAATACTTTGAACCAATCTTAAATAAACCTGGAAGTAAGACTAATTTAACTCTTTAAAGTAGACATATTTTAGTATTTGTAACACAAATAATGTTAGTTGAATAAAAAAAATTATTTAAGTAAATTACATAATACTTTTACAAACGTCTCACTGTAACCATTAATTTCCTTATATAAATTTTTATTAAGATGTTTGAGTAATTATGTGATTCAATCATACAGCAAATTATTAATAACGAATATTTTTATAAATATAATCCTTCAGGAGAACCTTCTTTCTTTCGATATAGTACGCTTTCTTTAGATTTCTTGAAATCGTCGCTAGTTACTTTCATACGACGTTCACGTAAAGCCATTAAACCAGCTTCGGTACATATTGCCTAAAAATACACATTTTAAATCAATAAAAAAATAATGGAAAACATACAAAAAAAAAAGTACAATGTAATTTTTATGTAATGTCATACCTTGATATCTGCACCAGAAAGATCATCTTTTGCCATAATTAACTCTGCAAGATTTACATCAGGTGCCAAAGTCATTCTACTTGTGTGAATATTGAAAATTCTTCTTTTGGTCTTTTCATCTGGTAGAGGGAATTCTATTTTTCTATCGATACGACCGGGTCTGATTAAAGCAGGATCTAAGGTCTCTATTCTGTTGGTAGCCATAACCACTTTTACATCGCCTCTGCTATCAAAACCTGATGTAATAAAAAAAGTTCTATTTAATATTAAATCCATATTACAAGAGATATTTTTATATATTTTACACTAGAAATTAACATACCATCAAGTTGATTAAGTAATTCCAACATTGTTCTCTGAATCTCTCTTTCACCACCGCTATTGCTATCATATCTCTTTGTTCCTACTGCATCTATCTCATCTATAAAAACAATAGAGGGAGCATGCTCTTCAGCAACTCTGAAGAGTTCTCTCACAAGCTTTGGGCCATCACCCAGATATTTCTGTATAAGTTCAGAACCAACAACTCTTAAAAATGTAGCTGATGTTTGATTAGCTACAGCCTTGGCAAGCAATGTCTTCCCTGTTCCAGGTGGTCCATAAAGTATCACACCCTTCGGAGGCTTAATACCCATTTCTTCATAATACTCTGGATGGGTTAATGGTAATTCTACAGATTCTTTAATCTCCTGAATTTGAGTATCAAGACCTGAAAATAACAAAACATTCATGAATTATATCCTTTGATATTTTCATATTTTAACTTGTTTCAAAAATTTTTTTTTCAAAAATTTATGATTAAATATTACATTTGTTTACATTACTTTAATATATTTTTTAAAATAGGTTTTTTCTTTTTTAAATGTTAAATTAAGTTTCTACTAAAAAAATTGAATTCAAAATTTCTTTATATTGTTTTTAAAAGCTTCTAATTAAAAATTAACAATTTTAATAACAAAATATTAGAGAGAGTTAGATTTATAAATATAGATAAATGTAAATATACCTCCAATATCAGTATAGGTCTCTTGAGGAGCCTTTTCAAGCTTCATCACTGTAACCATAGGATCTGTATCATCTCCTAACACACCAACAACAGCATGAACCTTATGATTTAGCAACACAGAACAACCAGGTTCCAATTGGTCTTTATCCACAAATGACAAGATGGATACATAATGCTCGGAGCCAACTGAAGTGGACACTATTGCATGATTGTCATCTATTATTTCTTCCAATGTTCCAACAGACATTGGTGTTCCACGAAGATCGTCCACTTTCGATCTTTCCTCCTCGTTTTTCTCTTCTTGCGGCTTCAAGCGTTCCTGATTCCTGATGAACTCTTCCTCCATCAATAGGTAATCCTTTATGCGTTCCAGCTTCAATAGTTTCAGTCTACAACGTGTGTGAGGAGTCACTTGAGGCAGTTTTAAAGCTGCATCTGGCCCTTTAGTACGTCTCTTCTTTTTACCCACTCTCGTGGGAATTGGTGGTTCATATTTCTTCTTCTTATCTTTGTCATCCTTCTTGTCCCCTCCACTACCACCAGTACCGGATTGGTTTTGACCCTGTTTATAATTTTTACATTACATTTATCATATTTTAAAATAGTACAATTCTGTGTATATATTAATAAAAAATATATTTATAAAATATAAACAATAAATTGAGAAAAATTAATCAAATATTCTTTCGAATAATTTTTTTATACTAACTATATTGCAAATAAATCTTAATTCGTTATACGACGAGAAATATTTGTTTCATGTTGTTTTATACAAATTTAACTAATTTATTATATACAAGCTTCTTTTATATAAAAATTTGAAGTAAGATAAACTAACATTTGAAAGAAAGTTAACCTAGAAAATGCATAAAGTAGTATAAATGCAAAAATATTAAACATTAACAGCAGTAATTAATTTTCGTTGTGCTAAATAACAAAAACACTGCTTTATAACAATAAATTATAATAATTTTTCTTCTTAATCTTGACAGACTTACCATTTTCTGTCAACGCTTGGCCGTTCTTCGAAAGGGCGAAGTCATTCGCCAGGATTCGATTCTACATTATCGATATAACATCGATTCTCCCACCATCTTTACCTATCGATACCAAATCTCGATTGCGAGTAAAATAAATTCACAGAAAGAGAAGCCTTCTCTCTAGTTTTCGCCTAATAAAGATTTTCAAATAATTATTCTGATATTAACTACAAAAATAGAATAGAATAAATATGTAAAATAGATTTAATTTCCAAGGGATACAAGTACAATTAATTAAAAAATACCCTTTTCCTTCGCTTTTCTGAAATTTTATTTTAAAATGATTCTCTGATATACTAAAGAATTTAAAGAAATTTAATTAATTTAAAAATTTTGATTTTATTTTATTTTTTGATGTATAATATAGCTGTATATTATTTATCATTAGCAGTGTGTGTTCAAAAATTTTTTGTCACTATATTGAAAAGATACAAAATTCCAGATTTAATCAGCGTGCTTTATATGCGTTTCGTCGTTAATACACAGAATCTAAATAATATACAACGTATTTTACAACGGGGCTAAATCCGCACAATCTTCATAATTCATTGAAGATAGACAAAATGTAGACACAGAGTGATAAGAACGGTATATCGACAAGGCACGTTGTTATCAATACAACGTATCTTAAATTCGCGCGAGTTTTCGCCTCGAATGTTTAACGATATTTCGAAAAATTCATACAGAATTCGGCAGTGTCCGTTAACATATATATTAAATATTAACGTCTCGTTAAATGCCCCACACTATGCAAAACACGTCTATCACGTTGATTCATTTTGTCGATCAAAACAATTTTGATTTATACAAGAATGACTAATATCCTGCTTTCCTTCGAGTGCAGAAGTTCCCGATAAACAGATCTCAAGATACTCGAGATAAAAAGTACAAGTGCAAACAATAATATATCACTTTCGCATTTTTTAAAGACCTACTAAATCGCGTTATGTATATTATATAATATACTCATGGTCGCAATTTAACAATGCTATACATTTAGATTGGTGAGGCTTTATTTTAGTTTTGAGATCTACATCTAATAAAGTATTTTCTAGCTCGACTTCCGTCCCTCTGCGCTCACATCCGCCAAATCAAGCACGATATGCACAAAGGGAATAAAAATATGGTATCGCAACGTTTCGTGCGTAAAACACGATCACCGATTATACAATCACATTGATCGTATAAAAAAAAATCCAATAACAAAAATCGTTCAATATAGCCGGATTAACATAAGTACAAAGTAAGAGAGACTTATTATATTTTTACTGTAAGGGTTCAAAATTACAGACAGGACTAGCATGCTTATCGTTATTCATGACTGCACTCGCCACGTTATCCCACGTTTAGCTTATAGAGATTGATAGATTCAAAATGAAATGTCGAAACGCGTTTTTTTCCTGAACTCTCCAAAAGTTTCCGAAACAGGAAAGAAACTCCCTGCCAAGAATTTTTACGGATTGTTGCGTCGCGTTTTTTTTTTGTTTATTCACGATGATTATAAAAATCGTCGACACACGCATTAATACGCGCGACAAATGTGTATTACAAGTTTATTAAAGGCCAGCCAGGATAATCCTAGGATCTTCTATGGCGTCTTTGATCTTTCTTAGGAACATTACAGCTTCGCGTCCATCGATCAGTCGATGATCGTATGTCAAAGCTACGTACATCATTGGTCTAATGACAACCTGAAAATATAAAGCGCTAGTTAGTTTACAGACAGTAGAGCGAAATTGGCGAATTCAGGATGTCTCAATTTTGTACAAAAGTTCTCTGAGAATCCCCTAATAAATTAAATATAAAACAAAAAATAATTTATTATAAACGTCTCAAGCAATATTAATTTATTTAAATTAATTATTCATTAAAATATTCTTTATTTGATTATTTATTAAATAAGGAGTACTAATTTATTTAAATATTATCTATTAAATAATTGAACAATTTTCTACGTTTATAATGTAAGATCTTGATATTAAAAATAGTCAATAAAAAAAAGATCACATAAAACTTAAATATTGTCAAAATATGTTGGACATATGTTTCTTGTGTGCTAATAAAAAATAATAAAATAAACAAAAAGAATTTTTTAAAAAATTTCCTGAATCAAATTCCATGAGAATTGCTTGATTTCTTAAAATTGAACGAAATTCCATAGGAAATTCCCAAAGTTTTTCCCGAGATTTTAATAATATACATCCTGGGATCTTAATAAAGATTTTGCTGAACTTTACCTCTCCCTTAACGGCGATCGGTCTATCGAAGACGCCATGCATGCCGAGAATTGCACTTTGCGGCGGATTAATAATGGGAGTTCCTAACAGGGAGCCAAAAACACCACCATTGCTTATCGTGAAAGTGCCGCCGTCCATGTCTTCGACGGTGATCTTTCCTTTCCTGGCTTTTTCACCTAGGGCGGCCAAGGCAATCTCGATTTCGGCGAAATTCTTATTCTCCACACTGCGTAGCACCGGCACGACGAGTCCCTTCGGCGTTGCAACCGCTACGCTAATGTCTACGTAATCTCTATATACTATATCGGTGCCGTCTATTACGGCGTTTACCACGGGTTGATCCTTCAGAGCGTAAGCACTAGCAGCAACAAACGGACTCATAAATCCAAGTTTGATGCCGTACTTTTTCGTGAATGCTTCCTGATGCGATTTTCGAAACTCGATAATGCGACTGCAAAATAATAATACGCGTTATTATCAATTAATAATAAAAATATAAAACACATATGCTAAACATCTCATGAAAGATCTTCAAAATTATCAAAAATGTGACCTCATAATGCAATGGAATTACCTCATATCAACTTCATTGAAAGTGGTCAACATGGCATTCGTGTTTTGCGCGTCCTTCAGACGTTCTGCGATACGCAGACGCATTCTGTTCATCTTCACCCGTTGCTCTGTCCTGGTGCCGATTATCTCGCGAGTATAATCAGTGGGAGGTAGTTGAACTTTTGCGCCTTCCAGTGACTAAAAATACACACCGTTCTCGTTAATACTCATAATACTTCCAAAAAGCTACTGATAATTATTTATCATTGACATTTACCTGCGCGTGTTTGATGGCCGCGACCGGCATCGTCGTTTTAGGGGCTTGTGGAGGCGGTGGTCTAGCAGCGGGTGGCGGAATCGGCGCCGCCGCGGGTTCCGATGGCGGAGAAGGAGGTGCTGCTGCTTTGGGTGAAGGTGGTGGCGGCGGTGGAGGTGGAGGTGCAGCCGCAGCAGGCTTCGGTGCTTCTGCCGCGGACGGAGCAGCTCCACCGGTCGCACCGACGTCGATGGTACATAACTTCTGCCCTGGCTTTACCGTATCGCCGTCATTAACGAAGAGCTCTTTTATGACACCAGGTCCGGGCGATGGAACGGGAACCGAAGTCTACGAATGAGATTAAATCAATTATATAAAATTCTTAAAATACCGCGACTGTATTTTTTACTTTACTTGAGATAAGCGTCTGCAGAAGAGAGGGTATTTGCCCCCGTTAAAATAAAAACAATCAAGTATTTGCTCTCTTTTTGAATAAACACTAAAAATTATTTGCATATTTAATTAAAAAAAGAAAAATTAAAAAATTAAATTTAACAAATTAAGAAAGAACGAAAAATAACAAACAATAAAAATTTTAATCATGCCCTTCCTCCTGGAAAAAATCTGTGAACTTATGTGAGATCTGTGCTGTACCTTGTCCGTTTCGATTTCGCAAAGAACATCGTCTTCCTTGACCTGGTCGCCGACCTTCTTCTCCCATCTCACGTCGCCCTCGCTTACACTTTCGGCAAACGCAGGGACTATAACTTCCCTGATCTCCCCTGTATTTTTTAGATAACACAAAAGATAGATTAATTCAAGTTTCTTGTGTGTAATCTTTCAGAAATATAATTGAGATTTAAAATATAAATATACTTACATAATGCTGAAGTTGAACGTATATGTCTCGCTTGATTTACCCAATAACAGTTTGCCTTATATTTTCTACATCTACAGGCAAAAGAACACTTTATAATCTTTCCTATTTTATCTCTGTTCCATGTTCGAAGAATCAAAAGCAATTATCGCAGCATCAAAAAACTAAGATTTCCAGACATGTGCGTAGAATGTTATTAAACTTCTATATCAACAGTATATTTGAACAGCAAAAAATACATATGTATAGATGCAAAATAATATATAAAATGTTACTTACAATAAAGTTTTGACATTGGGTGCATGTTCTGCATGGATAACTACACTGCGCCCTGTGTAAAAATAATTTTACATAGTTAATAGTTTCCTGTTGCGTAAAAGACTTCTTTCGATGTTATTTCTTTTTCCTTTTTATAGTTCCTACTCTCAGAATCTTCGTTATACTTTCATCTAATCTCCATTAAGTCTCCAATTAACCTTACCTTGACTATACAATGCTCTTGTGATCTGGAAAAAAAAAGGGATTTGGTTTAGTTAGTCATTTCAACGTTGTTACATGACACGATTCAGTTAAAAGCCACGGGTTCAGTCAGAAAAACAGATTGATCTTATGAAATATTCTCTGACACACGGCCGGAGATAAAAATAGTCATTGTTCTATTACAAGAGAAAGAGAGAGAGCGGACTATCGGTCTCGCGGTTTTTTTTTTTACGATCGAGATGATTAATACCGCGATATCCAGGTATTCTAGCACCGATCTCGTGACTAAAGAGACTCCTCGGAGAGAGGTTTAAATTGACAGAACGTGACGCGTGACGAGTCGCGAAGGTGTCGACGAAGCGATATGTATTATGTATGTATATTATTATGTAATCTTCGTCGCGGCGAGAGGAAAAGATTGAAGGTGCTGTCTCGCGCGAAAAACGAAACGAAGTTACTCTTTCGACAATTTAATCTCCGAGAGAGCGATATAAAAATAATAGAGCTGTCGATCGCGTATGACGAGAAGAGAGAAAGAGAGAGAGAGAGAGAAGGAGAGGGCGGGAAAGAGCCGGAACATCGTCCGCGCGTAAATAAATCTTACCCTTGTCCGTAACACGCTACTCCGCGTGATTACGCGAGGCGCGAAACGTGAACAGTTGGACAGCATCGCGGCCATCCTGCGAAAATGAAAATGTACGCTCCGAACGTCAACTCGCGCGACTGGCGGCCAGAAACGATGGCGCACACTACACCACCGGAGCCGACAAGGTTGGAAGAAGGATAAGAAAGAAGGGAGGATAAGAGGATAAGAGAGAGAGAGAGAGAGAGAGAGGGTTGACTTAGATGCCTGATGACATCTGTCAAGAAAGAACGGTACTATATTTGTTTTATATCGGTAAAATACTTACAAACATCAATATAATTTACCTGTCAAAAAAAGAGGCGAAGAAGCGATTTCAGAGCTTTTTGAAAGATTAATTTATGAAAGTTATACTTAATCCCCATAGATGAATTATTGAAAAATAATAATTAGAATAATAATAATAATTAGAAAATTATGAAATCATATAGAATTATATTAACAATTCTTGGAACTGCGCATTTTTTGCGACAATCTCTGTTGACGTTTCTTTTTGCGCAGAATGAAATAAATGCAAACGTATATATTCTAGTTTTTTAAAAGAAAAAATAAAATGTAGCAAGTTTTTTAAAAGAAAAAATAATAAATAAAAAAAAATAAAATAAAAATTGCAGTTTTTACAAAAAAATGCAAAATTTAAAGAAAAATGACACCGAAAATAAAATTTAAATTTAAAAGAAACAATAAAATGCAGAAAGCTGAAAGATAAATCTAATTTGTATATATATGTAATAGGAAAATTAAAACTGATATAATTTCATTGAATTCAATAACATTGTATTAAAAATTTATACATCTATAACTCTATGTAATGTTTAGTAGAAATATGTGCATACAATAATAATCTATCATAAAAATAAGATAGTTCAGAGTTTACAGTTCTCTTGCAGATATTATTTTTTCACAATATTTTCTTTGTATCTTTGGCGAATCGTGTTGCTTATCCATGTAGATAATTTTTTATTGTAAGTCTCTTCAGAAATGCATACAACAGACATTGCAAACACAGTCAGTTTTGCATGTTCAATAAATTCTGTTGTAATTTGTTCTGGTATCTTTTGAAATTTTGTATCCAGACATGGATATCCAATGATATAAACATAATCAAATGGTTGGACTTCTTTACCTAATAAACCACTGTCTGTCTCCAACCACCACTTATTCTCCAAGATCTATTATTAAAAACAATTATTGTATTATATACAAGATTACAACAAATAATTTTTCAGTAATATGCTTTTCTATCATATTTAGCTTAAATAATTAATAATAATTAAATATAAATTTTCTTAATAATCAATATAATAATAACTAACATGCACAAGACAGTTCACTATATACATGAAAACTAGTAATTGATGACTTTCAATCATATACATATAATTTTTAAACATGAAAACTAGTAATTTGATGACTTTCAATCATCTATATACATATAATTCTCAAACTTACAGCTATATTTTGTAAAGACGTATTACATGGATAGGAGAACCTTGGACGTGTCTCAGGAAATTTCTTTGGACAATTTTTGATTACTGTTTCCTTTAAATTTTCTGCTTGGTCCCTATATTTTTGATCAATTCCATGTCGTTGTTGCAATGAAAATAGATATTGTTCTAATTTATAATTAATCTCCACCACTCCTGTGCCATCCTCAACTGCAAAAGATTGGAAAAGTTTAGATATAGCTTCTTGTATATTATTAAATCTATTATTTATTTCTTGCCTTACTTGTTAGAAATAAATGATTGACATTGCGCTTAACATTCGTAACGATTCCAACTAGCTCAATTTTACGTACTTTAATATAAGGCATATTGAATGGATGAAAATGTACATAACGGCCTTCTTTATAAGGTACTAATCTGTATAATTCCATAATGAGCATTGGTGTATTTAATGTCATTTGTGAACCTAAAATTATAAATTTATATATTGCTATTTATACAATATAAACCTTATATAACTACATAAATATTTATATATATTATATCCTTACCAGAACTGGCATTAATACCAGGCCATTCTTTTTTTGACGAGAGGGATTTTTGATAATCATCATATTCCTCTTTACTGAAGGCAACAATGCCATTTGCTAATTTTTTATCAGACATTTTTCTAAAATAACTATATAATTACGCGAATTCAACATTCCAATTTAACCTCTCTCAAGATGATAAATATAAAAACTATATTTTTTTATCATAATATTATGGATTAAATCACCAGTTATTCTGTAAAAAAAAAAAACATTTCTCGATGAAGCAATTAACAAAGTAATTTAAAAGATCTAGTATACAGAAAGACTCCCGCTAATTTTATACAGGAGTTTGCGCAGATTTAAGCAAATTTGTCATTTATTAAACCAATATTAGATTCTAACACATACTAATATTTTTATCGAGCTGTTTAATATTACAAAAATTGTCAATCTCAAATGTCAAATTTGTATATCTATTTTTTTATCTGCTTTTATTTTGCTTGCACTCTGCACTTGAAAAGAGAGACGAACGTATATCTATTCGGTCGTTGAAGAGAGAGAAGAAGCGAAGAAAAGAGTAAATAATCCAGTCCTATTCAAACTCTGAATCATGAAGCACGAATATTTAGACACGACATGCTCGATCGAAAATATTTTCCTACGCGATCGACTGACCAATCGGAGCAAAGGAATCTTCGTCCTGATTGGTTATCCGAAAGATGGGATGGATTTTTCGAACTCATTCATTCGGTGCAGATTTATTATCTTTAGGAACACATGTGACGTTTATGCGTAACCGCTTCGTAAAATATTTGAACGTGATCTAACCGTATCCCTTTGTTGTGGGACAGTTTTGTTGTGTCTCGTGAGATCCAGAGAGAGAGAAACGTAAATGATTATATGTCAAATGTTTTAAGTATCTTCTATATGGATCATTAAGATACGTGATGCCTTCTCAGGATAGTAAACGTACCCTGGAAGTCTTGCAAAAAACTTACGAGCAACTCCAGCGTTATTATATTCTATTACGGCTGATCAGGAGAGATCTTGAAAGGATAGCAAATAATTTCGACGCTATAAACAGTGGGGAGTAAGTAATATTTAGATATGTATGTAAATATTATATATACAAATAACATGTCTTATTTTTAGAATGAAAATATTTTTATTTTATTATAAAGCTACAAAAATGGAGCATAATTTTTTAGCAATAACGTCATAAAAAACTATCTGTTTAATGATTATAGTATTGAGCTAATATCATTAGGAGATAAAAATTATCATGATTTAATACATGTTTAACACACATGTTGAATGAATTTTGCATCGCTTGCCACTTATCAATAACTTTTGCTATGTAAAATATATAGTGATAAGATATATAGAATAATTTTCTATGTCATTATAAAAATAAAATATATTTATCTTTATTGCAATGGCATTTAGTAGATTATTAAGTTAAAGTTATTCAAAAATTTAAATGTATTATAATTTGTTGTACAAACATGTTAATTGACTTGTCATCAATTATGATTAAAATTCATAGCGTTTAATATATTAGTTAGTGTATATATAAGATATAATTTATAAATGATATTCCAGTTTGATATACATGTGCGAGATTGTTATCGACTGGTAGTATAAACTTTCAATCGGAATTTAAAAAGAAAATATATGCTATAAGAATAGCTGATAATATTTTGCTTTTATTAAAATTAATGTGTAAAATAATTGTGGTTTTTTTTCCAGGATTGCAAAATCGATTTGAAGAGCAACACATAAAATATTAGTCTATAAAGTTATAGATTTTATGTAACAACATAAGCCTTCTATGTCCATAATGAATAAGAGCCATTCTGTGATTCAGCAGAATTCAACGACTTCATCACCATTACGAAGAAAGTCTGTTGCTTTTCAAAATACACCAAGTGTTCTCTCGGAAAATGACGATGAAGCGGAACGTATCGCACGTCGACGTGAGATTCCCACATCGTCGCCGTTAGCTATCGCTAATTCCAATACCAGAAGACACTCTCTTGGTCTGGGATTCTTAGCGAATATCCCGGCGCCGCAAATGGCTGAGAGCATAACTCAGTGCATAAAGCTCAGTGCCGAGAACAAGATCAACATTAAAAATGCGTTTAGTTTAGCAATGATCGATTTTATGACATATATGGTAAAGAAACAGGACTCCAATATGTCAAATCTGCAAGTGGCTAGCACATCTTTGGATGTAAGCACGAAAATCTATGGATTCCGCGTAGATAGCGTGCATACTCAAATACTTAAGATAGTAGGCGGATTGGATAAGCAAGCGATCGATGATAAGGAGCGAAACGAAGAGGAATATGAAAAAGACGTGGAAAACGCGGATATTAATGCATTGGAGAAAAGGAAGAAAAAGAAGAAGAAAGCCAGGCAGAAGATTTTTAGCACTGTAGAGGCTTTAAAAAGCAACATCGAAATCACAAAACCCATATTGATGATGATAGGCGAGGGAGATTTACAGACCACTGATATGCTGTATCAGGCGACGTTACCGCATCATGCAAATTCCGGCTTTTATCAGCATTTATATAAAGATGTGCTAGTTGACGTTCTAGAGGACAAATCGGAATCGCAAATTGGTGCTAAAGACAATACACCATTGATTGATGACTTCTCAAATCTCGAGGTTTGCGCTTCATATTCGAATTTCGAGTTTCTCGGTTGGTCCATGGAAGATGAACCGAAAGAGATGGATCTGGCCGAGGAACACGATCAGGATCTTAATCAGAGTAATCGGTTCCAGTTCGATCTAGATGCGAGCGTGGAAGTTGATAACAATCCATTGCCTGAACCAATGAACTATTTCGACTTCCAGCAGGATAACGATAATAATCACGAATGTCGTCAGGAGGCAATAAATCGACGTGAAGAAAATATCGTGGACGTGCGCGACGTTCCGATAGCAGCGACGAACACGTTCGAATATTCCTTCGTCCAGCCGAACATGAATTTGCATTGGGCCGGACCGTCTCATTGGAAATTTCGAAATTTCGCAAAACCTTCCGCTGACGTCGCCGTTGGCACCAAGGTGGTTGGAGCTTGCAAGCAGGCTCCACTGCGAAAAAGAAGACAGATCAAACTGTTGTACGATGAGAATTTCGATGTGATTAATACAAAGTTTGCGTCCAGCCACACCAACAAGCTACAAGCCAGGACCGCGAAGACAGAATGGAACACCGAGGACTTAATATTACCGGAAGACGTGCATTATGATGTTGCACAGATGATTAAGCTATACCTGATTCCAAAACTCAGTTTAAAGCCGTCAAACGATGGAAAGCAGGATGGTGTCAACGCGGTGGCCGCCGTAGATCTGTTGGACAACGAGAGATACGATTACGACAATCCAAACGACACGTTAGAATATTGTCCCGATGCGAATACCGATGCGAATGATTATGATGATGGAGACGATGGTAGGAACAATTGTAACTTCGAAGACGATGCCACTGCATTAGCTACCCAAAACTTTATTGGCAACAATCTGGTCGCCGCGCCAAAACTAGCTAATAAAATATCTATCGAATACTGCTTGAAGGCGAAGAAGATCGACATGCGACAATTGAAAAAATCCATATGGAGGATATGTACGGATAACGTTGAGCCAACGAATGTTAACGAGATGGAGAACGCTGAAATGAAAATGAAGGAGAGTAAAAAGTTCAGTAATGTGTACAAAGCGCTACCAAAATTATTAACGAAAAGTAATGTCGAGGCGTTAAGTGTACCAATTTCTTTTATATCTTTATTACATCTTGCGAATGAGAAAACGTTAAAGCTCATTTCGTCACCGGACTTATCCGATATTACCGTTGAGGGAGGTTAAACGGCTAAAAAATTAAAATTTTTATCATATAATACGAGAAATTTGACTTCTATTCTATATATATGTATAATAAAAATTTTAATGCTATTTTTGTATATTAATATAAAAATGCTATTCTAATATACTGATACAAAAAAGTGCTCCAAAAATATTTTATGAATAAACTATTTTTTTGAAAAATATTTCGAACAATGTCATGTTTGCTTTAATTGTGTGAATATACATATTATACTATGTAAAAATGACGCATGACTCATGAACAGGTTCCCTATATGTTTCTTTTATTTTAAATTAAATTTTAATATTAAATTAAAATTAGATTTCATTTCTTATTTTAATTTTTATTAGAAATTAATTTTAAAATAAATATTTTCTCAAAAAATATTTTATTCAAATATAGATTTAATAATATATCCATTTAATTCATTCGGCTGTTTATATGACAAAATTTTTAATTCAAAAGTAAAGGCATTACGCGGAAGTATTTCTGATAAATATAATTAAAAATGCTCGTTACAAGTACTTTAAAAGCAATAGTTCAACCAATAATTATGTAAACATATATATATATATATATATATTTAAATAAAGTTTATTTTGAAGCATTTGCACAACACCATTCTACACATCTGCTTATTGTAAGTAAAATAATTCTGATCATAGGATCGCTTTATATATGTATATCTTACAGAGACCAGTTCGTTGAATTAATGTACACAGTGTGAGCTGCCAGAATTTTCTCAAATCGAGCTTATTACACATTTAATGTTGCGCTCAAACTGCGATTTTGGTCATAATTCTCTCTTTAGTGACTAGGTTAGTATATTTTAAGTCATGCAGTAAATTTAAGTTTTTCGCTAATAATAAAACAGCAAATATCAAAAAAACGTCTCGTCGCTATATACGGAAATTTACACAAACGACGTATCGATTCGTGTAAATGCAATAGCATCCGCTTTGGCAGTATAATTTTTATATAATTTCTCCTTTTTTTTCTTACATATCATATCGTAACTTAGGTCTTTTTGTTTAGTAATCCACATTATATTGTTATAGCTAAACGAATATGTATGCGCACAAACTCACGCGATAAATAATTGTATATAAATATAGAATCTTTTTTTTTTCAAAACGAACATACAGAATGTGAAAGTTCAAATATGTTATATCTCTGTATTGCTTCGACTATGACACCCTGTATAGGCGACGACAGGACTCTGCGATTTATTCTGCGGTCGCAATTGATAATGACGATTACATTTTGTACTTTGTAAGTTACCTAATGTACATCTTCATCACAACATCCAGACGACTGTTGAACTATATCCTCTTGAAACTCACGATAGCGATATCGTTCTACGATCAGAGAAAAGATCTCTGGGATCTTTCTATAATAACTTGGCCGAAAATTGCGAATACATTGTTACACTTCACGTTACTGCATCGTAAAATAATGCTACAGAAAAAGGATATGGAAAGAATACAATACATAAGAATATTGCACAAAAATAGTAAAATGTATACAATCTGATAAAATAAAAGTCGACGCGCGCAATGATTATAAATAGCGCGATATATAATCCACCGTTGGACGTTATACGAAAATTTACATTGCTTATAATAAATCTAAATGTAAATTCAAAATGCAATAGAGCTGCAAATAGCACCAAAAACACGTTCGTCTAGGAAATAGATGTTCTCCGTTGCATCGATAAGTACGCATCGTATTTTAAACACGCGCTTACTTACGATATAACGGCTTTTATTATTCATATCCCGTGTGCACTGTTGGAAAAATGATTCTGTAACGGACCGAGGAAGAAAATATTCTTCAAATAGATTGTCTTCATTGATATTTTATAGGAAAAATAATCAATTTTAAAAAATGTTTTTATAATTCGCACGAAAATGCAACTACGAGAAAATTAAAATTCTATTTTAATTGGAATTGAGCTTGTTCCAAATAACACTTCGTGTCAAAATGGAGAATGTCTTTTCGCGCGTAAAACGTCAAATATATATAATATGTGCTTCGAAATACATTTTGTTAGCATAACAAATATTGTTTAAATCAATAAAGACAGGTCCCAGATAGCAAGAGTACGTCATTAGACGTCATTTTGACGTCTAACGATGTATCTTTGCTATTTGGGGTATTATCAATCGATTATTCACTGATATTATCAGCGAAAAATCAGTGGAGCTCAAGGAGTGCTACCGCAAAATCACACGTAGTCGTTTATTCGCTTCGAACACCGAAAGCTTGTCAGCGTAAATCGATAAAATCCTTATGCGATTTTCTTGAACAGACGCGCGTGACTTTTTTCTTACCGCAAACAACGTTATACGACTAGTACCTATTTTCTACAACCGTAACTCGAAGGATAATGGAAAAATCTTCCCTTATCATTCTTAAAATGCGTATCCACGCCATAGGAATCTCAAAGCAAAGAAAAGCAGATCGGGAATCTTGTACACCGAGAAGATTCCATTGACCAGAAAGTACCAATCACTCGATCAAGATACAAAATGAGTCCGACAAAATGGAAATTGATACTGGAAAATATTACTTATGTAACCACAGAGAGAGGAGAGAGAGTTTAGAATCGATTTTCCCTTGACAATATCTGAGTGAATCACTAATTAAAAAACAAATAAACTTTAAAAGATAACGATTTGTACATTGAATAACGTTTGTATTTTTCTGACTCTGGGCGGCTTATCAGTTCTTTAAATATTCATGAATCAGACAACAGTAGGCCTCCAGTTGAAGATATTTGTTAAAGCAGAATCGATATCGAACTTCTCGAAAAAAATCTATTCCTAATATCGATCTCTATCTTTCGGACTCATATAGCGTATACATATTGAGAGTATCTCGAATTAAATATATTTTTCAGAAGATAACATTAGAATCTCTCTTCCTCTCAACATTCGCAATAGCGGGTTATATCATCGCTTCCGCTCTTTCTCTACATGTACACTCTACATACATTCCGAGCATTCTTACAATACAATCGTATCGCGAAAGCTTTCACAGCGAGAAGAATTTTAGGAAAGTCTGCGGAGGAATCGGTACGTGGAGGGACGCTTGATCGACATCCGCCAGTTTCTCTTGAAACGCCGGATCCTGATCCGCGATACAAGGATGACCAAGCGACCGCCAAAACAAACAACGACAATTGCGACATAACTGTATCATTTCGGCGTACTCCTCCCGCAATCCGAACGACCTAGACAAAACAGGTGAAATGTATACAAGATTGACCAACATAAACTTCTAGATTACTGAATTGATAGCAATCATCAGCTTGTAGAAGATATTTATGTATTAATGATAGAAGATATGTATGTATTAACCTTCGGGCAATAGTGAATATAGTCTTCCAGTCTTTTCCAGGGTTGTTTTGCGTGGTGGTAGCAATCTGCTGCGGCGTGAAATGATACTGGGCGAGCTCGCGCCAGATTCTTTGTTCCTGCGCCAAAACAGCGAGGTGCTCACAGGCCTCGGACGAGGCTTCGATATCTCGCGGATCGCTCAGACGTAAGAGGACTTCTCGTCGACATTCGGGCGGCAGGTCCGACCACTGAGGTTGTTGTTGCTCGTCCGGCTGCAACGGCTCATTCGTTACGATCCTGAATCGTTCCTCGTAAGTGTTCATTCCGTCAACTTTTCAATACCTGAGTGATGGTAATAGATGAGGCGATCTGCAAGATTCTCTCTAAAGCTGCCTTATGTTTTTCCCATAGGAGAACGGAACCCAGAGGTCTGCCGCCCCAACAGCAACCGGCACTGAAGGCTCGGACTCTCTCTATGAGGCGCCGCAGTCTTCCCGTCTGTTGTTGCGACAGTGACACTGCAAATAATTAGATCAAAGGTCAGTTTAGCATGAATAGAACTATCTGAACCGTCCTATCTTTTTCGGAAAAAATGTATCTGCGGAATCGCTAAACAATTTCTCGCGATGGATTCATATGAAAACGAACTAATTAAATTCTTTTACCTTCCAGAGCTACTTCTTCGAGCATGTTAAAGAGCACTCTCTGGGCACATCCACTGAGACCGCCCATCCTATGACTAACCAGAAGATCCAGGAGACGGACGATGTAATTAAATCGACGGCAATCGTGTACGGCGGACAGGAAATCCAGCCTCTTCAAGGCATCACTCAGGCCATTGAAGCCGGCGATCTGTAAATTTAGGTATGGATAACGAACCCGCTCACTATGACATCTAAGTATAGGAGATGCAAGAGCTGTCGACAGTTTGTTACTGGTAATGTCTCTTTTGTCTCTTTTTTTTCTTCGTTTCTTTCTTGCCGCACTTAACATGTCTCTATCGAGCAAATCTCAGTCTCTTTCCTCTTGCACAAGGTTGGGTCTAAATTAAGACCTGGCCGGAAGGAGTCACTCACCTCGCGTGTGCATTTCAGTGTGATGTGACAATGTGGTTGGACGGCGATTTCTGAAATTTATAAAAAATAGGTTTGTCAGTCAGGGATCTGTTGTCATTGATAGTTTAAGTTTAAAGTAAACTGAAGAAAATATAAAGAAAATACACAGAAAAGATACAAGCTTGGAACAAATTTATGGATTATAATTATAGCTAATAAAGAAATCGGCTCGAATCGATAAATTTCAATATACCACTCACCTTTCTTCTTATCTTTCTCTTTCTTGTCGCCGGCATCTTTCTCGCCGCTGTAAAAAAAAGAAAATGATATGAAATAAACGTGCTTTAGATGTAACATATCATACAATTTATTGAAATTTCAAAAAAGTTAAATTTATTAAAACGAAAAGAGATAAAAACTGAATTTTACTATAGTTATAAAAACAGACTATATACATATATGCATATAACTGTATTTATATTGTAATATAATATAATACAATATTTTATATTGTTATCAATCATTCTATTTTTCTCTTATTTTATGCGACATAAAATATAATACAATCTATATAAATATTGCATACGTAAAATACATAAAAAATATGAAAATTTGTTCCTCTTTATTTTCTATTTCTATTCGATTAATTCCATTTCAAACTAAATGCAAACACATGCAATTTTTTAGTATTGATCTCTGTTTTTCGTTTATATATATATGTATATATTTTATATATTACATTCGATAATATATCCTAATTTTTTTTCCTCATATATTGTATTATAATAATGCTGTGAGCATAAATATATCGTAGGTATATGTATATGTAAATTTAAATACTTTTAAATACACATCTCATTCGGGCAGTTCCTTAAATTAAACTTATGATTTGTCTTGTATCGAATAGAAGTGCGCGTTGTATAGATACTTTCTGCGGCATGCTATAGAGACACTAATATACGATATCCCAATTATGGCATAATACACCGCGACCGGTTTCAGCGGACTTCGCGGCTGCTACATCTCGCGACAAAGTTAGCTTCGAATCGGAAAGCTAATACTGTTCACGAAATAATTCCGTGGGATTTACATTAGTTTTCTTATAGTTTTTTTCATACAACTTTGTGCAAAATAGAAAAATAATAGAAAAAATACGTAAAAAGATATACGTATAAGAATTATAAAGTACGTAAAAATACGCAAGAATACGCAAGAATATTATATTAAAATATTTCTGATTCTCTAAATATAATAATAATATTTGTAATATAATTATCAATCTTTAATAATATCAATTCTAGATTCCTTTAACAAGAAATCAATATTTTGAGACTATTTTTATTCGGACATAACAGTCGATAGAATTCAAGTTTTATAAATTTCGAGTATTACCTATTGATTTTTAAGTAATGTAAGAAATATTTATCAGATAAAAATCATTACACTGAAAAAAAAATTTATTGAATTCAAGTAAGTATTTATTTCAATACTGCCAAATGAATTATTTATTTAAAACTAGTAATATTGATTTAATATGAAAAATATTTATTTGATATAAGAAAATCTTTTTAAAACATATAAAATATTTATTTATTTCAAACAAATCACTCATTTAGAAGTATTCAAATAAATATTTATTAACTTAATCATTTTTTTCAGTGTACGTATAATTTTTATATGCAACAAATAACATACTTTTAGTCTAAATTCGTAGCGCAAGAAAATTGATCTGCTTAGTTATCGCGAATTATTAACGCTATCTATTATCAAGCTTTGATCTGACGGAGAAAGAAACACGTAGGTGTTCGTAATTCTTGGTATAATCAGTTAAAAGACCACGACAAATCCGCCTCGACAGTGGTACTTTTTAACAGAGGCCATAATATAACACGCCGATCATATAATCAACGCAGACACACACTTCGCAAGTAAATATTAACGCAACTATACTTTCATCGACAATAATCCTTTCATATGCCAGTCGCGATAAAAAGAAAGGAGGAAGTAAAAAAGGTGCATTAGAATTGCATAAAATCGCATTAAACAACGCATATTAATCATGCGCCGCGGGATGACTCCATAGTCTCATAATAGACTCGACATCGGTCATTTAATTGTTACCAGATTACAACGAATTCTATTTATAAGAAGTCGAGTTTCGAGTCGATGTAAACGAGAATTATTCTCCGCTTTTGAAACGTCGCAGATTAATATTCGCACCAAGTATTACCTCGAAACGCGGTCGTCATCTCTTGCTAATCTTAATATAAGTCAAGTAAGTTTTCAAAGTATACATCCGAGCGCGATCGGTACTTATTAAAATCCTGTCGTTTATAAATCCATTAAAAGGGATACGAAGATAGAGACGAATTTCACTGAATCTAATGCTTTTCGATTTCTCCTTCGCGATTACTCATGCATGAGCTGCAATAGAAGTACTTGCATGTAGAAACGTGATTCTCTTTGCAGATCTTTGAAATTTTCGATCCACAAATTGCAGAGATTTGAATAATCTATGATATAAATGTCATGTTGAATCTGAAATGTTAAACTTTGCGAAATATATCAGATTTCCTCTCATTTGCGACAGGAATCTTAAGAAAAAGAATCAATTCTAAAGAAATACAAGCAATTGATATTAAATTGATTGCCTCGACTGTTTACAAAAATGTTCAGCCAATTGTTATTCCAATATTATTGAGTCTAATAGGCTCATATCTGTTATCATTTCTAACTCTTCACTGAAAAAAAAAAAATTAATTTGACTAAACCGTTCAACTAAATTACTATTTTGTTAATTAAAGATATATTAGTATTTAAGTCACAGATACATGTTTTATTAGATTTAATATCTTATATTTAATTCAAATATTTCTATATGTTGAATAAACAAAATAATATTTAGTTGAACGATTTAATCAAATTTCTTTTTCAGTGTTCAGTTGTAGATTTTAAAGCATACCCTTTTTTAAATATCTATACCCTGAAAATTATGGTAATCATGGGACAATATGGTATACTGGAAGAATTTTATAAAAATTTCTCCGAATAATATTTTCACCACGCAGATATTAAAAAATATTAATATCTACTACAATAAGATATAAAATATGTTCAATTAATTTTGGTATAAATATTAATCAGAGGAACTCTCATAAATTTCTTCCAATCGTGATTTTCAAATAAATACATACTTAAATTCTAAGAGAAAATTCTTTCCGTGTAGTGTTTTAGATGAGATATCTAAAATAATATTTTTTGACACATCTAGAAATATAGAACAACTTTGTCGCATTTTCCTCGTCGCACTTATTCAGTCTCTCCAAGTAATGACGACGTTCTATTATAGGGACGTAACGATGTGACCTTGCGACGTTAACTCGCGCACATATTCGCACGTGCAACAGCCTCGCGTGCGAATATGTATGCATATATTTGTCACTTTTTCGTACGAACGAGAAAATGACAGACTGCATGAAAACGTTTTCGATTTTAATATCGATCGGGATGCGCCCTTGTCCTTTCGAATTGCGAACTTAATGGGGCGTTTAAGGTCGTCAAATCGTTCGTAGGAGACCTTATACGCTTACGCTAATAACTGTAAAAAATATGTAAAATTACATAAATAATAAATGTAAAATTACATGATAAATAATAAAAAGGTAAACATTTCTATTATTCATCGTGTAATTTTACACTTATTATTTATGTAATTTTACATATTTTTGTGTAATATATTACATATTTTTTTACAATGAAGCTTACATATGATGTAGAGACCTAGAGATATAGAAAGAGGAAAGAGGGAGAGGGCGTGTCATTAATTTGTAGAATTATGTAACTACTTATATTCATTACAGGTCAGTTGTAGACACGCGTATGTATGTGTGTATGCGGCGAATAGAGAACCGTAAAAGCGGAAAATCTCCCATCGGCAATGTTCAATATCGATACCTTGACTAGAACACTCAATGTCAAGCCAATGTTTTACGGCTTTGAAGATATAGAAGGACAAACATGTTTTATATCGAAATATATAATTTGACGTCACATCACGTATGTCCAAGTTTATTGTCCAAGTTGAATTCCAATAACGAGTTCTTCTGCAGAGTTCACTATAAAAAAACATCAATGTTCGTCAAATGAAATATTAAAACCTATTTAGTTTTCGATCTACGGATCATGAAAAATATAAATTTTCGCGGATAAATTTTAAATCTAAAAAGCAGGCATCGCGTTAAATATTATTCTCATTGCATATGTTATTACAACAATAGCATTCATGTAATATACCATGTATAAAAATAACTCGTCTAGTTATTAAATCTGATTATTATAGTTGTCAAGTGACATAGTTTCAAAGTTATAAAAAATAGACATTGATGGAAGGTATAAATGTAGCTCAGAAAGTTCTATAGTCGTCGTTTCTTCATTTCTCTTTCTATCTCCGAGTCGCAGAAGAACAACTGGTGGTTTATTTTAGTTCTCTTTGTACAATGTAGAGATTGATATATAACGGAAGTGCATTCTCAGCACCCTAAGCATCTTGCTGCATTAGCTCTCTGCGGTATAAAACGCTCGAATTAGATCTCAATAAAAATGTTTGAGGACGCAGAAACGAATTTTGAAGGGATCCAACACGAGAACGACATCGAAAAATGGGTTTACAGCAATGCGGAGACTTTCTGCGAATTCGGAATTCGATATACGCGAAATGAATAGTTAAAGAGATTTGCGAACAAAACTGCGGATCTGGATCGAAATACAGATATAACCACCGTTATCGACTGCCTAAATTTTTATTATTACCGAATTAGAAAGGCAAGATTATTTGTGGAAATTATGTTCTTGTTCGACAGTAAATTACTGAAAATTTTACATAGTAATTAATCAATAAAAAAATCGCGGAGAAGCACAAGAACAAGTTGAAACATTTTGTTTAGACAAAAAAATAAAATTTATAAATTAAAGATAATAAGAATATATCTTTGCATTTATCATACTTTACAATTAATTTGATCTATTAATTTCTGCTCTTTGTTAAAGCATCGAAATATGATTATTTAATTGATATTTAACAGATCGAACATTCATTACTTGCTATTTGATTTTCTTTTAATATGCGTATCTTTTTTAATACTTAAATATTTTACTTCAACGGCAGTTTTATCAAACTTTATTATACTCAACATTTTTTCTCATATAAGCAACGTACAGGATTTCGTGACAATCAAGCCAACCTCATATGATGTTAGCTGGACGATAAAGGCGAATAATATAATATAATGGTGATTTTTTTCCTGAGATTACATCCCGCACGAAACTAAATGTACAATGCAATATACAGAGCGGTATCGCATAATACGCGCGAATAATTAATGCGAATATATAGAGAGTGTCAGAGATCGGTCGGGACACGAAACTTTTACTTCCATCGGGTTCACCGACCGTTTCGTGGCGCAGCTAACCCGTCCAGGCTAGGAAAACTCGCGTTAGGACGAGTATACGGTTGAATCGTCGAAATAATGGCATCAAACGTATGTTAAAATCAACGAGGAAAAATGGAGAAAACCGGCTTTTAAATCCATCCTCACGCAATCTGCACTTTCCAGCTATTTTCTCTAACTATATCGGAATCATTATACACGTATATGCACAGCAGAAAAGAAATTTATTAATCCCCAACAACGAGGTCGATGCCGATCCTAGATATACAGGCTGTTAAAAGATCGATATAAGTTTTTCAGGGAACTAGAAGATTTCAAAATAAACATTTTTGTTAAAATACTATTTTTCTCTATGACGTTTTTAGTTTTACACTATAGGAGTTTGTGACGTGAACAATAAATAAATACATAAAGGGAAAAATTTAATTATATTTTAATCTTGAACAAAACGTGGGACAAATACATAAAAGTAGTTCACTCTTTTTTATAGTAAATGCTCAAAAATTCCGTCATTAATTTAAATAGAAAAAGTGACCAACTAAAAAGTCACAAACTAATATCTCATGTCACGTAGTATTAAAACTGAGAAAATTAGTATTAACAAAAATGTTTATTTTGAAGTCTTTTTTCTTCCTTCAAAGTTTGTCGATCTAATTTTTTAACACACTGTATATTTTTTTAAATGTGCTTTTAAATTAATCTTTTTCACGAGGTTCAGGCATAAGGAGTGACTCGTTTTTCGTTTACAACTTTTCCACACTCTTATTTATAACATAATGAATGTAAAATGAGTGAGTAAAATTAGTTTTCCATTGTGATTACGTTACTCGAAGTTAAGAATTCTAATTAAGCTTTAAACGCGCCTAGAGAGTTCATATACTTTCAAAACTAGATATACTATATTAAAGAATATGTAAAATGTCATATTTATAAAACCTATTTATTTTATTTCTAGGGCAAAAATTGTATTAAATTCTCTGGAAATAAAATTTTGCTACTTTTCCGTAACTATAGGAGTCACATAATAATCATAACAATTATATTTTTCTTTTCTTGCTAATGTACTACCGATATCAATATGCTTTTATACGTGTAACAAAATTAACGATATTTTTTTCTACATAAAATGAAAAATTAAAAATCTTATCAATTTTTTTAAATAAAGATTTTTTGCAATTTAAGTATTTACTCCGAAACATGTTTACGAACGTTTGTTCCGCTCAATTATGCAAAATACAAGAATTTCGATATAATCGGCGGATTAAGCCTATTAAGTGAATATAAAGATTAAAAACGCATAGATATAATAAAATGCACGCTTTCTCCGCGCTGTATCATTTTCCGAGTTTTCTTTGCTATACGTAAGAGCAACATAGACATATCGCCGTTGACAGCTTCGACGAGGAAACGCAGGAAAAGGCTCACGGAAAAAAATTAGCTACCATAATTAACTTTTATATATAGTTTAACAGAGATTTTTATATATAGTTTAACAGAAAGTCGTATATAGCTAAAAAATATTAGATATTATCGTAGCTAAAATATGGGCGTGATAACTAAATTTCACGTGTATCTAAGGGACAGCTAAAATTTAGTTAATTTTTTCCCGCCATTTTTTTACTGCCGCTATTTAACCGAATTTACCAAGGCCGCGTGAATACGGCACTGGAAACGGTATTGCGAATTGGTGCAGGTCACGTTACTAGGTCATGACCCACTTCCGAGTCTCGGCAAGAGACTCGCGCCAGTATTTCCCCATTTTAAGAATTTGCTCTGGTCCGCGCTCTCAAGGATGCCTAATCTCGGCGCGAATAGGACCTCTCTGCGAATCCGAGATTCGTACTTCTGTCAACGATAGTGTCTCATGATTCTTGCAACGTGCTTTAACGCGAAACGAGAAACGTATACCTGTCATATTCTAAGATTATATGTCGGATTTGTCCATAAACTTGAAGCAAACTTTTTTAAATAAAAATATCAATAATATCAAAATTATAAAATAAAGGTTAATTCTTTGTAAAATTGATTTTTTGACAGGTACCATCGAACAAGCTATTTTGACCTTAAGTTTTATTTTGTTCGAAAAATTAAGATTTATTATTAGTTACCTAGATATTGGAAATCATAAAATTATTGGAGAAGATAACGTTCCTATAAATAAACGTTTGCCAAGAAAACATTATCTCCAAGTCTTATCTAAAGATCCATAAATAAAAAGATGCAGGCAAAGTACGATAAAAAAAGAACAATAAATTTAAAAATCTGCATTATTATGTACTAAAAATAAGAGATGAATAATTATATCTCTATAAGATATTTTCTTATATTTTTGTTTATAAAATTAATATTAAAATTATCTACGTATTAAAATTTGATTTTGTTTAGCGAATTATTCTATAAACGAAAATAGCGTGAACTCACAATCAGATATAATATAAATTCCCAATTTAAATTTCCGTTTATTAGCAATATTTTCAATCTAAACTTCCTAGGAACTCAGTTAGCTTTGATTCCCATATTAACTCGTCTTCATCCAGCGTGAAGGAAAGAAATAAATAAGTCAGTTTCTTTCGACGAGTGCGAGAAAGCGCAACGCCCTGACGAAACTGTCGTGTGCGCAACTCGAGTTTTATATATAATCGTTAATAATTTCCTCCTTTAAAAAGTCTCAAATATCTTATAAATACAAGAAAATATTTGTATCAATTGATTTTATTAATGATTAATATTTTTATAATATGCAACGCGCGTTCCTTAAAAAAATTAAAAATACAAATACGCTGTCAACTACATACGTGGGAATTTTTTAATATGTTTTAAAACTGCAATTCTTTTTTATTACTTCATTTACGTCTCTAAATGTGTTTCTGTTAATTATTTTTATATAGCATACTTATTGTCAATAAAATTTGAAATTACTAATAAAAGTATTTTTGTGGGGAACATTTCGATGTAATACTGCAAGATATACTATATGATTTATTTATTTTATATAAATATATTAATTTATATTTAATAAATATAAATATACATTTTATATATTTATCAAATATCTACGTTTTTATTATATATTTATATTTACTTTAAAACTAAATAAAATGTATAACGTTAGTATAGAGCAGAAATGTTCAATACGTACGAATAAATATGACTTTTGAGAATATTTATATCATGCACTGTGTGCTAATATAAAAAAAGTTGCGTATTGCATATATGTACATATATATACATTTGAGATTTTTATGTCTGTAAAAAAATCCGGATGCACGCACGCACGCACCGTTATAATTGGAAACACAAGGGGCACGCAGTGCGAGATTTGCACTTGAAAAATAAATACTTCAAACAAGGAGACGAATAATGCTCGCCAATTTCTGGCGGCAATCTTAACAGAGAAATAAATACACAAAATATATGCAACTAAAAAGTTTCGTGTAGCAGTCCGTTTCGCACTTTGTGTATATTTACTTAGATATTAATTAAAATAAATTAACTAAATTTTTCTTAAAAAAGAAATTAATTAAAATAAAAATAAATATGTTATATTAAATAAATACGTATATGTATAAATAAATACATACTTTGTATTTATCGAAAGTATGAGATATTTAAAAAATAATTAGGTATGGCATTTTTAACGGATGTATATACTGTGTTCTTAACAAGTATAAATGTTGTTTTATTTTATTATCCAATTATTTAAATGCATATCGTGTTGCATGATCTCTAGAAATTACGTAACTGTAAATTTTCTGCACATTTTTCCGTAAATTAATTAATTTCTCATATATATGTCGCATGTGTTATATAACAATTATCGATTATTTGAAGTTAGTAATTAGAGTTAAGTTTCAATTAAATGTCAAACTAAACATCACGTTGACGTGTGTATCGATTAAATTTACAGTAGACTAATTATCAGGTTTGGAATAAAAAAGTAATTTTATTGTAGACAAGACTGTTGTTTAAAACTAACGTCGAAAGCAGTATTATAAAGTAATTATCAAGTTTTAAGATCCATTATAAACTGATTGACATGCTGTACACTGTACGCTATTATAAATCCAATATAAAAAAGATAATGTAAGATCTTTCGTTTCTCATCGCAGAGAAGAGAAAGCTTTTATCAAATGCAGTTCAGAAATCAGTCATGCTTCAGATATATAGAAAGTTATCTCTTAATAAAAAGCCTAATTAATTTTACAATAAATTTACATAATAATAACACATATGAATTAATGAAAAAATCTTGCAGCACAAACCTTTATATAATTTGGTTTATACTCACTTCTATAAATAATTTGATTATAAAAGCATTATTCTCTAAATAAAAAATACTATAAAACGAGTAGAATTTTGTTTTGAAAGTGACAAGCAATCTTTATTATATATTGCTCACTAATGAGATCACGCTTGGTTCATTCGCCAGCGGCGAAGAATATTTACGAGGCATAATAAGTCGGCGCGAGGGAGTATGTTTACGCGGTACAGCTGTTTGCAAATGCACATGTGAGGCTGAAACGTTGCGGAGACAAAGAACCGCACTACGTTCTTTGACAACGCGCGCTCGCCAACTTGATGCACCGCGATTCTAATTATCTAAGTCTGTCACGGTCACAAACCCAACCGGTGCAACGAGCACAATGGGCTTAATATCCGGCCGAAGAAATCGTGACCGCCGGTCATCTCGAGGACGCGCCAAATCTGCTAATACGTCTTCGATAAATATCGAGAATTAATTACGACTTAATCTCCGAAATCCTAAGTCATTATAGTATATATATAGAGAGAAAGAGAGACTACAATTATATAAACTGTAAAGAGAGATAGCCGGAAATGTCTGTTACATTAATTTCAAAATAATAAATCATATTATTGTGGATGCAATTCATATTCATAGTGATGCCTGGAGATATATGCGTTAATCAATTTCTAAATAATTACTAGAATTTTTAATAAATGTTAAAAGTCATTTTCTGCTCGGGAAAGGAATATATTTTTCAAAGTTACATTTACGTACTTTTGGAAAATCGAGGAAATAAAATTAATTATAATTAATCTATTAAATAAAACTCTTATAAGTGAAATCAGTATTTCTTTTATCCTTCAAAAAAAATTTTTACATATTTTAGTCACATCCTATATTTGCGTTAAATTCACTTTTAAAGAATTCTTGACTATTTAAAAACAGTTGTTTGTAAATATATTTTAATTATGTAAATATATATAATATATTTTAATTATTTTTTCTATTTATGCATTCTTAGAAAGTCGAAGAAATATAAAAATAGAAATGCATTATAATTAACCTATATATTATTAATCAAATTCTTATATGTGATCAGTATGATCAGTATTTTTTTGCTTTAAAAGAAAATAATCTTTATATATTTTTCACGTTCTATATTTGCGTTCAATTAATTTTTAAAGAATTCTTGATTCTTAAAAAATAAAAAAAATATTTGTGAATATATTTTAATTATAATCTTTTCCTTTCTATATTATTTTCAGAGATTATATTTTGTTAAATCCATATAGCATATTATATTCTTGTGAAAGTTATATAAGTTATATCTTAAAAAAATAATGGAGTTTAATGAAGATACATTAGCTTTTATTGTAGACGTCAATAAGTAGAGTCACCAGTGGAATCTCCTTAGGAGAAAAATAATTCCCTTCGCGCGGAGCCAACAATGTCGATACTTTTATTAGCACTTACAATTAATTCTTAAGAAACCGAATGTCAGGAAACCCGTGGGTGTAATTTCACTTTCGTGAGACGCAACACACATTATTTGTGCGATAGCGTAGATTGAAAGAAGGAAAAGATAATGGATTCTTTTCTTCTATCTTATACGTATAATCGTTTCTTATATCTTACATGTATAATCTATTATTCCCGTGATTTTTATTTGAACACAAAGCGTTCAAGTCGACCGCGTCGATAAAAATCTAAACGCACGTGAATAGATTTCGATACGAGTAAACCTTTGAATATGAGTGAATTTTTGCGCATCAAACTAATCGCGTCGAAGTAACACAATTTGCAGTATATTGAAGAGAAACAGATTTGCATATGTATTACCGCCACAAATTAGAAATGTCAAACGCAGTTAATGTCACGAAATTACTCGTACTTTGCCTTTGAATTAAACAGCTTCGACTAGTGAACTTTGAATATTTTAGAGATATATTTTAATAGATAATTTAGTAGTAGGTATTTAAAGTTTTTTAATTAAAACATGAAAGAGAGAGAAAAAAAATATAAAAATTATTTACGTTAGCATGGTGCTATATGGAGAGAATTTTCTCTTAGAATTTATTCTGAAAATCATGGTAATTGTGGGACAATATTGGAAAAATTTTATGAGTTTCTCTGATTAATATTTACCAGAATAAAAAATATTAATATGTGCATAATAAATTAATATCTACCACAATAAGATATAGAATATGTTCCATATCTTATTGTGGTAGATGTTAATATGTGGTAGGTATTAATTTTACTATGTACATAATAAAATTATCGAACATATTCTATATCTTATTGTGGTGGATTTGTAGATATTATTTTTTATTGTGGTATAAATATATTTTTTTTAATCAGAGAAACTCATAAAGTTCTTCTAATACTATATTATCCCACGATTACCATGATTTTCAGGGTAAATTCTAACATAAAATCCTCTCCGTGTAGAAATGGTATCACCCACAAACGTGCTGAAGCATCGATGAATAATCAATTGGAACCTCAATCGTGTTAATCTCAAGAACCATAAGATAATTTAAAATGAGTATAGGGATATATGTTAGCTACATGCTGATAATATACAATAGGCCTTTTCGCTATCTCTTTGTTAGGCCTTCTACACTTTTCTACATTTTTCATTCCCTCAAGATAGCGATATTCTATATTTAACTATTAGCTTCCGATATTATTTTATTGATATTTTATTTTTCAATATTTACTCGAATCATAATTAATATATGGGACTGGCTCAAAATAAACCGAAAACTTGGAATCGACTCGACTCGCGTTTTATACATTTCTAGCAACCTATCTTTCATCACAAATGAAAAGAACAAAACATTTTTGCATCACATATTACGCATTACGTTTGTATATCAACTTGAAGTGATACTACGCGTTATTTTTCGCACGCAATCTTGAAAATCACCCGAGTTACGTTCGCGTGAGCTATTCAAGAAACATGGTATCACCCACGGGTCATACCGGAAAATGAGCGAGGATCGACTCGCCAGGATACTATTCTTTATCGATATTCGTTATCCTCGTCATATCGAAGGTATAAAATTGTAAAGATAAAAGTAAATCGGACCGATCACGCATGACATCGTAAAATATTGAATATAAATTAATAAATTAATTTAAAAAAATATATACATATATATAATATTAATATTAATATTAATATTAATTTTATATTTATATCTAGTGATGCTATTTCGTTGGATTCTGACATATGCGTGATATTCACGATAGTTGAATTAATATCATCGTAAAAGATAACAGCATCCATTAAGGATAAGACTGTCATGGTGCGTTTCGAACGAATGAACGAACGGGAGAACAGTCGGGGACGCGTTAAATGTGTCTAGGAGTCACAAAAAGATCTCGATCCTCGTCAAAGTTCGACCATTACGGAATAACAATATCCGTCTCGTATCGACGCAATAATCTGCGTAACGAATCTGAGTCGGTCAGTCAGCGCGAGGATGCTCGCGCTCGCATGTAAACAAACGGAGCTGTCAATCGGATCGATGTAAACGAAGTAACAGCTGTGCCGTGCGCCGCAGTTGTAGGCCGCGAAACGGACAAAGAACGTCGACGCGGGGGTAGCGAGAGAGGAACAGAGACAGATAGCGGAAAGAACAAGACTCACCGTAGAAGAAGCGAGAGAGAGAGTTTTGTTGTTGGCGCACTCGAGGATCTTCTTCTTCTCCCAGCCCTCGACCGTTTTCACCCATTCTTCACCCGGACTGCGCCAGTCCTTGGATATGAACGGCATCCTGGGGACGCGCGAAGGTTTCCCTTGGCCGAGGGCGACACCGACGACGGGAGTCGACTCGCCGTTAACACTGGGAATCCGAGAGACGCACCTTGGCCGTGTCCGCTGCCTTCGGCGAGCAACTTCGCTCTGTTCCGCTCGCGGACTCGCGCTCCGCCGAGCGCGCATGGCTTTGTTTAGTGACGTCACCGCGCATCAGCTGCGCGGCGGCGTTAGCGGCGCACGCGCGCGCGCGCATGCTTGACGTTTGTACATCTTCCGAAATCGTCTGAAGTCAGCTGCTTTCAGCTCCTACTGAAGATATATTCGTTCGTATATGTGTGTTTCATACGTCATATATAAATTTTTATCAGTTAAAAAATCCAAGTGTGCGATCGAAAGAAAAAAATACTAACCATAATAACGTCATCTCCTGCTGCGTGAGTCTCTTATTAAAGGATTTTGACAGAAAATTTGATAATAAGATGTATTTTTAATTCGATCGCCTTTTGCTTCAAACACACCTGAAAATGTATACACCGAGTATGAGATTTAATTTGTTTAGCTGTATTTTTTCTTTCTATATAATGTACTATAATATTTATAAATTACTTGCAAAATTTACTTACAGAATGCAAAAGATATAAACACACGTAGCGGTTAAAAATGACGGGAAGAAACTGAAATTGACGCATCGCGTCAGGTTTCGTATTTGACAAGCAAGTGCCACCTATTGTCAACGGGAAAGAAGCTTGACAAGTCTTACGCATGCGCAGAATATCAAAAGAGCAGACGCTCTCTATTGTCATAATCACAGTCGCGTATGTATGAAATGTCAAAGAAATCGTATATCTACTCAGAAGAGAAAAAAAGGAGTTTTCGTAAGTAAACAAAGTAGAACAATATATAGTTTTCTAATCAATTAAAAATATATATCAAAGAAAAGTGCATGTTTATTTGAAAAACACTTTATTATCGCGGTATCTATCCCACATTTCTTTCATAGCTATCTATATTCCATCTATGATCCTATCTGAGATCGCAATCTTATCAATCATTATACATTTATTTATTATCAGACTTGTCATTCAAAGAATTAATAAATTTCACTGTAGATTCAAGTTATCGAAATAAAACAGTCGTCCAGTCGGCGTAGAGGGAAAAATGCCGCTTTGTATTTATCCTGTCAACGCTGCTGGGGTTTCAAAACACGTCCGTCCGCCACTGACAACCACCAGGACACAGACACATGACGTGGCGGACACTGTGACAAGTGGAGTCTCAATCGTTCCGCGCCGCAAACAAATCGCTGTGAAAAACGTCACGCGCGACATGCGTTTCGAGTCTTTCTAATTGTCGCGGAGACATCGTGATCGTTCGCTGGAGATTACGCGAAGGTAAGCATAGGGTACATTATTGCACACACTCGATTCAATTCGAACAGGAACGACTCGTTCAAGTCTATTATTATAATTTACGCAATCGCGCGTAAATCTAAATTCAACGTAGTATAATGCTGTAATATGGCACGTGATACACACAAACATATACAAACGCGCGCGAGAGAGCACATTTTTTACAATATTTTGTCTTCATGCTGCTCGACAGGATATGGATCCAGGTATTTAATTGATTAGATTACGTTATGCTTCTCATTTAAGTTGACAAATTAGATGGGAGTGTAGCAGATATGCAATTATGTCTATAGAATTTTATTAAGGACAGAGTATTCTATGCATAGGACATCATGTTCGAGTTATGTAAATGTGTAAGAACATGTTTTTTATCAGCATTATCGCAAATTAATGTTACATTAATACGATAAAAGTATCTGCTTAATATCCTCACTTTAAAAATGTTTCATACTTTAAGCAGAGCTTTCATGATTGAAACATGATATTATGACAGTTTAAAAAAATGTGTAAGCAACATAAAAATAAAATGCATGTAAATGTATATAAAATATGTGCATTTGCATGTACATATTTTATATTGATATTGTTATTATATGCATGTTAAATATCCTGCCATCGCAATGTAAAAATGATGCAATATTGTTGCGACATTAACATGACAAAATAAGGAATTGTTCCTATAATAAATAACAGTAGTATTTTAATATAAATATGTTATATATAAATACATTTTGCTGCTATATAATATTTATATTTTTGGATATCACATAACACATTACCATGAGGAAAGAAAATGGAATTTTATATTTGTTTCAATACTCTTCTTATATATTCCAAATTAAAACATTTTTGTCACTGATATTCATCTTATCGATTTAATTCTATAAATAAACACTAATCACAAATGTTACAGCTTAACAATTATATAAAATCTTTGTCTAATAATTGTGACACTTTATTTATAAGTTGGCAATTTATTAATTAAATTGTATAATTAAATCACTGAATATAGAAAATGTGGGCAAGGAGGCTATTCTAAAAGTGACAGATTGGTTACGTGGAATTTGGGAAATGAGACGGCGTGCCGGTGGACCAGTTCAACAATGGATTGATGCAATACCAATGCCTACAAAATCGGACCTCACAAACGAATGCCAAGAGCATAACCCAAGTAAACCATTAACACCAACAGAGCCTAAAAACATTCCGTTCCTAAGGGTTCAAAGCTTCCAAGCATGACTGTATCAGCGCCTATTAATGTTCTAATTCATCAACAATGAATACACCAATACTTCCAAGGTAATTAAATAAGATTGTAATATTTTTTTTCAAATCCATATCTAATCACGAGTATAATAATATAGTTTCAATTACAGTTCGCTTCCTCATTATAGACTGGCACGTGACGCAAGCTTTCAATCGGATAGCAGTCACTGTAGTAGCATTGAAAGTTTACTTGAATTACGAAAAGCGGATCCGACAGCAATTTTGCTCGATCTTGGTTTTGGCGGTTGCGCAACCAGTCCACGGAGACCGATCCAGTCTCTCGCATTCCTAAAAGGTTCCTTCAACCATCTACGTTACAAGGCATTGCTATAAATGACTTTCTTAAGCAACAACAAGAGTCTAGTGAATCTTTTGATTCAGTATCTTAGGATATAGAGGCCTAACAGGTAAGATTGATTTTTCAGTAATAGCACACTACAACAAAATATACAATTTGTCTTTGTAGAAACAAAGATAGAAATAATTTTAAATGTATCAATATCAGCTTATAAGCAGATGCTTTTTCAGATGAAAAAATAATATGTGTGAAATACAGCAGCGTCTTTTTATAATGTTAATTAATAATCATTAAATTGATATTTTTGGGTATAAGATAAATCTTTTTTGTAAATATATAGCATGACAATTTTGTAGGAAGCAATAGCGCATTATACACATCTACACGCGTCCGACAGCGCAGATACTCGGGACCAAGTATTTTGTAAGTCTCGCGTGAAAATTAGTAGGCAAAAAATGTTTTGATGTGTGTACACTTTAATTGAATTTATTTAGAAGTACTGTTTTGTTTTGTACTATAATAGTTTTTATTTCGGTAAACATTTTATAGCTTCTTATTTTTGCTCACATTGCTTTTTATATAAATGTAAGGGCCATCAATGCGCGTTTTGCTATTTTATCTAAAAGTTTATGATGTTATTTGGGTTTTATTATATATACATATATATATTTTTTTTTATTATATTGTGAAAAACGCTTTTAGAATTTCAAGGCGCTCAGTAGTAATCATATATGCATAATATTATATTTTATCAAATTGTAGACATGCAATAAAGCTATATGTGACATTTTTATTTAATTTGCATGTTAATATATGCAAAAATAAATATAATAATGCATGTTAAAAAGAGTACAGATTTAAAATGTGATTTATTAGCATTAGAGTTTAATGAATGTCTTTTGTTGTCATTATATTGTGTGTAAAGTAGGAATAGATTTTTTCAAATTGTGTGTAATAATCCTTTTAAAAATATTCAGTTGTGATATATAAACTACTAATAGAGTTTTATAATTATTATTTACGTAAACTATTATTCTTGTTTTGTATATTCTGTATATTTCAACTTATAGTATTTCATTATTTTAAATTATATATATTATCTATTCAGTATATTATCTATAAATTATATATATTATATATATTATATATATATCTATTCAGCTCGATAACAATTACTGTGATTGACTATAATATTAAATATATGCAGCAAGATATATTTTATAATTTTTTTACTTTTATATTTTTAAAAGGATCACCCTATGTAGCTCCATCAGAAATTGTGCAAAAAATTATGGAACGTTTGCGAGAAAACGAAAGCCATGAAGTGGATACAAATTCATATAATTATGAGTCATACAGTCCATTACATCAAAATCCTGCAAGACTTTCTGTGCTGTCTCCTGATAACAGGCAGTTCTTGGAACAGCCACGTTCCAAGAGTCCTGATATGCGCAACAAACGTATGATTATAGGTAAATAAGAATTTTGGTGCGAATAATTTGTCCTAATATTCAGTTTATATGTGCATTATTATTCCTCAAATATCGAGTCAAATGTCTTTTGCAGGACAAAAATCGTTTGCTTTCGGATGCGACGGAAATTTAATTGAAATACCTTCTAATGATACAAATCTTGCGTCCAATGACACAATAGATAGTGATAATAGTTTATTGGATGTTAGTGAATCTCCCATAGAATTAAAACAATCATCTTTAGAAGAAAGTATAACGTTCGAACATCGGTATTTTTCGAAAAATGACAAGAAACTGACAAAACAATTATCATTTGATGATACTATCGATTTTCCAACAGTATTGATGACCAATTATTAAAAGACAATCGGGAGATCGCGAATAGCTTGAATATTGCTCAAGATGGCACAAATGTAGATAATAACAAGCAGGAAGATAATCTATTCGATACAACTCCTAAATGTGGAAAACATGAATTTCTTGATGTTCGAAGAGCTAGCGACGGATCGTATGATATTTCTTTGGAAAAAAAAGTATTTGAAGGAAAACGAAGATTTAGCGATGGCACGATGTGCCCTATTGAAAGCCAAAGTTCGAAATGCACGTTAATACAGAAGAGAAGAAGTTTTAAAGACAGTCCAGAGTATGTGATACAACTGCAATCCATCATTGTGAATCTATTCAGTCTAGTGTACCAAATGCGATATTTGAATGTAACATAGGCAATGAAGAGGAAGCATCTGATGACGTAACTAACAGTACACATCAACTAAAAACGCTGAAAACATTTGAGTCGACCGAAGATGAAGATCTACAACTAAAAGATACGGAATTATTTAGAAAACCTAATGATATACCTTCAGTAGCGAATATTAGTGAAGCTATCAACAAACTAGAACGCTTAGAATCTACAGAATCAAATGCGGCATCGAGTGTTTCTTGTATGCAAGATAATCCAACTTGTAGCAAAGGTAAGATTTGTGTAGACTGTAAGCGAGGTAAGAACTGTTCGGATTGTTGCCATCATGTCGACAAACGGAAATATTGGAAGAAGATGAAAAAAATTATGCGAGAAAATAAAAAATTAGAGGATATGCTAGCAAAAAGTAGGAGAGAAGTGGCGGAAATTCGTGATATGCTAAGTAGCGTTTTATCAGTCAGAATGGAACTAGGATTTTAAATAGATTATTAAACTTTCCACTTGCTGTTGTTTGATAAAAAAGAAAAATGATTAGCTGTGTAGTTATATGACCTTGTGATATAGTTAAATATGTGTGTATCAGGGTAAAGAATTGATACTTCATAAAGTAGAATTTTAATATTTTGTGAATCTATATATTCTTCTACTTTAAAAATCTTAAATATTTTCGACGCTCACATTTTATAAGACACTATTAACAGATATTTCTATAATATGTATGCATAAAATAATCACTTTTTAAATACCTATTTTTAATTAACATCAACAAAAAAGAAAACAAATATGATATATTTAATTACTTCTGTACTAAATATTCTATAAAAATTACAAAAAAAATCCTTGTATATATATTTGCATCTCTATTTATAATTCATATATTTTTACATATTTAGTTTGATACAAATTATAAATAAAGATGAAAATGTTGTTACATACAGATTTTATTTAACATATTGAACACTGACACATGGTCAGACAAAATACGACAGATTTGCCATTATAATATTTTGTTCGATATGTGTTAATATGATGATTAAAATAAATGTAACTTTAACAATTATGAGGTAAATTAATATATCAAATTAAATTTATACTAACAGTATTTCAGAACTGATTGAGAGTAAAAGAATTCTTTTGCAATATACATTTAGGTAGAAATTAAAAGGGCAATATTAATTCATGTAAGATCTATCGATTTTTGAGACATCACGTTTAAACTTTTTCAAAATGTCAATATTGACTTTAACTAAAACTTTTGTAAACTCTATCCCAAAGAAGTTATTCAAGATGGCTGCGTTTATTTTTTTATCTCCATTATATATTCTAATCATCATATTGTGATGTGACTTGTATTCTTTTTGAAAAAAAAGAAAATCCTAAGTGTATGCACTTGTCAAAATATGTATTCCCAGATCACGCTTAATATACTCATTAAGTTTGAGATATCAAGTTTATCACTTTGTAATTTTGTTTGTTAATTGAATATTATTTCGTATTCTAGTACATAATTAGAAAGCTATAATAATACGTTAGTTTTATCTTGTTCATGTTTGATGATGTCTGTATAGTTTATTTATGTATATTTTAATCATATGTACAATAACACAAAGGAGATAATTATATGTAAGAGGTGAGAGTATACAATGTGACTATATAGGCATAATTGGAGTAATAATGAAAGTTTGATACTTTCGTCAATTTTTAATGATTACAATCACAATAAGTTTTGATCACAACAAAATGCTGGTCATTCTGTACTTTGCAAAAAGAATTTTAGATCTAGTCTTTTACAATTACTATCAACACACAGTGATAACATATCTAACTAATAATTATAAATTCTTTATCTCTTTCCCTTACATCATAAGGGAATATATCAAGATAAAGAATTTTAAAAAGCAATTCATGATTATTTGGATATCAGTTATTGAGAATTAATTTATGCTGCCATATTACAGTACTTCTTGAATATTGATATGTTTACACAAATCATACATCATAGTTATATAGAGATAATTTATACATTTATTTAGCTTTAATCTAACATGGATAACAATCAATAACTGATATATTAGAAAAAATCTTCGACTTATACAGAAATAAGCAAATATTCAAAATAATTTAAATTATACAAATAATTGATATTTTAATGAAAAAAGCAAGTTCTCCGTATTGTATTCATATAATTTTAGAATAAAATCAAACAATGAGGTATTCTATCACAATCGACCAAATATATAAATTTATTTAATAACTAAATATATTTATATATAAAAATTTTTGGGCAGGAACAGAAAAAATATTAGATATATTAAATTAATATTATATATACATATATGTATATATAATGAAATGTATAAGTCTGTCCATTTTTTTTACTTGATGCTTAAAATTCTAACATCAATTGGAAGTTTATCTGATATTTTATTAAATACAATTTTATTCAATTTTTCTTAGGTCATAATGTCATCACTTAATAAAGAAAACTGCATTTTATTTTGTTACAAAACACGACAAAATTATAATTAATATAGAGATACAAGCCTATTCAATCAAATAGATTCGATACAAATCAAAAACTTTGGAACACTATCAACTTTCATTTATATAACAAACTTTATATTAATAAACATCCATATCATATATAATAAATTAGTATTATGTATCTATATTTTCTGTTTTTTTTTTTGCATAATATATATCAAGTGTGATGAAATCCAAATAAGATATGTACTATTTATACAAGATACACAGAAACTAGACTTATACTAACGTAAAATATAGGAGCATCGTAGAAATAAAGTACAATGTAAAATGTACAATTGTGGGAGCACTCAATAAATATTTACCACAATTGAGTTTCATTTTTTTCCCTTTTTTTTGTGTTATCTATGCTTCATATCTATCAGATTTATCAGCTAAACACACTGTTTATTTATAACACTTTAGAAATAAATCGTCTATATTATAAATATTCAAGATCCATTTTAAGTTTCTTATTTAAGTCGTCATAAATGTCATCACAAAAGTATGGTTACAAAAATACTTATAAATTGATGTTATATAACACAACTTTATAGATATACATAAGATCGAATATTTAAAATAACAAAATACGATTAATTGATAAACGTAAATGTTATTTTTTATATAATTGATCTTTTACATAAAGTTAAAAAAAAAAATAAATACGATTTGCTCAATTACTGGAAGTGTTTCCTAGTTTTTGTTATATCTTAAGATTAAGTGATACACACAAGAACTGGCCTAGCGTCGCCCGTAGCAGTTATGGGAACCATAATATAAAAATATCTGTGAGCCTCTTATTATATCGCGTGAATATTAACTGGTATTCTTTTCTAGTTTTTGATTCAAAAAGAGATAGTATAATCATATCTATATAATTATATAATTATCATATATATATGATATATATGTGTGTGTGTGTGTATATATATATATATATATATATAATTATAATTATATATATAATTTTATATTTTACCTTATATTCATTTAACTTGCCTCAATATTTACGGCATTTTTTTTTATAATTCTGCAATATTCTGTAATTCTGAAACGTTTTTATTTTCTTGCTATAACAAGGGATTTAAAGGTTCCACTTGTCTCTGTCTAAGGGCACGCTTAAAATGGCCACATAGGTCACAAGGCCAATGTTGTATCTGTAAAATAGTTTAAATTATGAGTAGATGAACAGTGACATTATAAAATAAAATTTAACCAACATGCATTCATTATATTAGATAACATTAATTTCTGTCAAAGACATAAAACTTTTATAAATCATCAGGTGTTACATTTACTAAATTCTGTAAATATGATGCATGTTTGCGAGTAGCTTTATTGGTAATTGAAGCTCACACACAATCTGTCAGAGGTATCAATTATAGCTAAAGCTACCTTCAATAATAAACTCAGAACCATGGTCCATCCAATCTTATATTTTAAATATGAACCTGCTACAATACCATGTCATAAACTTCATCCATGTGTACGTGTAAACTGTAAATAAATTTCGTGGATAGTGTACATGTTGAGATGTGGATGTTTTATTTTTTTTCTTCCTTAGCATATGTTTCCTTAGAATGTATATAAACAAATAAGAGCAAACACTCGATCTAATTTAGTCTTCTTTATCATCCCTGAAATTGACAAAAAAATTTTATTAATTATTGCAACATTATACAAATTTTTTTGAATACAATCACACACCTTACAACTTCTTGTTGCGTTGGATCAAAATGAAGCTCAACAATTGTTTCTTGTCTACTTTGCACTTTAAAAGACACCTGAACTGCTATGTAATTGTCTTTGTTATTAACTTGCCATCCAGAATACTGAAATAAAATACAAGAAACATTGACAGAAATTGTTTACACTTATAAATATAATTTATGCAAAGTCACATCATTTAATATCAATTTATGTAATCAAGTCAAGATTCAACAAGTGATGGAAAATATTTTCAATTCTAAGTTAAGTACTTACTGTCGTTGTGCTTTTGTACAGTACTTTTCCATCTTCCTCAAAAGGTAAAAACTTTTGAAGTAGTGCCTTTCCATCTATCCTCCACAAGGTTGGATAAGAGCTCGATTCATCAGACTTATCCTTACTAGATGACTTACTTTTATTATTTAACTCAGCTTTTGCAAGAACAAACGAACCAGACTGCAAAATAAGAAAAGAGAAATATCACCCACACATAATATTTAAAGGAGATTGTAATTGATTCGATCAATCTTAATGATTTACTGTGTAATCTTTTGGAGCTTCTCCTGATTCATTGAAACTGTTGTCATCAGAATCATCATCTTCCTCTTCTTCCTTATCATCATCATCTTTCTTAGAACGTCTTTTCTTTTTTGGTTTTTTCCCTGTATCAGAATCTGATTCCTCATCTTCTTCTTCATCTTCCTCTTCATCCTCATCTTCCTCTTCTTCATCTTCCTCTTCAGAATGATGTCGCTTTTTTGCTGTTCCTCTCTGCGGCCTTATTTTAGTACCGCTCTATGAAAAACCAGAAGTAGTATTAGATTAAAATATATATATTAATTTTATATTTTATTTTATATTATTTTTATATTATTATTTGTATTATTTTTATTATATTTTTATATTTATTTTATATTATATTAATATATATTATATATATGTATATCAATAATATATTAATTTGCAATAATTTATGTATATATTTTATGAACTAATCAAGAAAAATGTTTCAAAAATAAAAATAACATCTTTATTACATATATTTTTTCCCGTACATGTATACTTGAAGTTCTAAGAATGAATTAATACAGAATTATACTACTGACGAGTAACAGTACCTCGTCAGTGATTATACACAAGATATGTGTTAATTTGAAAAATGCGCGCCCGACGCCGGCTCGTTCCGGCTGGTTCCGGCTTTGACAAGCGCCGCGAATCGGCGCCACTTGCCGGCCGGCGAGGACGGCGGACGCGGAAAATGCGGAGAGAAGACCGGGGGAGAGAAAAACGAGATGAGCCGGAAGGAGAAACGGCCATATACCTCGAAATATACGCTCTAACAGCGCGGGCTCGTCGCCGTGCGGAAAATCGTTCGGCGAGAACTCGCGAGACGTCTCGACGCGGAATCGCGCCGGAAATCCGGCGAGAGATGCGCGCGAGGATATACCTTACGTTTCTCTCGGCGGCGGCGCCGACACGAGGATGAGGGAGTCACCCGTTAACGCCTCGTTTCGATCGTATACTTTGCTCCGAGACGCGACTGATCGACGCGACAAATGAAATTAATTATTAAATATTTGACAGATCGAGGAGAGACGAACGATATTTTTTTCCACCCCCACGTCCGAGCGTTAGCGTCCGATCAGCGAGATGCCGAGTCCGAAATGTCGGACAAAGCGTCTCCGACAAGCGTTTCGTCGCGGAAGAATCGCGATTCCGAGAGGGAAGACGATTATGATATCTGTCATCTGTCATTCGAGCGTAAATTCGAAGGAGAAATCGAGAGACCACATGGCGTGGATTTTATTCTTCTTACCTCCGCTCCGGGCTCGGGGATCCATTCCTCTTCGGAGGCGCCCTCGACCTCCGGATCGTCCGGGTCGTCCACCTCGTAATCGTCCTCGTCCGAGACGTCCTTGATCTTCTTCATGTTGCCTTTGCGAGGAATGGTTGTCGATGTTGCGATATACGGGCCGCGAAAACACGCCGAAAACACCGTTGCGAAAAGTCGCGAGGAGAGAACACGACGTGCACGAGATCGCAAACAATATGGCGGTCGGTAAGGGAGAAGGGGAAGGAACGCTGAGCGCTCTTTATTATCGCGAACTCACGGACGGCGTGGCGCCGCGGCTGCGGAGACGCTCTCCCGATGGCGCCACCTGTCAACCTACAGCTGCGCTTTTATTTTGGCGGGAAGCGGGAAGGAATCTCTCCTTTTCGATTCTCCATTATTCTCCATTTGCAGGCGATCACATATAGCCTCTTCTATATAGGTATGTATATTTTATAAAATGATCTTGAAATATATTAAAATCCAGCGATATAATAAATATATCTTATAACGAATAATATTCGATAATTTTTATATCTCATAACAAAATGAGCTACCGCGAAAGGGAATAGTAACCTCTCCGGCTCTTCGCCATTCGCATGCGATTATTTGGTGGAACTCCCGGCGTTTTTATATGCGTATGTATACTTCATAAAATTAGTATTGGGATATTGGGATAGTATAAAATCAAGCAGGGAGATAGAAGGCTCTCTCATAGCCATGAGTATCTTAATAAATTTTCGATATAATTATATATAAGAAGATAACTTTATCTCCTTCGACTACTCCATTTTTCCATTTTATATATGATCACATTTATTGAAGGAATTTCCGGCATCTTCATATACACACACACACACACACACGCACGCACGCACGCACGCACACACACACACACACACATATATATATATATATATATTTCTCACTAGGAAAATATATAATAATTATTTAATAATTATTTATTCCTTTTTGCGGTATATATAGAGGTTATATCTTATAAGATAATTATCAAGATATTTATATTACTATGAGTATATATATATATATATATATATATATATATATATATATACACACACACACACACACACACACACACACACACACACATATATATATATATATATATATATATATATATGTATACCAAATATATACACTTTATAAAATAATATATTAGAATATTAAAATTGAGCAGGAGGAAGAAAGCTCTCTTTCATAGCAATATAAACATATATCTTGATAATTATCTTATAAGAAGCGATAACCTATAAAAAATAGAAATGTTATCGGTCGATTCGACCAATTCGATAATATCGAATCGACGTCATCGATTCGACTGTGATTTCGCGAAAAGGAAGCAACTTCCCATTTACACGTATACGCGATTACATTTAGAAGGAACTTCCGGCGTCTTCATGCATATGTATGTATATATATATTTTATAAAATAGTCTTGGAATATTAGTAAAATTGAATAGGAAAGAAAGAAGGCTCTCTCTCACATATAACAATAAGTATTTTAACAAATAAATATTCGTTGGTTATGTTATACATAAAGAGCTACCGCGAAAAGGCCGAAAGCAACCTCTCTCGACTCTTCTTTTGCAGATATGCAAAATATCATATGACATTTGACCTTACTTCCGGCGTCTTCATGCGTATATACATATAGGTATGTCAATATATATGCGAGTATATTTGATGAAATGAAAAATTAATATTTAGATATGCTATTATATATTACTCTTTTTGTAAAAATGTAAATAATTATTACTGAATTAATTTTTATCTGTAGATATATTGGATATTATGTTAATGATTTATTGCATATTCACATATGCTTAATTGTCTTTCTTATTATTCAAAGATAATGTATATATATATATATATATATATATATATATATATATATACTTAATATATTAAAATCCTATATATATAATAACAAATTTATAATACACAAAACGCGTTTGCGTAATAATTATTTAATAATTAGATATACGTTGTCAAGTAACAGAATTGACATATGCAATATCCTCATCTCTACATGAATGCTTTGATTGTTAATAATTTTTTGGATTTGTATGGTTTTCCAGGTCGGGTCGATATGGGGGTTGACGCATGCGCCGACATTCATGCGTCGAGACGTTCCCTCAGTACTTTCGACAGCGACGATATCAACGAAAAGCTTGGTAGAGGGTAAGCAACGAACGGACAACGTGATTGCGTGGAAAGAAAATGTTCGAGCTTTATGGTGTCGGTAAGGATGGCATGGTTTATCGGTCCCCGCCCCCGAGAAGAAAAGAAGTCGACATCCTGGAGGTAGATATAGAACACGACGAACGTTATTAAAAATCCCTCGTTAATTATATTGGTCTCAAAAGCTTCCTTATAATTGCCCTATCGAGGGTCTCTCCTGAGAACATCCACTGAAATATATAATTTAGGGTACACAAACAGATATACATACTATACATATACCATCTTTAGGATCTTTATTTATTAAAAAAAGAAAAACATATATACGAAACAGAGAATATAGCCAATTTTAACTATATATATTTCCAAAATAAATTATTTATTTATTTGATTGTAAAAAGAAATTGAGAGTAATATAACCACAACCATGTGTTTTATAAAGAAATATGTTTTCAAAATATCTATATTAAGAATTTGTCGAATTATTTTTAAATTTTATTAATAATTTTGAAAGCCTTTAATCTGAGAATAAAAAAATAATTATTATACATAAAAGAAATGAGTTTTTTAAAAAATAAGATTTTATATGTGTGATTAAGATATTTGTAAAAATTGAAAATATTTTAAAAATATTTCACTATAAGATTATAGAGAATAATATATGTGCTGATAATTTATACATATATAAAGTTCACAAAATAGTGATTCCACGCCAATATTATTTTTATAACTAAAAAATCAGAGATGTTCTATGCAAAATAGTTTTTGTATTTTTATTTTTTTTTTTTCAAGGCAAACATGTTTTCCTTATGGTATGTATATCTTTCATAACTTACGGGCTATTAATGGCGTAATATGCGACATTCGTGCAACGTGGATAAATAGTTGTGCAACGTTTGCAATCTTAGAATTTACAGACACGACGTTGAAACTACTTTGTAGCTTTGTAAATCAACGTTCTTTTGCAGACTTGCCTACAACTCTCTTCACCAGAACTCATGAGAAAATTGCCCAACGGCGATGCACTTCACCACATCAAGGACACGGGTGTTTCGACTTCCTTTAACAAGGCTAAAGAACCGCTAAGAGAGAGCAGTGAGTGAATTTTTCAAAACCATACATTGCAAAATTTAAAATATCCGAAAATTGTATTCGCCTCCATAAAATTTTATTTTATTTTCTCCTCTAAAATTATCAATTTATTTTAATTATAAAATGTAGAGAAAACATATTGTATATACATATTGTATAATATATATATATATATATATATATATATATATATATATCTCTTGTTTTTTATATTGGAACTTAACAAAACATGTATTTTGAATAATTAATTTTTTCTAACAAAAAGACGAATACTTAAATATCATTTCTAAACAAAATTCTAAGAGTTAGTTAATTAAAATAGATTTTTATATTTATGTAACTTTTATATTTATGTAACTTGATGTTATGTGCTAACGATTTTATAATTACTATATAATATATTAACACAAGAGGAACGATTATATTGCATAAAAAGAGCATAAAAAATGTACTGTTTAATCAGATTAATATAGATTTAATTCCATTATTGTATCGATATGCTTTCTCGCGATTATTTTATGATTCCGCGACGTTTCCGATGACCGAATCCGTTTATTTTCTCCAATTTCGCACGTCAACAAATTTGCTTACATAAAGCTCTCTACGAGCGAAGAAGAGAAGTCATCGAGTGATGAGAAATGACGAGTGTGGCGAGACGTGACGAGCAATTTGATATGATTTCTATTTACGGCTCGACGATCTTCTCGATTACATCGCGTATTCGATGTCGGCAGCAGAGACGGCAGATCGAAGTTTCGGTTACAGCGATTTCACGTACGAATAGATACGATTTACGCTCGGCTAATCTTCCCGATTGAAGATGATTTTGCTTTGATTGTTTCATTGATTCTGTTCTCTAGTTTGTTGTCGATAAATATGTACAGGGATTATAGATACTAATGCTAATTTAATGTAAAATAAAATACAATACCATACAAATATAAAAATAATCGAAAATGCAAATTTTATACAATTTCTAATATCCGACAATATTGTAGGACGAAGTGCTGTAAGAAGATGGGTGGTAATGACTGGATTCTTCTTCCTCGGATGTGCCTTAGTGGCTGGAGTAGGTCTGCCTCTCGCTTTGGAACTTCGAAGCTCTCACTTGTTGGAAGCCAGATTGCAGGTGGTCCGAAGAATGCTCTCAGAAATTCCTCTGATTGATGGGTAACAATTGTTTATATATAAATTATATATAAATAATTTTATATATAAATTAATAAAAAATAATAGATGTAAAAGTTTTTATGTATATTATTTGAAAGATCTAAAATCAGCTTGTTCTTAATTTGATATTGAAATTCACATAATAAAATAATAATACTGGATCTCCACACCTATTATATTTTGCACGAATTCTTTGGCAGGCATAACGACTTTGCCTGGAATCTGCGCAAGCACAGCGGCAGTACGAAGTTGGGTAATTTCCCCTTTGACGAGGATTTGTCACGCAATGCCAGTTGGGGTCCGCAGTGGCAAACCGATCTGATTCGTCTGGAACAGGGAATCGTTGGCGCTCAATTCTGGTCGGCCTATGTGCCATGTGAGGCGCAATTCCTCGACGCCGTGCAACTCACCCTGGAACAGATCGACATCGTGCGCAGACTCACGTCGCGTTACCCCAAACGGATCAGGCTGGTGACGACGAGCGGTGAGCTGGAGAACGCGCACCGAGACGGAGTAATCGCCAGCCTAGTAGGGATAGAGGGTGGTCACAGCATCGGCACTTCCATGGCGGTGCTGAGGAGCTTTCATCGGCTAGGCGCGCGCTACATGACCCTGACTCATAAGTGCAACACGCCATGGTAAGTTCGGCCGCCGCGTCGGAAGAACGACGTCTTTATGCGCGTATGGAACGTACAATCGGCGAGAAGGAATAACTCTTGGTAGAGCAAATTGGTATTTTCTACTACTAGCTAATGTATATGCTTCTCCATTGTTGAGTTTCATTGCGGTTTATTTTAAACTATTTGATACATCCTGAAAGGTTACATAAGTCTTATTTCGCAATTAAATCAGTATAAGTTATGTAAAAAAAATTATACGGAATAAATCTCGGAAGAAAATAATGTATAACGTAGCTTTTGAATGCGTCATTTAAGTTGTTTGATTCGAAATATGTTTGAGATTCTAACTATCTATCCAATTGTCACTTTTGATATATTTAATCCTTCAAATATTTTTTTCAAGGATTTCAATTAAAATACTTTAATTGAAATGGTTTATTTGAAAAAAATATAAAACAAACATCTCTCGATTAAGAGTTTCTTAAATGATATTTTTCATTATTTGAGTAATATATTACGTAATTTTTGACAAAGGAACATTCTAAATCTGTCCAGCCTAATTTGATTTTTTTCGTAAATATAAGTAAATCTTATTTCTACATAAAGCCTTTCTCTCATTACAGATATTTTTTGAGTTAAAGAATTTTAATTGTATTCATTTTTATGAATCTTTAATTTGACAATCGAATCAGATGATTGATTTCGATTTTCAGGGCGGACTCATGTTCCGTTGATGATCCAAACTCGGACGCACCCTCTGATTTTCACAACGATGGCCTCTCGCCATTCGGCAAAGCAGTTGTTCGAGAGCTGAATCGACTCGGGATGCTCGTGGACCTCTCTCACGTCTCGGTGAGAACGATGAGGGATGCTCTTGCGGTGACAAAGGCACCAGTAATATTCTCGCATAGTGCTGCCAAAGCACTCTGCAATTCCTCGAGCAACGTTCCGGACGACATACTACGAAATTTGGTAAGAAATAAAAATAATATTTTCGAGAAAAGAATATTTTGATTATAGAGTTTGCTGTTAAACGCGTGAAATCTGTATAAACACTAGATAAATGAAGATACAGAATTAAATCGGTCTGTTTAATTTTACAGGATTTTTTACCAAGCGTTGATTTTTTATTTATTTTAATTTCTAAAAAATAAATTTTTTACTTAAATATACACGCTTATCCGTTTAAAAAAAGAATTGTTAATTATTTCACCGGAACCAAAGATTATTTTTAATGTAACACTATTATGCAAGTTACGTAGAATGACATAATATTTGTTCGAAGATTAATCACGCGACTTTCATCTCTATTACTATTCTAGTCTCTCAACGGTGGTCTGGTTATGGTCAGTTTCGACAGCGCACATTTGAGCTGTGGTGATAAGGCCTCTATGTATGATATCATAGGTGTGTAAGCAAAGTAGTGAGAAACATCAAAAAGATGATAACATCAAAATAGTAGTTAAACATCAAAAACTTAGAGATAAAAGACGAAATCCAAACCTAACGACGCGCTCGCGTGTCTTTTTTTACAGCTCACATCAATCACATAAGACGAATAGCTGGCGTGAATCACGTGGGTCTTGGCGCTGGTTACGATGGAATATTGAGGTAATTATAAAGACTTGCCAATATTATCATATCGTTATCATTCATAATGTAACTCGACGATATAATCATTTCCAAGGATATTACGTAAGATTAATTCTTTAATAGTTTTCCGAGTAACAGTTACGACGGTAGTTATTTAAAAATATTCTCTTATTTATTTCTTATTTACGATTAGTTAATTGAAGTATTCAAATATTCATTTATACAATCAGACTAATAATTTTGAGAGATTATTTAGAGAGATTTATATTTGGCTAGATGAAAAATATTGTGAAAACTATATTTTTATTGCATTATATGTATGATATACATATATCTGTAACGATGAAAGTACAGACTTCAAATGGACCTAAGTGATAAAGGTGATTAAAGCAAGTATTGCACGTATTCAGACCACCAACAGAATTGCCGGACGTTTCCGGTTACCCCTTGCTGTTGGCCGAGCTGACTAGAGATCGTAGATGGTCCGCGACGGATATAAAGAAACTGGTGGGCGGAAATTTGTTGCGCGTTCTTAAAGAAGTGGAGAATCATGCGGCGACTCTTTCGCACCAGTTTCCGGCTGAGGAATGGATTTCTCAGGAACTCATCGAGGACAGCGCCTATTGCAGATATCACGACGCGTAAGAGGCGTCCACGACTATTTTCGACGTACGACGTTGTTACTTCAATTCTACGAGTCGTTCTCTCGCTAAAAAAGTACGCACTTTAAACTGTATATCATCTTTGTACCTGGAACGCTCTCTTTAACTGTTTTACATTTTTAATAAAATAGCGATAGATCTCCGGTACTCCGATAAAATTCCTTGTCTTTTTCAGCCCACGTACAGTCAAATTATATAATTCTAACAAGTAAAAGAAAATTTCTTTACCTGAAATCCTACATTGCATATATATTAGAATTTAGTCGATTCTCTTAGAAGTTTTTTTTCCTGAAAAAAATTTGCATACAAAATATTTATAAATATGTAATATTAATAATTTATAAAAGCTACGTTAATGCAAATAAAGTATTTATTTGCATAATACGAACTGGTTCATGCATTGTGAAAGTAATGCATGAACTTAATCAGTTTGCATTATAATTAAAAAGATATTTGATATATTTTTGCAATCGTTTTACAATTTGTTCTCGTATGTATTATCCTTAACTTTGTTCGCTATTGCGAATTAAAAAATTTGACAAGCATATTTAAAACTGTACTCACACAGCCTAGTTACATCACATTCAATTGCGTTTATGGTCAAAATTGATGTTAGTAGTTAAGTCAATTTACCTTATGTCTTGAGTCCTCTCCGTGTCCACCGTCACATAATGTATGTTGGAGCAATTATTTAATCTTTCGTACACGGATTTACACATGCATATACGTACCCACGAACATACACGCTACAGTTAACAGAGGCGCACAAGTCGCGATATGTCAATTACATCGTTTAATTTTTAACTCGAGGCTTATATTTCAATCTGGGACAGCGTCGTAAATAATCCAGCTTGATCTGTTATCTGAATCTCTTCCATAACTTATTAAGGATAACACAAATAAGTCGTGGAAGTTTTGACGATGTTTGAATAATTCATATATGATATTGTGGGAGGAATTCTCTTTCGATAAGATTATTAATAGTCTATACTTTTCTTTGTATGACATTTTAACGTCGTTTAGAATAATAATTGATCTGAGAGATTGTGATGACAAAGTCATTGAACTTGAAATCTGCTTACAAACGCTTTCTTGACACGTCAATTTAACAAGAAAATTATATTTAATAATGCTGACGTGTAGATAAAATAGTTTAAAAATGTGTTTTTATTTTAAATTGGAGCATACGCAAGAATTTAGAGATAAATTTTGATTATTTTTCTCACAATATTTGAAAATATTTTAATTAATTTAATTTTTATTTTATTATAAAAAGAACATTATAATATTATTGATAAAAGAATTATTTTATTATATTAAGAATAGTAGATATATTTATTTTATATTTTATATTTATATTTATTTTCCATTAAATCTTTTAATTTAAATGTTAATTACTTTCTTTTTTAGTTGCTGTACTGAAGCGAATGTGATTAACAATTTTGCTGACAGAAGGATAATTCTCTTAATATGAAGAAATCTGTTTGTTTTAATTCAAGCAAAATACGCAGCACGTTAAGCAGGAATAAATTAAAACAAGACTTCGTAAGTGTGAGTATTAAAATAAAAGACTATATTTTTTCTTGTTAGAGACAATGCAATTTTAACGATAACTTATTAAATTAGATTCTCAAAAATCATTCTACATAGATAATTTTACATTAGTCACGCGTCTTTAAAGATCCTTAAAGATCATTTGATTGCCAGACAAGATATATTATTGCTTCTGCAACTTTCTACAGATAAGAACAAATTAATTCTAATAAGATACTCCGTATAGCCGCGTTAGATCTTCTATTTTTCAGAAATCGTGAAAGTACTTGAAAGATTGACTACGAACGCGTATCGAGCTCTCGCTCTCATCAATGTTAATGCGTTCTCGGGATATGGGTCATGTTGTACAGTTGCAGATTGCAATATTTTTGTTTTTCCAAAATAAAGAATTGCCACTCGATTATTTTTTTTCTCACAAAGCATTACTCAATTAGCGCGTTCGTAAGCGAATTCGACGAAGCAGATCTTGTTGATAGAAAAGTGAATTTGCTCGATTACATTCGGCGATCGTTCTGTTTTTTTATTCTTTCAGTCGTCATACTTGATCGATTACATCGATCGACAAAATATTTATTTTGATTGTTATTTCCTGATAATGATAAATAATCCGTTTTTACTCACTTTTAGACTCGTTTTACTTAAAATAGGAAGTAAGTTTTGAGAAACGACAGCTATACGATACATTGTTGAATACTTGTCTATTCTTTTTGCAAGTTTATAAATAAAATTGCAAGCTGAGGAATGGCAAATTTTTATAATTTTTTCATCCATAGAATATGAAAAAAGCAAGGTAGTATTAAAAAGAACGATTACCGAAGAATATAAAAAATAATGAAGAAAAATTTCACTTCTAAAATATCATTGCATAATATTTAACATTTTTAATCTAAAATCTATATATATATATACTTATCACATACATATATATTTATTTATTTATTGAAATTCTCGCTCATCTCTGCACATTTTATTCGAATCTTATATTCAGCCACGTTGCTATTAATTAACGATATCTTTCTATCGTTTCGGGGGACATAATGTCTTTCTCACAATAGGTCCCCAATCTTTTTCGTGGTTTCCTTTTGGGTTGGATCCACGGGCGCGAAGGAACGAGCTGTACATCGCGGAGATGAGGATGCGCGTGGCCAGGCCGACGCGCGCGCGAGGTCGAGGGGGAGCGCACGGTCGGGTCAAAGAGGCCAAGATAAATTGCAATCTAATCCGCGAGAGTCAGCCCGGGGCCAATTACGATTCGTTGTGCGTCCGCAGGAAGAGAGGAGTGGCGCCCGTGCCCGGAGGAGCGAGCGCGACGTACACCTCCTCCCTGCGAGGCCTTGCGGCAAATGCCGGCGGACCGTGAAACTCTCGTCTCTTTAAAACGCGCCGCCGAGAAAACGCGAAGATCTACGACGTCGACCGATCGGGATCGGCGGCGACGATGTGCGCCGTCCTCGGGCGCCCGCTGTCAACGCACACGTCAAAAACGATTTTGACAAATTCGAATATTCGAATTTGGATAATGTATAAGAATTATCGAGATTGATGGGGGTTGTCTTCAGATATTTAAGATCATTTAAAAAGGAATCATCATAAAGTAAAATGAATACGTATTGGTATATTATTTTATAAGAAATTTTTAAAATACAGAAATATCGAAAAATGTAAAATATATGAGTTGACGAAAATATAATTGTGCCCTGTAACAATATATTTTAATATCGATTAGATAAATATTCTAATTAGAGAAAAATTAATTTTTTTTTTCAGATCTTCGAGCGACTCGGGACAAAAAAAATGGCGCAATTAGCTTGGTTAGACTGTACTGAATCGATCCGTCCCTGACGGGGTATCGTGGCGCGGAAATGGTGGGGGATTCGAAGATTAGAGTCGCTCCTCCGCAAGCCGAAACTTCAGTTTAGTTTACTAACGGTCCCTGAGTCGCATCCTCCGTCGCGACCGGCATACGCGGCCGTCGAAATCGTAGAAAGAAGAAAGGGAGAGAGAAAAAAAGAAGAAGAAACAAAATCCGCACACGAGGGATCGAAGCGATGACGTGAGGCTGCGGTCAGAAGCAAATTCGCGACAGGAAGAGACGCGCGCTCGCACTTTTGCGCCTATTTTTTTTCCGCTGCGGAAATATTTCGCAGTGCGAGAAGAGGACAAGAAAGAAAAGTTCGGAGCGCGCGATTAAGTTTAATATGCGTCTATGAGAGACTCGTCGAGGGAGGCTGCAAACAGGTGAGCACTCATTAATCGATATATCATAATTATATTGTTTTTATCAATATAATTTATAATAATGAACTACGCGTTATGTTAATATTAGAAGAAACTTTGTCTCTCTTTTTTTGTATTTGAACTGGAACTTGTGTATCAATTATCTCATTTCATTTATTAGCTGAGAATTAGTCAACGTATTTATAATTATATGTTAAGAAAGAAAAATCCTTAGGTTAATATCCTTTTGACAAGAAAAAGAAATGTGGATAATATTTATCTCAACAAATTTAATATATTTTATTTTGTATGCTTTATTAAAAATATTTATTATGATTAATATAGCAACTTCTTAAAATAATATTTAAAAATCGAAAAGTGCATTGCAAAATATACACTCTTGAAGTTAATGTTAAAAATCTTGATGATACGTGCATCTAATTTCTAGGTAATTTCTATCTAATTTGAATGTACCATAATTTCTAGGTAATTTCTATCTAATTTGAAGGTAATCAATGAAAAAGATAAGTTTACGAATGAATGTAGAAAAGAAATTTTTTTAGCATTTATAGTCCTTAGTAACTTTTTTCAAAAATTATTATGCAAAATTTATTTAACTACATTAATTATAATCATCATTATGTGAGAGACTTTTTCTGGAAACAATGCTCGTGATTGATCCATTAAATATTTCCGTATGCACGCGATGCTCGGAATACACATTTAAGAGGTCGAAGGTCTTTTTTGTAAGATACAGACTTCTCTAATCTTGTGTACATCTTTATACATATGTAGTCATCTATTGATAGTGACATAGTTTAGCGATGCGATCGTATATGACGCATGCTCCAATAAATTTTTTAAAATATTGTAGAATATACAGAATTGAAGTTATGTAAGAAAAATAGGATTAATCTTTAAAAAAAATCTCGAGAATTGTAGATGCAAATATTAATGAATTTAAATCATTGCAAAAAGATTTTTAATTCATATGAGAGAGTTAGTAAGATTCTCTTCTTTTCTTTCAATTTATTTTTGTTAATTTTTTGCGTATCCTATTTTTAATGCTTATAAGCATTCGATAGTTCTACTCTACTAACTCTATATAAGTATTTTATTCATTTATTGGAAGTGAAAGCATTTCTAATAACTGCACAATTTGTTATGTTTGTTTTACAATTATCATTTTTCATTCAAAACAATGTTTGTAACTTTGTAATAATAATAATTTCTAAATTCCTAGAATTTCTAAGCTTTTTGATATAATAATTAAAATTTCATTTCTTTCTCGAAGGAGCAATTACATGAATATACTTAATTATCCAAACGAGACACTGAATTTGAATTTATCAAAAATATTAGAATATTATTTATATATTTGATTAAATTTACGATTACAATTTATATGATAACATCTTTTATTATTATGAATATAAGCATTACTCTTTTTGTGTCACGTGGATAACATTTGTAATGAAAAGCTTTTATATTGGAAAACTTCTCTGCACTGTATAAGATGTGGATATACGATAATTAATCAATCTCGAGTCGACGATATAAAAAAAAATGGAAAAAAAATTTTAAAAATACGCGGAAGATTAATAGCATGACTCCGACAAAAGTGCTTCTCCGACATCAAATTACCCTCTGGCGAGACGCCAGCAGAGTTAGTGTATCGTCTCGCTTTAAAGAAGTTAAATTTCGAATTTATGCGATCTCTCATGGCGGGAAACGAACGTCTTAACGAAGGTAGCGGCCTCTCTTTTAAGCCACGCGCGCGTTCCGTGTTTATGAATAGATTTTAAAAACAGATTCTGCACACACAGATGGATGTTACGCGACCCTTCGCTGAGTTTTTCGGTGCACAAAGAGGCTGTTTCTGCAGTCAAAACTAGCGCCATTGTCCGCTTATATCTTTAACATCCTGTGACTCTTGATAAGATTCATATGCTTGAAACATTTTGCAGAAGAACGCTTCTCCCTAATGAATAATAAAGTACCGAAACCCCAAGTTTCTGTTATCCAAAATAATTAATACTTTTCCCTTACAATTAGAAGGAACAAAGTTTTTAAATTTAATTAATATATTTAATTTAATTAATATATTATAATGTATTAAAATTAATATAATATATTATGAAATATTAAAATTAATATAACGTAATATAATGTATTAATTAATATAATATAATTTAAATAGGTTTTCGTAATATAATTAATTATTTTTATCAATATAATGAACTAACGCGTTATGTTAATGTTAGAACGAATTTCGTCTCTCTTTTGAACTTGACTGGAACTTGTGGATCAATTATTTCATTTTATTTATTAGTCGAGAATTATATAGCTAACGTATTCATAATTTGCATCTGTAAATGTGTTCCATTTCGTTTTTAGACAGTTTAATGCGCCACAAGTGTAACTATAACTGTAGACACTTCGTTGCATAAGAGGGCAACTGTATATCTCTAGTTATCCACTTCAATATTGTATCTTTAAGCGCCGGCCGCGTTAAATGATCGAAGATGACTGTATGCAGCTATTGCACTGCGATTCCTTCGTAGAAGATGCGTGACGATTAGTAGGCGCGAAATCGAAAGCATCGCGTAAAGCGAGCAGGGTCGGATTTAAACGACCAGCAAGTTATTGTAGAATGTATAAAGCTTGGTTGACTGCTGTCGATGTTATATATTATAAATAACATATTATATAAGCACAATAATTAAGAGAATTAACCGCATCGTAAAAAGGTTATAAAGATTTACTTAAAAATCTTGCGTATTTTATAAACAACAAATTACGTAAGTACAATGATGAACAAAGGAGAATTATTATTAACCGCGTCGTAAAAAAATTATGAAGATTACTTAGAAAATTAATAGTATAAAATATAATAAATATAATAGTAAAGAGTAAAAATTAAATCAATATACGCACAAACTCAATATATGATGCTTACAATGTGAGAATTTTCACGAGAGACTGAAGTAGATATAAAAAGAATTCTATGTTTATTTTTTATTTTTAGTTCTCTATTTTAAAATCATTTTATTTTCTGTTTCGTCAGAAAATTGAATAAATTTAGGCCGTAAATATTTTTTTATTTTATTTTTGCCACACGTCAAGATTAAATACAAGTCGGCAGTACACGGAGAGAATTTTCTCTTAGAATTTACTCTAAAAATCATGGTAATCGTGGGACAATATGGTATTGGAAGAATTTTATAAGTTTCTCTGATTAAATACTTAATACCACAATAAAAAATATTAATATATACGTAGTAAAATAAATCGAACATATTTTATATCTTATTGGCATAGATATTAACATTTTTCTTGTGGTAAATATTAATCAGAGAAACTCTTACAAAATTCTTTTAATGCTATATACTGTCCCACGATTACTATGATTTTTAGAGTACATTCTAAAAGAAAATTCTCTCTGTGTGCAAAAAAATTGTTAATAATGGGATAATAATATTAAAACTTTAGAGTGCGCTTATGCATTCTACAATGCACCGATGCACCGATCCTGAGCGAGAGCGGCTGCGTGCCGCACGCTTTCGTCTCGATTCGCCAGGATGCATCTGATTTAATAATAATCTCGCGATTTCACGACGCGCAATTTCGCGGCACAAAAGGGAGCAAATCGCCACGTGATTATTAGATGGACGCGTGCTTTTCCGCGCGGATTAATCCGCTAATCGAGATGCAGCCTCTCGTTTTTTCCTCTCGGATATGCGTAAAGAGTGTCCGCCAAAGTATAAAAATTCGTGGTGTGCACAAACATCGCTAAATACACATTCATAATTAACAAGCTTCTTTTAGTAAATATTCTTTTATATCTATTCATTTTATTTCCCGACAAAAATGTGCATAAATTCAGGTTGTAATATAGGCTAAAATGTAGCTATAATAGCTAATTTTTTGTCGTGTATATAAATATTCTTTTATATCTCTTGATTTTATTCCCCAACAAAAATGCACATAAATGCAAGAAAGCATGTATATATATATATATTTACGCGTTTGCTCTTCCGTGGAAATGAAAGCGTTTTGAGATACAATCGAGCTATCAAGTATTAGTGCGCGATTCGTTAACGATTTAATGTACCGTGCTAATCCTAGGAAGGTAAATCATTATGAAAGCATCACATATCATCCGTACTACCGAAGTCTTTGTATCCGGTAAAAGTTCGGCGCTTTCATCCGTTTCTTTTTTTCTTAAAACTTGTACGCTTTAATAGCTCGTCTTTGTAGGATCGTATTTTCGTGATAGACTGTTTTTAAAAGTGGACGAACAATATCTCGTATATATTATATATTCATACGAAATATGTAAATATTATACATTCGAAATACGACGATCGTGACTGAAAATTAAACAAAACTCGATGAAAGTTTTTCGAGAAGACGAGACAAAAGTGACATTATTATCTTCTCAAAAAGACGCGCGTATCATCATCACAAAGCGCAGGAGAAAGAAGAAAAAATAAGAAAGAATATTGTCATATGCGCGGTCTTTCTTATTCAATGCAAAACAGGTGATTCACGTTCCCGCTGTCGCATTTATATCCAGATGAGCGCACACAGGGACATTTTAATAATATTTCCTCTCGTCCTTTTGCAGACACGCCGCTTAAGAGTCTAGAGACCACTCAGGAAGGACGAGACGGCGAAGGAGACGCGAAGATGAGATACAAGGTGAGACGCATGTCCTTTTTTTTCCTTCCGCACATCTTATATTCTATCATTCATTGACAGAATATAATGACGAATTTATGCGGAGATTAAGATAAGTAGGATTCGAATGTCATCGAAACGGCTGTCTCATTAAAATTCAATCGTCTATTCTCTAATCGATTTGTCAGAGACTCGACTTTTCCTCCTGCGAAAAAATATATAGTTATTACGGAATTATTTAGCTTCCATACACGGAGAGAATTTGCTCTTATATTGTTAGAATTTACCCTGAAAATCATGGTAATCGTAGGACAATATAAAAAGAATTCTATATTTATTTTTCTTTTATTTTCTCTATTTAAAAATAATTTTATTTTCTGTTTTATCAGAAAATAAAATTATTAAATAAAATTTGGCCGTGTAAATATCTTTTTATTTTATTTTATTTTATTTTGTATTTACGTCAAGATTAAATACAAGTTGGCAGTACACGGAGAGAATTTCCTCTTAGAATTTACTCTGAAAATTATCATAATTGTAGGACAATATGGCATTGGTAGAATTTTATATGAGTTTCTTTGATTAAATATTTATCACAAAAATATTTATATATATTCATAATAAATTTTACTATATACAAAGTAAAATTAATTAAACATATGTTATATCTTATTGTGGTGAATATTAATTTTTTTATTGTGATAAAAATTAATGAGAGAAGCTCTTATAAAATTGTTCCAATACAATATCATATTGTCTCACGATTATCATGATTTTTAGGATAAATTTTAAGAGAAAATTCTCTCTGTGTAGATTAACGTGCACGATTTTCTTATAATAACATAATCGCACGCATGCATAACAAATTATTCTATTATCTCTCATCTACTAAAATGATATGCACTTACTGTGATTAATACTTGCTATCATACGATATATGAGGCTAAATGAGACTGAATATTATATGAGCTATATCTTTTAATAAAAATTTAAAAATTCGAGAATTTAATCCAAATTTGTTGTATATTTTCTTTATCGCTTCAAAAAGTGATAAAGAAAATATTTAATTTTCTGCTAAAATTTTACTTGATAAAGTAATGATCGAAGTCAGAAAAAAACGCATCAAGGTTCGATCGGAAAATGCGCAGTAAAGTTGCGTCAAGATAAAATCGTCTCCAAATCAAGGAATACGTTCTTAAAATTTCATGCAAATTTCTGCATGTTCGTATAATAGTCTCGTTTCACATTCATCTCGTGTGTAGATTGTAAGGAAATCAACATCACGCAATTGGAAGCGATTTATTTAAATTAATTCTAATTGATGAATGTACTTTGAAGGATTATCCCGCTCGTCACACTTTACACAGACGATGATTTATTCTTATTATTTAAATATTTATCTTTAAATCGATAACGTTACATTAATTCATAAAATCCATCCAATGCTTAAGGAAAGAAAGAAATTAATATAAAGTTCGATTGAATAAAATCGAATGATTTATTTTAAATATTATATTATAATTATTCGAATCAATTATTGGATTCGATTGTAATTTGCTAGTATTCACTCCTACTTGTTGATAGTTTCCTTTCCGGTTATCGGATCCTCCTTCCCTCATCTCATTTCGCTATCGGCATTCGTGTTTTTCGCGTCACGTGTGTGCTGATCTGCATAAAACATCGATTGTTTTTTATCATTATACCGCGATACGTAAGGTGAGGCGCAAATAATTGCGCCGATGTTAATGCGAAGAATGGAAATCATTAAGCAAAGTGCTCACATAAAGTCTACAGAAAGATATATAACTTGAGAGACTCGATTTTTATTTGTTAATATATGTAAATGTGAAATTATATAAAAACATGCAATATGGAAATTATTTTTATAATTTTGTCGCACATTTTCTCGTTATTATTTTTGCATTGACTATTATTTCAAATTTTTCAAAATTTAGATGTATACAGCTGTCATCATCGCGAATGAAACTGAAGTTCTTTAACAAATATATATATATATATATATATATATATAAAATTATAATTATATATATTAAATAAATATTATTCGCGCGTGGTCATGAATTTTTGGCTTGCACAATCAATCGATCAATCGTTATTTTCTTCGATTAAATCCAATTAAGAGGAAAAAGTAAACTGCCGTGTTCGACTATAACTTCGTTACAGAAACCGCAAATAGTTGAACATTGCTGAGATCGATTCTAGTTTTCTTATACTTGACGGAAAAAGAGGTCAATCGGTTGCAGGTAAAGGATAATTACAATAAGACCAGTTACTAACAACGAATATCGCGTTTTATTCGTGCTCCAGGCAGATGATACCATTTATGGCAAATATCGATTTTCTCCTTTCGTAGCACGACTACGTACTTCATGTATTTTTCTGAATTTTATATATATATATATATATATATATATATATTATTCTTCCAGTTGGAATGATTATAAATGAAATAAAAAATATAGTAAGACAAAAATTAAAGGGACTAAAGCTATAGAATTGTAATGCTTTTAGCTTCGCGAACGTTTGGGTGAATAATTGGAATAATCTTATCGACTTTTTATTTATTCACAATCTGTCTACATCCTTTCTCTATTCATTTTCTCAACTTGTTGTCATCTGGTGATACGAGCTTGCACATTGACCCCATATTTCAACGAGATTATTTCGAAAATATCATTGTTTCTTCCATCAAAAAAGTAGGCAAAAGAAGTAGAGCATATACAGATAGATCCGCAGCGAGAGAATCGTTCGAGAAATTCGAGTCAATAACAAGAAGAGTACTTGAAAAGAATTCATTTCGCGAACCCCTTCTCAGAAGTCATCAAGCAATGCAGTTGCATTCTGCGTCATTTAAGGATGTATAGGAGATGTTTAAAATGGTATCAAATTTATATAAATTATATAGATTGCTTCTATTTTGATACTAAAGCTATTGTTAACATTTGACTTTTAATTCACTAACTCATTTAAAAGTTATTGCAATTGAAATTTCTACTAGTTTTACATATAATCTTATGAAAATTCTTTATTCTGATTGATTATATTACGTTAAAAATATCGAAAACAAATGATATTTTTAACGTAATATATATGTATCTTAAATTTTGTACATGTGTAGCTTGTACTTTAAAGAACAATGTTGTAAAATTACATTAACATTCATTAAGCCATTTAGAAGAAAATAATAAAATAATTTGTTGAAATTCTGGCTTTTTTTCGATTTCTGAGCACTCGGTTGTGTCAGTGTTAAAAACAGCTGAAAGGGATATTAAATTATAACAATTTTTTATTAGATGAATAGCTTTTCTATACTATAAGATGGATCGATACTTTTGTCTCCGATTCTATCTCCCATACATCCTTAATAAAGCTAAAAGCCGGAAAGCTCTCGCAAGTCTCTGTGATTTGATAGGATCTATGTGATCAAACCGGAATCAAGGATCCATGAAAATAGGATTTTGCGAAAGTAAAAATTCGCAAAAATCTCTCTCCATCTAGGGAAACCATTTGTTCCAAGGAGCGAGTTCTCCGTAGAGAGATCATTTCGACTCTAAAATAATTAGCTCTCGCGCTTGGTGAAAGAAATTATGAATACTCGGGACGCGATAAGGATCGCCTCGATCGCTGAAGCTAGAAGTCAGTGACCACCTTCGCTACCGTAATTGTATTATTATCGAGTAATGGCGCGATAATGGGTTTCAAGCATCAACAGCGCGGCGACACTTACGACTCATCCCCACATTCGCGTCGTTGAAATAGAATCCTCTCAATGGAGCATTGAGGCATCCCACTTGCAGGACGCGATACACACACAGATTGCGTGTAGACTCGAGTGTTGGCCACTTTTGAAGATGGTCTACGGACGACAATCGTCTTCCTTCAACCTACATTTTGCGGCATCGTTGCAAAATAATTCAATTGCTCGTCGCTATCGAATGAAAACATCGAAGAAAAGTCATGTTTTCCGTTGATTGTTTGTAGAGTTAAAATGATCTCTCCGCAACATCAGTTTCGTATAAACGTATCAGATGAAGAAGATACGTCTGATGAATAAATAAACGAATAAAACACGTTATACGAGCGTGATGCTCATCGCGCGATTGCGTATATTCTATGTTGTATGTATATTTTGCTTTTTTCGAGCGGGAAAATATTTCAACAAAAATACCCCGAACATTTGTCTCGTCTCTTCGGAGAACAGACTGCCAACGTAAACGAGAATAATGAGCCGGTCTCGCGAAAACGTCATCCGAATCTCTCAACGGAGGAAAGTCTCGACCCGCGACACGGACGGACTGGCCGAATTTCTAAGTCTAGCCGTTTATTTTGAAAGTGGCACAAATCGTATATATTTGAAAATATTAATAATTTCATGCGAGCGAGAGAGACAGGAGTATATACATAAATCAAAATAGCGTATTTAATTAATATGATTTTGATTTATATATGTCATTGTCAAAACAAGCGTTCAAATAATTTATTGCATTTTTATTATCGATTTTACACTGAAATGACACGAGCTGTGAAAAATGCTTGCGTGGATAGAATTGATAATGGAAAAAAACAAGAATTATTCATTCAGCACAATGCAATTACGATGGAGAAGGCCGCGTCTAGAGAGACAAATTACTTGAAACGTATATATTATAAGCACACTTTCTTTGTACTTGGATAATTTTACACTAAAAACATCAGTATTTTACAAAACGTGTAATAATGAAGAAACATTTATTTGATAGAAAATAAATCATTCGATTTTGAAAATCTTAACACAGTATCTAAACAAAATTAAAATTTACGACAGAATTATGTAATTGAAATTTATCATACGATCTGTCAGATATGTGTGTGTATATGTGTATTTACATATTCTGACGTGATTTATATTAAATCTATATTATTTAATATATATATACCTATATTATACAATATATCTATATATTAAATAATATAGATTTAATATATTAATTATATATAATAAAAATATATATTTTTTAATATATTTAATTTAATAATTAATATAAATTCAATATAGATTTGTACTATATCTATTATTTAAAACAATTATATTTGCGTTACAAATTTTGAATATACCGATATAATGGAGATGTGTAAAGAGTGTGCAGCATATAGATTGAACGATAGTATTCACGTGCCGCACGACGATCGGAGTCAATGTCTTATATAGCGTTTTAGAGTGTCTCGTATATGTGATGAGCTGAAAAACACTCTAACGACAAACACTCTACGGTGCATCGACGAGAATTACTCATGTTGACTGACACCTGACGAGAATGAACAATCGATTAGAGGAATGTACATCGATAAGTCATGCTTTTAATCGTATTATAGAATATTATAGAAAGTTCAACAATTACCGCAATCGATAGCGAGTAATATATTAAAATAAAAATCGCATTAGATAATTGGCAGCAGAAGTGAGTAAAAAATTAATCATATACATTAAAAAATTAGTTATACAATATTATTGTGAATAGCTGCTGTCGTTAAACGTATGTGCATCTTTAATGTGTACTCAGGGTAAATTGTGTGATTGATAAACTATCATTTCATTACATAACTCTGGAGAACTTTTTAAAAAATACGCGATTAAAGATGAGAAGATATATAATTAGCAAGCAACTACATTTCATCGGAATAGAACAAAGCAGGCATGTTATGTGAAAATCCATTATTTTATAATTAAAGATTATATCGTCTTTAAAGGACTTTTGCAATCTACTTTTCAAATTTAAAAATTGGAAACGTACGACGAAAAATATATTAGCTCCTACCATTAATCTTAGATTTCATAAGTGAAATTAGTACTCTTCTGAAGAAAAATGATTTCGCTCGTCTGAGTAATTAAGACTCTTGTCGGAAAGATTCATGGATAGATTAATGAATAGTCGTAAAATTCCATCAAGTTCAAAACTTCACTTTTGCTGGAAACGTAGAATACGTGTAAATTATACGTACATTTACTAACATACACAGAGAGAATTCTCTCTTAGAATTTACCCTGAAAATCATGGAGTTTTCCTGATTAAATACTTACTACTAAAGATATTAATATCTACCACAATAAGATATAAAATATGATTAAATTTTACTATGTACATATTATAATATTTTTTATTGTGATAAATTAAGAGAAAAATACCATATCGTCCCATGATTTTCAGGGTAAATTCTAAGAGAAGCATACAAAAATTAATTGATTTCGACATGACTCGCAGGAAAAGAATTAGTATAATTTTCGACATTGGTTGCAGCCAGGAAACGAAACGCGTTAAACCTTCGCTCAGCAACTTTTTTATCTCCCTAGTCTCCAGCGTGATGTAAATACGGAAAGAAAATGGAATTATCCAACGGCCCTGATTGTCTATCGCCGTCGATCGTCGGAGCAGGAATCTATCAACTTGTGACGCAAGGAATTAATTATGCGCGATATTCCGCGACGGAAACAAAGGCGAGAAGAATATCGTAGGCGCAAGCATAATCTCTCGTCGAGAGAGATACACCCGATGACTCCGGTTATCGGCGAAATATGCAATGTATATACATAGGAATGCAGTCGATATGATTATATTCATTTAACAGCGAACGTGAGCCAATTCGACAAGTACTTCCCGATCGGGACCAATTGAAATTCTATTGATCCGCCGTGAAATTCAATGTCAGACGCACTGTTAAACGGGATTTGCATCTTCTTAGCTCGACGTTAAACGGTGAAATCTCACGACGTATACATATATGCAAGGACAACGTATATCGGAAGCGACGTCAGATGGATGACAATTACTTGGCCGCAAGGACGCGCGATCGGCAGCGAGTATTAAGGCCGATGACAATTGCCGACAATTGCGAGTGGAAAACATGAAAACAGTCATTTAAAATAAAAATGCCCGGCTATTAACGTAACCCGAAATGGAATGTAATTTTCCGTGAATTTTCACGCTAGCGCGCGGTACATAATTTATATCAATTGAACGCGAAGGAGTTAATTAATTGCGAGGTGGATATTTCACGATCGTAAATTACATGCTACTGTTTAATTGCGACTATTAAAAATTGAATTGCCGTATGTTACGACGTGAAAAATGAAAGGAAGGAATAATATGACACGTGCGATTCTCGACACAAACATGACGTCAAAAATATACAATTCCATTATTATTCGTTTTTTAAAAGAAATCTATATAAAAGATAAAAATAAATTTTAACTATTTTATTATAATATGAGAAATAGCAAGAGCAAAATCCTTTGATATAACAACATATACAATAAATTTTTAAATTTCTTCACGAATAATAAGCTATACATTATAAATTGACATTAAATAACTGATGAATGTACAAGTAGCTCTTTTTCCACTCAGGCGTGAGTCTTAGAGAAGAGAAGACGAGAAGTAAACAGAAAAAGTTAGCTAAAAATAACTTAGAATCATGTGCTATACGGTATCTCGTTAAAGAATCGCTCTGTTTAATCGAGTGTAGAAAAACAGATACACGATTGCGCAATCCGGTTTATATACATGATGGACAGATGAAAAGAAGAAGACGAGGAAGAAAAAGACGCTCGAGTGTACATACACATATTTCTCGCGCGAAAGTCTGTCGATTCGGTAGGTTGAAGAGAGCATAATGGGAACATTGTCAGACGCAGACTGATGCGTCTGCGGAAAATCGGTTTTTTTGTCTCTCGGTTGTAAACACGAAGGCGGTAATCTAACTTTTAGAAAGCTCAGAGCCGACTACACCAACGTCAATTAACGCCAATCGCATTTATCTAAATTGTTTTTAATATTACTTATTATTATGATCAATATATCATGTGTGGTTGAAAGAAAAGTCAAGAAATAATTAAGCTGCACGGAGAGAATTTTCTCTTGGAATTTATCCTGAAAATCATGGTAATTGTAGAACAATATATGGTAATGAAAAAACTTTATATGAGTTTCTCTGATTAAAACATTTACGACGATAAAAGATATTAATGTGTACATAGTAAAGTTAATCGAACGTATTTTTGTATCTTATTGTGGTAGATATTAATATTTCTATTGTAGTAAATATTAATCAAAGAAACTCTTATAAAATTGTCCCAATATCATATTGTCTCACGATTATCATGATTTTCAGGATAAATTTTAAGAGAAAATTCTCTCTGTGTAGCGAAAAAATAAATTGAATCGGATTAAATCATTTTTTTGGTTTAAATTCTTAAATATTTTAAAATTGAATATCTTAATTTTAAAAAAAGAATTTTTTATTTTATAAACATTTTTTTGGCTTTAAAAATCCAAAGATGTTATATTTGGTCACAAGTGACAGAGTTAATGAAATAATGCGAAACGAAGGAAGATGTATCGTGCATGTGCCTGTCAAGAAAATTAAAAGATGGGAGATGAGACTGTCTTATTAAGAAGAAGTGAAGAAATTTCGGAATGTCAATTGTGTGAACTTTTTGATTCATTAATTTTAGTTGAGGACATTCCACGTCTTTGACATAGATTACGATTCAAGATAGAATGCAGATACACACACAGTTGACCATAATTAATATTAATTGATGTCGGTGAAGTTGGGAATTGAGTGATCTTGAAGGATCGTGTTTGTTAATCAGCGCGAATTTTTTCATTCATGTTTATATTATGATTAAAGATATAATTTAGAAATATAAACCACAAATTTAGCTAAATCTTTTATTATGTTTGTTCAACAGACGTCAAAAAATGATTTCTATTTCAAAATAAGTATTTCAAAGAATTGTATTGAAAATATGTATAGGATATTGTGTCATTCAGTGCGCATTAACTTTCCAAAGTAATTTCACAATTTAAAATGTCATATAAATGCAAATTCTCAAACTTATAGCGCATAATTTATATTATGACAGCAAGCTGATAGCACAGGATATGTCCTCGTCCTAGAGTTACACGAACATCCGAGTGTCCTTAGAATTGTATATACGGAAGAGCAATGTCGAGTTCTGTGAAATCATTCTTTCCAACTGATTGCGCTATAATTACAGACAGAAGCAACTGTTTTGCGCGGTTTAAATCGACAAAGTATCATCTGTCCTGGCCATTAAGTTGTGTGATCGATACACTCACCTTGTCCCAGAATCGGAACGGAATTACTTCGGGTATTATTCTTCTCGTGCCCAATATCCTGTATCTTGTTGACGGACGATTCTCGCCCCATTAAATCGGTCGAAACTATTCGCGGTGATGACGCGTAAATAAATGAAAAGCCAATGCAAGCTTACATAAGGTTTGCTCCGGCCAGATGTGCAGAGTTTACTATCGGCCTAGCATAAACGCGGCGATAGTGCTTTTATTTAGATGTATCGATCAAGACTCGTCACAATCCACCCTTCTAACATCGTTAGAAAAATTTATACAGGTTCATATGTTCGCCAATTCTAAATAAAATAGAGAATAGATCTTTATCGCGATGATAGTCAATGCAAACTGCTTTTTTTATTTTATTATATTAATAGATAAATCAAGATTATTAGATTACGAATTTTTCTACATTTCTTATCTTTTCCTATATTTTGATCTCTCTTGCTGTCTTTGCGGAAAACTATTTTTCTGTTTAGAACTTTCTTTTTTTAAGTATGCAATTCATAAGAAGATCGAATCAATCGTTCTTGTGCCTCAAGGTCCCTGATTATGTTTTATAAAATGTATCTGTTTGGCTGAACTTTGATTTCTCATTCCCAAGACTCGGAGTACACAAGTCAAATCACATAAGATATATGTTGTTCTTTTATGAAATAACCATTTTACTGTGTATTATCTATTATCTCAAGCAATTATACAACTAACTATTGCGGGAACATTTTTTGATATTTCATATATATTTGTTATCATGAGTGGAATAAACGATAAGAAAAGAGTAAAGCATAACAATTGTACAATACATAATTATGTCTTATGCAGGTAAACGACCCGGAAGATAATGAAAGAGACACGGGGAGAACGCCAAAGGAAATTCCGATGTTTCGTGGTAATTAGCATTTTTCTTCGTTAAACAAATCAATACTATTCTCTTACTTCTTGTTCCCTAGCCCTGGTATGATTAATGATCCATTTGATAGATTCTGATTCTATATTGTAAAAATCTTTCCAAATTTCATTACTATATTAAATATTAAATAAGAACGTAGATATTTGAGAATCGCCAGACAGAATTTAAAAAAGGTAAGAATCTTCTCTCGACCGTACTGGCAAATATTATTTATTCAATCACAACGTTTCGACCTTCTTTGAGTCCTTATCAAGTGATTTGTAAAAATAAAAATAAAAATAAAATGTCTCCAATAACTCGTCTAAGAGTCTAGACGTGTTGTCAAACCGACACTATGTTTGTTCTTGACATCTTAAAATTATAATTTTATTTTAATTTTTACAATTCACTTGATAAGGACTCAAAGAAGGGTCGAAACGTTGTGACTGAATAAATAATATTTGCCAGTACGGTCGAGAGAAGATTCTTACCTAAATTAAATATTATTCATATTATATTTATTTATGAATTTAAATTTTATTTATATTACTAAAGTGAAAAATCTAATAATATATAATTTTTATTTTTAATCGAATTCGGAAGTTTGAGAACAAGTTCTTCAATTATATATGTAGATTACAAGTTGCAGTCCAATTTGCGGTTCCAATTACGTTAAATTTTCAGATTCACTATCTTTATTTTTTTCTCGACAGGAATTACAATCAGAGAGATGAGAAGAAATCAAGCGGCAAGGAAATGAGACTCGTAATTGTTGTTGGCCTGTTAGCGGTGACTGTCATCGCTCTCATTGTAGCGTTGACTTTGCAGATGGCGGTCTTCCGTAAGGAAGAGTACAAGGAGATGTGCCAGAGCGAGGAATGCATCAAGACAGGTATACGACACCTCGCTATATTTATTTTTAACTCATTTCAAGAAAAAATAATGAGAAATACATACGATACGAAATTCCGAATTTTTATTTAGAAAAAAAGTTTGAGTAATCTTCTCGAATTAAATGTCAAGACAGAGATTTATATTTTTTCGTGACTATAATAATAATAATAATTTCGAGAATTTCGCTCTATTACGATAATACTGAGATGCATAAAATAATTCCCGTTTGCATAGCGGCACGAGTGATAGGCGCGATGAACAGATCCGTGGATCCTTGCGAGGATTTCTATAATTTCGCATGCGGCGGTTGGATCAACAAGCATCCGATTCCTCAAAGCCAGAGCTTTTGGGATCAGCTGAGCTTGCTTAGGGAGAAACTATTGGAGAATTTAAGGATTTTACTGGAGGAGCCGGATAAGGAGACCGATCTTAGGCCAGTCAAACTAGCAAGAGCACTTTATAAAACCTGTATGGATATCGGTAAGTCTTAAGGATTAATAAAGTTATTAAAGAGGACTTAAAAGTTGTCGAATGATGAATTATTAAATCATATTATAATAGTAAAATTATTAGAATTCTGAATTTAGAGAAGAAAGGATTTTAATTACCGAAGAAAGTTTAGTTTAAGAAATTTATTATTATATTGCGCATACATTTAGATATATTTTATTGAATTTTTAATACAGTAGTAATTTATGAGGCTTGAAAATATTTTTAATTGTTGGAGAGTATCTAACGATAAAAAAAACAATAATCATATCCTCGCGCACCAACAATGCAAGGCGTTAACGGATCTCTAGTAATTTGTTTACACCGATGATAAATTATTCAGTAATTGTTATTGTTTCGCGCGGAGATAAAATGCATGGAATGACATTTACATAAGCAATAAAATCGAAAGGATAATTTAACAATACCTCGCCGCTCGTGTTACAATACATATATCATTACCATTATGGTGTTAGTCACAACGTAATAAGGTAAATTGACAACTTTATTACCACGAAGAAGCAACCGGAACTCGCGTGCCTCTGAGCGATCGCGATTACGAATCGCATAACCAAGCGTGTAAAATGATTTAAATAGAAGCAGCAGGTATTTTCAAATAACCACAAGTATAATTCGTACACTGAAAAAAAGTTTGTTAAATTAATAAATATTTAGTTCAATAGTTCAAATAAATCATTTATTTGAAACAAATAAATATTTATTTGATATAAGAAAATCTTTTTCAAAACAAAAATCAATATTTATCTGTTTCAAATAAATGATTTATTTGAACGTATGGAACTAAATATTTGTAAATTTAACAAACTTTTTTTAAATGTATGGCTTATGTTGCGCGCAATTTAAAGTAATAATAATAATATAAGTTAAAAAAATTATTCGCAGCCTTAAACAACAATAAAATTAGTCTCTAGAATTACGGAAAAAATTATCGAATTGCAGCGAGCGTCGAAGCCTTAGGATTAGAGCCCATCTCCGAGGTACTCAATAAATTAGGCTTGCCAAAGGATCCACCGATGCAGGGTAAAATACCTTCTCTCGACATATCAAGATTAACAGGATTAGCACAGAGAGCACTGGGCTTAAATCTCTTTATTAATTTTTACATCAGCGAAGACGTTAAGGATACTTCAAGAAATCGAATGATGGTGAGAACATATTTAAAAATTTATATTATTAGTAAAAAAAATTAATGATTCAGTGATAGAAAAGTGTAATTCCAAAAAATTAAAATTGTAGGCAAATTAAAGAATCGTGTTTTTATAAAAAAAAAAAAAAAATGAAAAGTTTCTTTTATATATGAATATTAAGGATATTAAGGTATATGAATATTAAGGTATATTATCTTTAAATAAAAAATTGCTATAGATCATTATCAAAATTTGTAGAATTATTATAATAGATATTTAGAATTTTATTCGACTTTATTTAATTTTTGATATTTTCATATATGGAATTTAAAAGAAAAGTGACAGAATTTTTTATATCCTTTTAATATTGAATTTAACATGATTCAATTGTGTGAATACAATTTCTTATTGTAATTTTTTTGTTTTTGGAAAAATATTTCTACTGATACAAATATTATGTTATTTTCATGACAAAAAAACATAAAATACTTTTAGATAGAGCAAGCATCTCCCGGATTTAGCGAGCGTTATTTACTAGATCCACGACGATTTCAATTAGAATTGATGGAATATAGAAAGTACATAAAATCCATGGTCGAACTCGCAGGGGCTGGCAACATGAGTGCGAATTACGCCAACGAGATCATAGAGTTTGGCACTAAACTCGCCAAAGTAAGTTTGCTTTATCAAATTATATATTATATTAATTTTTCAAATATATATTTATATTAGAGACAACACATTTCGAAAAGTTATTTATCCGGTAACCGTAGTATGGAATCGTTTGGCATTGAATAATCAAACATCTTTTTATCTTTGATTACTCAACGTCCAATGTGAGGATAATCGTTTCAGGAGCACGTTTAATTATTTTGAAATCCGTCCAGATCATGGCGACACCCGAGGAGCGGCGTAGTGCGGATCATCTTCTTCATGATGTGACGATCGACGAGCTGCAACAACTCACCGATATGCGCGTGTTGAAGGTAGAGCGATATTAATTATTTATTTCCGGGCAAAGTATGGAAAAGAAGCAATTTAATAATACAATAAGTATTTTGAAATTAAACGCGAAGAAATATTGAGTCGCAAGAAGATGTCGAGAAATGAAATAATATTTAAAATTATGATGGATAACATGTATAAAAAATTATTTTTTAATTTAATATCTATTTCATATATAGGAATATCTTTAATTTTTACATAAAATAACTTTTTGTAACTTGAACTGAAATGATTATTGATAACAAAAAGAACATCGTTCTTAGTATTCAAGTAATCAAACGCGTGAATGCTCTTTTCAGTGGAATTGGACGAGGTATCTGGAATCCGTATTCGAGAACACAAATGTCACGATAAATCCAACCGTAGATCGAGTTATCTTAATAGACCTGCAGTATTTGCAGAAATTACCGTTGCTGCTATCCCTCACGCAACCCGCCACGATAGGTACGTCTAATTTACGTGCCCTCGTCGAACCAAGGGCGATTGCCACTCGGCATAATGCACTCACTCAGCTTGTTACTCATTGCGCCCCGTTGCTTTCGCCTTCATTAAACGTCCACTAAACGCGCGAGAGAGGAGATCTACTGCCTGTATTTGTAACGCGGAAGCATCCCCTTTGCGTTTATACATTCAAGTATTTGCGATGACCAAGAAAATTTTTTAATCCATCCAATCAAATAATTATTGATAATAATAAATTAACAAATGTCTTCTGTCATCGACGACAGGGAAGAATAATCAAGGTGTTTATTCTCAAATTTTGTAATAAATTTCCCTGATTTTTTAAATTCCAAGTAAATTAAGAAAATTTGTAAATGCTGATTTGAATATAAGTTTCTTTATTATACGCGTTTTTTAATGTTTTCTATACACACGATTGCAAAGTTATCAAGAGAACAGTTTCCTAACATTTAATATTGATTTATTAATTATAAAATTAATTTGAAGAATTACTATTATTTGAATAATAATTATAAAATTAATTTAGACAATATAAAGTACGACACATCATTATATCTAAACGCTAAAAATATACACAAAAATATAAAATAAAAATATTTAAAACAATAATAATTTATTTTAACTTCTTAAGAAATACTAATTTATTTAAATATTACCTATTAAAAAATTGAACAATTTTGAGATTGCCAATAAGAAAAATTACATAAAATTTTAATAAAAACTTAACTATTGTAAAGACATATTTCTTAAGTTATATGCTAAATAAGAATAAGCTTATCAGAAGCAGTTTAAAAAAAAATTCCCAATTAAATTCCACGGGAATTCTCTGATTTTTCAAAGTAGAACAAAATTCCCTGAGAGAGAGTACCATTTTTTCAAAGTTTTTCCTGAGGATATACACCCTGAATAATGTTATGGAAATCTCCATGAAAAAGAGAGAAAAGATTATTAGAAACGAGGTTAAAAGATCGAAAGCTATCATATCTACAGTAAGAGAAAGTGCATAGTTAGCTTGTTTATGTTAAAATACCACCGCTATAATCTCGAGTTGTATATGCACGATACAGATAAATGTCGATTTTTCAGTTCGATATGTCTGGTGGAGCGTGTATTCGACCGTTGCCCCTTTGACGCTGCAAAAGTTTCGCGATCTCGGCTTCCAGTTCTCGCAGAAGGTCTTCGGACTGAAGGAGAAGACACCGCGCTGGAAAGGATGCACTGGAAACGCGAACGCAAACTTCGGCATGGCGCTCAGCTACATTTATGCGCAGAGACACTTCAACGAGCAGGCGCGAGAAAAGGTTTGCGCAAAATATATAACTGTATATAAAATATTAATACGTAAGAAAAAATATTTAAAAAATTATACGTACTGTATTAATTATTCAATATTGTTCTGATGAATTTAAAAAAATAATATGAATTATTCTATTTGATTGATTTTCTTATGTCATTGTCGATAGGCATTGGAGATGTTATCGGATATTAGGGCAGCATTCGACGAGATGGTTACAGAATTAGACTGGATGGATGTTGGCACGAGAGGTCGAGCTCACAGAAAATTACACGCAATGAGACCGTTTGTGGGATTTCCCGATTGGATCACGGATCCGAAAGAGTTAGACAAGTTTTACGAAGGCGTACGTGTATTTTTTTATATAAATATCGTTTATAATTTTAATTTAATTTATATTCCCTCCATTATAACATGCCCGACCCCCGTTTTTTAGGTGGAGGTGATCGACGGAAAGTTATTCGAGACTTTTCTACAACTGACCGATGTGGCAATGAAGAAGAGTTTCAATAATTTGCGTGAAAAGCCCGATAGGAGCAGGTGGATATCGACGGGTACGACGGTAAACGCGTTTTATAGCGTTACATTAAATTCAGTCAGTAAGTATTCAAATTAATCTCTCTTTTGTCTTTTAATTAATATAATCGTTTGTATCTATTATCATTTTCGCAATACCAATTTAATTTAGTTATTCAAATCACGGATCAGAATTAAGAAAAAATATCATTTTAGCTTTTCCAGCTGGTATCTTGCATCCTCCATTTTATGGCAATGGATTAGAGTATGTATAAATTTATATTTTACAGATAAAGAAGCAAAATTGTCGTAAATTCATATTTCAATTGATTAACTCTTTAATTTATGACGGATGACTTTCTTTTTCCCTCTAATTATTTTATAATAATTAGAAAGAATTCTAATATGCTGAACGCACTGTTTTACATTTAATAACTTTTATATCTTAATTTAAAACACTCTGTTGGATGCATTTTTAAACAAAGCTCATGAAAATAAAGCAATACATCTCCGTACGATTTAAATTATTTTTGTCGTAAATTGCAAAATTCTAACATTGCATATTTCAGATCCATCAATTATGGCGCTATGGGAGCTATCATGGGCCACGAGCTTACGCATGGTTTCGATGACCAAGGTACGACACGTGATAATATCGCTATTACTTCTCTTTAGCACTAAAATATCCGCGTATTTATAATATCTAGAATTATGCGAAATTTTGTGGCCTTCACAGGTCGCAGGTACGATGAGAACGGTAATCTTCGCCAGTGGTGGAGCGACGAGACGTTACGACATTATCACGACAAAGTGCAATGTATAATCGAGCAATATAGCAATTATTATTTGCCGGAGCTGGGCGATAATTTCACAGTGAGTACCGAGGAGTAACCCCGTTGTTTATTGAAAGTACCGAAAAGAAAAAGAGTGCCAAGGTGCTTCTTGCCGATTTTCAGGTGAATGGCATCAATACTCAGGGTGAAAATATCGCTGACAATGGCGGTATTAGAGAAGCTTACAGGGCATATCAAAGGTTGATTGCACGCAATCCGTATCAGCAAGCTTTACCTGGTCTCGCCGATTATAGCAATGAACAACTGTTCTTCTTGGGTTTCGCTCAGGTATTTAAAAAAAATTGAAATCAGTGAAAATAATAATTTAAATAATTAAATTTTCAGCGTTTTTTTGCGAAAAGACGTATGAGTAAGTAGTTCTCTACTGAAAAGAACAACTAATTTACATGTTGATAAATGCACTAATTTAAAATAAGTTAAGAATGACAATCAATGCGTTAATGCTATATGAAAGAGATAAAATTCTATACATGCTTAACGTCATTATATTTGAACTTAGATTTCATCTAACAAGAATTCTTCCTGCTTAAAAAAATTGTAATATAAATATTTTCTTGTTTATCTAGAAATAATAAATTTACAAGTTTAGAGATTTTTTTTTGTTAAGTCGGAGCTTTTTATTATATAAAAATTTTTCTGAAATACATTTTTATACATATGTATGCTTTGGAGAGCATGTATAAGTAAAAGTATTAACTATTTTTTTGGAATTAATAAGATGATTTCTTGTCAAACTAATAAAAAACTTATTTACATGTATCTCAAATGAGTATGCGAGCTTTATACGCAAATGAAGAATTTCTAATTCTCGTTAGCGTACGAAGTTATGAATATGTTAATATCTCTTTCAAGGTCTGGTGTGGCAATTACACAAACGGAGCGTTAAAGTCAAAGGTGATAGAGGGTGTCCACGCGCCGAATCACTTTCGTGTTATTGGATCGCTATCGAACAACGTCGAATTTGCGAAGGCGTGGAGATGCCCGCTCGGCAGTCCAATGAATCCACAGCACAAATGTATTCTATGGTAGATGCTCTATTATTTCGAGCGGCACAAAATGACGTAACAACGCGAGAAACTGTTATCTCATTCAAGCTGGATATCTACGTCGTGAGAGAAAAACAGGCATTGGTGCAGTGATTAATTCTAAGAAATTGTAAATATAGACTGATTTACAGTTATAGGAACTAGCGAGTAATTTATTACATACTATTCTTAAGTGCTACTCTTAGCCCTAAGCTTATTATGTAAATATCACACGGAAGAGAATAACTTTTATAAAGAGACTTCTTTCTCCTAAATTGAAACCTAATTTATTCATTTATCTTCTTTTTCCTTTTTGACATAACTTCTTTTTCCGCTTTTATTTTCTTCTTTATTTTCCTAGGCGGAGCGTCTTCGATGTTTGTCATTGGTAATTTTATTTTATGTTTTTTGTGAGAGAGAGATGATTCTTCAAGTTTATTCATCTTTTTCATTTTCTTTTTCGGAAAAGTGATTTGTGATGCAGCACTGTCCTCTTTTCGTTTCTTACTAGAAGAGTTTGCCTTTAACAGTTTTTGCTTCTTTATTGGTTTATCAATAACATCTTCTGTCTGCGATAGTACATCTTTCTTTCTCTTTGAAGTATTAGTCTCTTTTGACTCTGGAATTTTCTTCTGTAAATTCTCAACGTTGTCTTCTATAGGTCTCTTTCTTTTACGTTTTATTTTTGATGTTTTCTCTTTGGAATTTGTAACGCCGTCTGAGTCTTTCAACTCACCTTCATCTTCAATAATAACTTCTTGTTTCAGTCTGAGCCGGCTCTTCTTTTTACTTCCTCATTTTCTTCCAATTTAACTTCTTCCTGTACTAAGTCTTTATAGATTTGTGCCAGAGAAAGACAAGTAATCCTTGCGCCACAATTAACAGTTTGCAACATGTCCAAACTATGCTTGTTATATTTCCAAAGTTTAATTTCTCCAGAACTGGAAGCACTAACTAATAAGTTATTCATATGTGCAATACATTTTACTCTCATACTGTGAGCCTTTGTATTCATTGTATGCATCGAAGTTCGAAGGTCATAAAATTTGATTTCTCCATTCTCGAAACCAATAGCGATTAAAGTATCCTTTAAGAATTCTACGCAAATAACTTTTGACTCGAATGTAAGTTCTTTATCTATGCTAGCTGTTTCCACAGAATATACATATATATTTGCATTAGTAGCTAATAGATATTTTTCGCCATTCGGACTCCACTTAATGATTGTTACCCATTTAGCATCAGACTTCAGTTTTGGTACTAAGTTAGTAGCGTAAGCTTGTCTACCTTTAATCAGATTCCATGTTCTAAGCACACCATCAGCTCCAGTAGATAATGCTAGTTTTCCTGTTGGATGAATAGTAAAAGTATTGACAGCCGAACCTTTGTGTGCCGCTGACCAGAGTTTATCCAGTTGCCAATTACCACAACGAATAGCACTTATACTACCATCGTTACTGCACGTAAACAAGTGTGACCCTTCTGGAGTAAATGCAACACAATTGATGGCATCTGCAAACGAAACAAAGATTATTTCAGTATAAATTTCTTCTTATATTATAGATACGAGCACACACATAAATTTATCTATGTACCTTTATGATGCATTAATTTGACAGATTCTCTCCTATAACGCATGTCATACAAACATACTGCTTCATCGGCACCAGTAGAAGCTAGATAGTATTTATTACTGGAGACACTACGTATACTTGCAGCATGACTGTGAGTTGCAAAACTCTTCTCTATGCTATATTCCTGGAAATATAAAAAAGATTTTAGTTTGAGGTTAATTTAGAGGTTTTATGAAAAATATGGCCAAACATGTGTTTCTTTCTATGATGACTATTAAAAATATATCTTTGATAGCATCGTGACGCATTTCTATTTTGGTATTTTTATGCCATCAGCAGACGTTTAAATATCAAGTAATAATATAGTAACTTGTACAAATCAAGATACGCGTGTCATGTAAAATATACTTACATTTACGACGTTGTGCACTTTGTATCCGAGCAAATATTGCTCGTAAGTTCCCACTATGATTTCGAAAGGGTTTGATGGCTTCGGATCCAAATACATCTTTCTTTCGTTTTATTTGTAAGGTACCGGTATGAATTGTACATTCACACGTGCGTGCAAATATTGCGACGTGAAATTCTTCACTCTCTCCCTCCCATAAAATGCTTTTTCTTTATACCGCCATCTGCTTCTTTCAACACTGTCGGTAAAATCATCAAATTATTATATGTATTTATCTATAATAAATTATTTTTTTAAATAAAATAATCTATTTTGTATATTTTTTAATATATTTAGTACTTTATAAAATTTTAGTATAATTCAATTTAGTATTAAGTAAGTTGTATAATAAACTAAATATAAAAGTAAGAGGCATAAAAAATGAAATATAAAAAATACTTTTATAAAAACAAATACTGTAAATGCATTAGAACATATAAACAAATATTTAAATTGATAAGATTTATAAGTACACGTTATATAGTTATTGACATTGCAAAACAAAATATAATAACATTTCATTATTTGAAAGAAAACGATTATATAAAAATCACTTTACGATAATTTTCGCATAAAGGAAAGGAACAGTTTCAGATTTGCATTTATTTATTTGTTTCTTTCGATTAAAATTGTGGATTAAAATTGTTAGATTTCATCAGAATAACGTTATAAATAAAATTTACAGCAAACGCCAAGTAAAATCGAAATACAATAGTGAAAATTTTGAAATGCCGACACATAAAAGAGCAGAGCGACAGCCTCTTTTGATGTGATAATAATTATCTATATAATATATCCGCAATACAATAATATATCAATAGATTTTTCAATTAAATAATTATTTACTCATCTTTAGATATTGTATTTGCGTTAAATATAAATCGCGTGACACGACGTATCTACGATACAAATATTTATGTAACAATTCTAGATAAGATATATACGTGATGTTTATGACATATCTTGACATTACGCTCGCAATAACGTTTTAATTGCTGTACACTTAGTATCCTGATTATATTGTGTTCGGCTTAAACATATTTAGTGTGTTACCGTAATTCAAAAAAATGATAGACGCAAAAATTATCGATATCGATGTGCAGGATATAAGATTTCCAACATCCTTGCAACAAGATGGAAGCGACGCAATGGTAGGTATATTATTAGATAATTTTTATGACAATACGTCTGTGCTATGCTGGAAAAGCTAGAAATATATTAGTACAATAATTATATACTAATCTACTTAATAAATTTATATTATGTTTAACTCAATATATATTAATTACTCCATTTATATAAATTTTTTTATTTGTAATCTTATTAATTTTTATTTATCAGCATACTGATCCTGATTACTCCTGTGCATATGTAACGATCAAAACAGACAAAGAATACGAAGGATATGGCCTCACATTTACTCTAGGAAGAGGAACTGAAATTGGTACTTATATTGATGAAGATATCTTATTATAGATTATATTTCTTTATTTTTTATTAATTAATGAAAATTTTTATATAGTTGTACTAGCATGTAAATCCTTGTTTAAAATTGTGAAAAATCGTACAACAAGAGAGATTTATACCAACTTTGCGAAATTTTGGAGAGAGTTAACATCTGATCCACAATTGAGATGGGTAATGTATAATGAAAAGTGATGAATGTACCTATATTAATTGAAATATTACTGTCAGAATATAATTTGGAGTATAATATTTTATAGATTGGACCAGAGAAGGGCGTGATACATCTAGCTACAGCTGCTATTATAAATGCATTGTGGGATTTATGGGCACGTATGGAAAATAAACCAGTCTGGAAGCTTCTAGTAGATATGACACCTAAAGAACTCGTTTCTACTGTGGATTTCAGATATATGTGAGCAAATAAAATTTTCTACATAAAATTACATTTATAATTCGATAAAATTTTGAATATATATATCTTTCCAAGCAGTAAAGATGTAGTGACCGAAGAACAGGCGATAGAAATGCTTCGGAATAATTACATATCTAAAAATACTCAAGAATTAAAGCTGAAAAAACACGGATTTCCCGCGTACACAACTCAGATCGGATGGCTGGGCTACAGTGATGAAAAGGTCGAAGAACTCTGTAAATTGTACTTGGATCGCGGTTTTACGGCGTTCAAAGCAAAAGTGGGTCAAAATTTGGACGATGACATTAGAAGATGCGAAGTGATACGTAGAGTGATCGGCTACGAAAATAAATTGATGCTGGACGCAAATCAAGTCTGGGAAGTGGATGAAGCGATAGAATGGATGGCAAAGCTGGCGAAGTATAAACCCTTGTGGATAGAAGAACCAACATCTCCCGACGATAGCTTTGGACACAGTCGAATAAAAGATGAATTAATGAAATATAACATTGGAGTTGCTAGCGGTGAAATGTGCGCGAACCGCGTCCTATTTAAACAATTTCTGATATTTGGAATTAATTTTTGTCAAATCGATTCGGCAAGAATCGGTGGAATTAATGAAATTTTGGCCGTATATTTTATGGCAAAAAAATTGAACAGTAAGTCTGTAATCAATACTTAATTTTCTTAAAAATTTAGTATTATTAATTTTGATTTAGAAATACAAAAATATAATGGAAAATCTATTTTATTTATAGTACCAGTATGCCCACACGCTGGTGGAGTAGGCTTGTGTGAAATGGTGCAACATCTTCAAATGTGGGATTATATTTGCTTAAGTCAAACCTCTGAAAATCGTATGATCGAATATGTAGATCAACAACACGAACATTTTGAAAATCCTACCCATATTAAAAACGCTCATTATATGCCACCTTTGAATCCTGGATATTCAACTAAGCTCAAGAACAAGTGTATCTTAGAATATGCTTATCCAGAAGGTACATATTGGAAATCCAAAGAATAAAAATTCTAACGAAATAAATCTGACGAGATTTTTGGATAAATAAATTTATAAAGAATTCATATAAATTATAGTAATACTAATAATAAATTCATATAAATTAGTTTTTAATATTTTGGTAAAAATGTTCTGTATGTCTATATACATCTTGTAATTCGAATAAAATGTAAAACATATCTATAAAGTAACTTTATATAAAAATAAAACTGTAAACATTATTATCCATCATATAAAATATACTTATATAAGAATAAAATATTATTTTAACAAATCAACAATAAATTCATAACAGATTTTAAAATAATAATTTTTATACCTGCAATTGGAGAGAAATGCTCCAATTGTGTAATTGTGCGAAATTTTCATATTGCTGCCACGAAGAAAAATGACAGATAATTATATTCCATATTTATAATTTACAATTTTCTAAGTAAGATTTTATATAGTCAGTCTGTAAAATAAAGTGATAATAGCAATTTGTTTATAATACTTGTGTACATATGTATATGTGTGATAAATTTTCATACTTACGCTCACAAACCAATAAGAATTGGGTTTAAACATCATTTTTCTCATAAAATGCATTTTCTCTATTGGAGAAATAACATGTAGATGTAAATGATGAACTGTATTAAACGGTGGCCAATGAAATCCTGTTCGTGTAGACGCAGGATTAAGATCCAACTTTTCCGAAATAATGTCTACTGTAGCAACAATCTTATCAACTGAAATTCCAATATAATTAAAATAATTTTATAATCATTTCATCTAACAATCAATTTTCAAATTGCCTTACAATATATACAATTTTTATAAAGAAACAAGATAGAAAAAAATGTAATTTTTTAAATATCTATTAGAATCCACTTAAAAATAACCATTAGAAAAAATTAATAAGTGATATGTTAATTATTATCGTGATAACAAATATAAATGTTTTACTATAAATTAAATATTAAAAGATATGTATATTATGTAATCTATATATAATACTTACAAATCTCAGAGTCTTCAGGTGTAAGTGTTTTTGCACTGCGTATATGCTTTTTTGGTAATATTAAATAATGATGTGTTGATGCTGGATTGATGTCTTTAATACATATCACGTCATCATCCTATAGCAATAAAAAATCACAGAGAAATGTTATAACCAAATGAAGTGACATAAAGAGATGTATCATGTAAAATATATAGAAAATGTAGAAGCGTTCATATTTTTATTTTTACGAAACAAGAATATCTATGACCATCAAATCAAATTTAAATCTGTTTTATTTGACATTTCAAGAGCTCTTTTTATCTCGCTGTCAAAAATATACATTAAAGATTTTAGGTTAGCCATTTGTACATACTTCGTAAATCTTTTCACCTGGCTCTTCATTCCTAATAATTTTACAGAAAATACAATTAGCCTCCTCGGCCATCGAAATTGTGCTAAATAATTAATGATGCATGTAATATTGTTCACTTTGAGAAAACAAGTGTAAATTACTAAAACTTTTCCCCACTTCTACATGTCCACACAGGTGACTAAGCGAATTACAGGGTATATATATATATATATATATGTCTATGGTCGGTAATGTAGTTTCCTAGCTGTAACATTCCTATTAAGTTAGGCCCGAGTTAAAACCTCATCTTTGTCTAATAGTTTAATATATTCCCCTAATGCACACTTCTTTGCATTATATATTTTTAACCCAGCGAGAAATGATGGCCGAATTGATGTCGATTCGTCATCAAATCGATAGCAAATTGGTCGAATTCAATTCGAATAATTTCGCAGAGTCAATAAAAGCGCGTTATATTATTGTCAGTCAAATTTTGACACTACTCGGGCAATAAAGATACGTATCCCTATAAGCACATGATATTATTTAATATTCTTAGAATATTAAATATTCTAAAAATATGCCTAGAATATTGCTTAAATATTAAATAATATCATGCGCTTATATAGGGATATAAAATAGATCTCATATATATTACCTGCTTATATAATACATTATCTTGCCCTTAACTCATCTTTGTCCTTTAACGCTCTTATCTATTTATAAATATTAAATATATAAAATATAAAATATATGTGACATTTTTATATATCTATATTTATACAGTTTTAAGATAACACTGAGGACATTTGCTCATCAGTCACTTTTTATCAACTTTATAAAATTAACAAGTCCATAATTTAGGAAAATGATAGATGCAAAAATCATCGATTTCGACGTTCAAGATATAAGATTTCCAACGTCATTAAAGGGCGATGGAAGTGATGCAATGGTATACATTATTAAATAATTATAAGTAATTAATATAATGACACACTTTTGTTACTGTACAGTATATTAAAAAAATATATACGCTAAGTATATATATAAGTATACAATATTTATATGCTTTTAAAGGTATTTTTTAATTTTCTTAATAGTATAAACTTTTTAATTTGTGAAAATATTAAATCTTTATTTAGAAAATATTGTTAACAATAATATATTTGAATTGACTATTAATTTTGTTTATAACATTAGTATACCAAGGTTGATCATTCTTGCGTGTACGTAACGATCAAAACTGACAAAGAATATGAAGGATATGGCATTACATGTTCTATGGGAAGAGGAAATGAATTGAGTATGTATATACTTATATATTAATGATTAATGATAAAAAAATAAGTAAATTTTTTCTTTATTATTATTATTTTTTATAGTATTGCAAACGTGTAAGCTATTGTTCGAACTTATAAAAAATCAGACAACGATAGAGATTTATTCTAACTTTGCGTCTGTTTGGAGAAAATTAACGAGCGACGCGGAATTTAGATGGGTATAATGAATGACGTTAAATACGTAATAATTGAAATACGATGATTTTGAGCAAATAATTCGGATATCTTTCAGATTGGACCGGAATGTGGTGTAATACATCTAGCTACAGCGGCTATTGTAAACGCATTATGGGATTTATGGGCACGTATCGAAAACAAACCTGTCTGGAAGCTTCTTGTAGATATGACACCTGAACAGCTCGTCTCCACTGTCGATTTTAGATATATGTAAGCCAAAATTTTAATTAATCAAAATATAGACATTTATGTATCTCGATAGAAAAAGTTTATAATATACAGAGGGTGTTTGATATAAAGTGTCACAACGAAAATATACAAGTAGATTTTGTTAATTGGAAACAATATTTTTCCTCAGCAAAAATATTGAAACATCATTGTAATAATTTTCGAAAGGATTTTTCACAAACTATAATCCTTGTGCGAATAAAATATTAACAAAACCACATTCTTCAATTAATTTTAAGTAGAATTTACTTTGATAAAATTTTAATTTAAGATTTAGTTATAAAGATACATGATGGCAAAAATTGGGAACATACAAAAAATGATGGCCCTCGATATTTTTGATGAGAAAAAATCGTCCTCAAATAACGAGATCTACTTGTATATATTTTCGGTGTGATACTTTATGTCAGACATCCTGTATATTTTTCTATGCAGTAAAAATATATTGAGTGAGGAAGAAGCGATACAAATGCTGAAGGAGAACGAGTCAAAGAAAAAATTACAGGAGGAATTGTTAAGAAAATGCGGCTATCCCGCATCTACATCTGATATTGGATGGGTGGGTTACTCCTATCAGAAGACGAGAGGTCTTGCCAAAAAATTTGTGAAGCTTAATTTCAATACATTCAAAGTAAATGTGGATAATAAGATAAAAAATAGCGTGAAAAGGTGTAGAGCCGTTCGCGATGTAGCAGGCTGGAAAAATAAACGATTAATTCTGGATGCGAGTCAAGCTTGGGATGTGCTCGAAGTGGCTGATAATATACAACATTTCAAACACTTTAAACTATTTTGTATAGAAGATGTGATGGCCCCGGACGATTTTGTGGGAGTTACTTTCATGAAATTTGATAAGGAACTTTTTCCATGTTCTATCGGCAAAATGTGCGCAAATCGTGTTATATATAAAGGATTCCATAAACTTAAGGCATTTACCTTTTGGCAACTTAACGTGGCGAGGCTTGGCGGAGTTAATGAAGCCTTAGCTGTATATTTCATGGCAAAGAAAAAGAATGGCAAGTATAATAATTAATAATAATATTAACAGTAAAATTTTATAATTTTTAAATATATATATAAAATAAATTTTTTTACTTATATATAGTATCTATCTGGGGATACGCCAATGGAGTGGGTTTAGGCGAGATGATTCAACATCTTCAAATGTGGGATTTTGTTTGCTTGAACCAGACCACTGAAAATCGTATGATAGAATTTGTGAATCGTAATCATGGATATTTCAAAAATCCTGTACACATTCAAAACGCTTGTTATATGCCGCCTAAAGATTCTGGTTTTTCAACTAAGCTTAAAGACAAATTTATTGTAAGATGGTCTTATCCAGATGGTACACGATGGAAATACTTATTTATTACAAAACATTTCAAGAATGAAAATGAAGATAATTAAAATTGGATTTGGCTTTAAAAGGGAAATAATATAGAATATGTAACTTTTACATTAAAAATTAAAATTTTTTTAAATTTATGTTGTATCTGTTCTTGAAATGAGTATTATTTTTCTTAATTAAATAAATTATAAACTGCATTTATATATATAATATACAAAAATAAAATTGCATGAGATATTTCATTTTTTACTTAAAATAAATATAATTTAGTGATAAACTTATATATTTTTACTTCTGTAATCATTAAATATTGTTTATTGACGAATAATATAAGGAAAGATAAATATAAGGAAAAAGTATTAGATACTCATATTATAAAATATTATACACACATCTTTGATTGCATTACTTTTTAATTTAAAATATATATAAACTGTACATATATATATATATATATTTATATAAGTAGCATATATCTATATGTATACTTTTATGTAATATAATAAGTGTGAGCATGATAAATTAATGTGTGTAACATATTTATACAAGTGGCAGTTGAGCTGAGAGGGAATCTTAAATTTTTCTAAGAAACCGCGAGAAAAGCTGTATCTACGTCACATAAAAATATTTATCGCTTTTCCATTTGATGGAAATTTTTTTTTCTTAAAACAATGTTTTTTTTTTTTAGTAATAAAATACAAAACTTAAATAAAAATCAATAAAGATCCTACTCATTATCAGTCTATTACGCGGAATATAACAGTTCAAATGATTAGCGCACGTAAGTTATTATCAAAATACTATCAAATTAGAGCACCCAACAATCGTAAGCTTTTTTTAATTTGAAAGTATTGATTAAAAAAATATGCAATGGATACAAACAAAACATTGCTTGCAAATTTTATGCAAAAACAAAACATTAAGATATAAAATCATATTTTTTAAATAGCGCAGTAAATTTTATGCTGTTATCGCCTTATTTTATTCATTCGTACATGTAAATAACGCCACTTTTCGTCATTATGTAAATTTTTGTGGATAGCACTAAAATTATATGTATACATTCTCTCCTCTATCGACACATGCTCATTAATGTATCCTTATGTAAAATCATTATGCAAAAAAATCTTCAATCCGAGAATCAAGAATAAGAGATAACTCAGTATTGTTGTCTTGCAAAGATATAGGCTCGAGTCTCGAAAGCATCTTCACGATTGCCGTTGCTATAAATTCTATAATGATTTAATCACAACATGACAAGTAGACAAACAATGTTACTTATCTCTTGCGACATGATTTCAATCAACAGGATACTGTTGCCCGTCAATATCTATTCTCATTCATCATCTCTCATCATCAACTAACTTAGGTACTAAAAGTAGTTTTTGTTGGGGAGCGATATTCCGCGTCTCTCTGTACAGTATGTTTCTCTTTATAAATAATTCTTATTACAGCGTAACCTAAGTTTTCTCTTGTTCCATCGTAAAAATCATACAATGTACATAATGCTCGCTTACGGCGATCCGCCTTTAATACTGCGGGTAAATCTTGCCCTCTGCTATTATAACGTGTGTTTTTATAATGGCAATTCTCCGATCGATCTTTAATCTCTTTATAGAATTTCTTCCTTCGCGTGTTTGTTAAAGAATTTGAGGAGCTGCAGCGACGAATCGAAAAGTTCGGAACTTAAGCTAACTTAATACTCTAGTAAAGAGGTAAGTTTCAGCTGCCCGGATAAGGCATTTGATCTGGAAGGGCGGACGAGTGATTCTGATTGGGACTTTGATGAAAGTGTGGACTGCTACCATCCTGCGAGATGTCGCCAACGACGGGTTCTTCGTATTTCCCTCTTTTAAAACGCCCGTACAATGACGAATACGGCAGATTGTAGTGGATCGCTGCTTGATTGATGCTCATGTGTCCTAATCTGAAATCGCGAATTCAGAAACAATATTTGTAATGCGATCATTTTCATATATCGGAATCAAATTTGCATTAGAAATTTATTATACAGCCACGATAGATTCATTTACTATTATATTGATTTCTTTTAACAGGGTGTCTACTCAAATTTTGTAAAAAAAAAATAAAAACGTAGATATTTGAGAATTGCCAGACAGAATTTAAAAAAGTAAAACTCTTCTCTCGACCGTACTGGTAAATATTATTTATTAAATCACAACATTTCGACCCTTCTTTGAGTCCTAATTTATTTTATAATATAATTATAATTTTATTTTTATTTTCACAAATCACTTGATTAGGACTCAAAGAAGGGTCGAAACGTTGTGATTTAATAAATAATATTTGCCAGTACGGTCGAGAGAAGAGTTTTACTTTTGTAAAAAAAATTTTCTGAGAATTTTATTGTATATATTAAATACGGAGTACTAAAATTTAGTTTAATAAATGTCTATTTAAAAAATTGAAATTTACATAAAATTTGAATATTAAAATAGATCGTTAATAAAAAAATCACAAAACTTTAACAAAAACAAATATTGCAAATATATGTTAGACATGTGTTTTTAAGTGCTAAATAAGAGTAAAATGATGAGAAAGGTAATTTTTCTAAAAAAATTCCCTGAATCTTAATTAAATTCCATGAGAATTCCCTGATTTTTCAAGGTAAAACAAAATTTCCTAAGCATATCAGGTTTTCAAGATTTTTCTCAAGCGTATATACTCTGTTTAAACATAAATAAACGTTACAATCAGAGAAACATTTCTAACCTGACAGCCTCGAGAGCTTCAGTCATAGCGTCCTCGCTCCATGGTGTGGGATTACTCCTGCTGAGTTCGATCCCTTCTCGCTTGCATCTTCCGTACAACGTCCCCGTAGGTATGCCGAATTCTGTCGATGCTCTCTGCACGGATGTTTGGCCGGATCTTATCGCTTCCAAAGCACGATCCAAATCAGCCGGTGTCCACGTCGTAGGACTTGCATTAAACGGGGCAGCCAGCCTGATGCCTTCTCTCCTTGCGATTTTATACAATGTGCTAGAAGGTATGCCAAACGCCTTGGATGCTTTATTAGCCGAAATGGTACCAGTACGTAAAGCTTCTAAAGCATTGTTCAAGCTTTCGTCGCTCCAGGACTTCGTGGGACCATCCTTCTTCGGCGTGTCGATGCCCAGTCGATGCGCTCGTTGCCACAAAGTCGTCGAAGGAATACCAAACGTTGCTAAAATGTTAATAACAAAATTTAATCAGTTCTTGATCTTAAGTAAGATGTTACTAACATTATAAATTAAATGTTTTATCTATAAACTTAATTCATAATTTTTTGATCCTATAAAATTATTACATGCAAATTACGCATCCTATGTTAATGCACTGGATCAATTTTTAAAAATTACAAATTAATTTATAATATAGATAAAAAAGCTTTTCAAAATTAAGAGTAAATAGATTTAGATGTCATTAAAGAAAAATCATACCCGATGCTTTTGTCAGACTCATATTATGATTCCTCAATGCATCTAGAGCCGCGTCCATATCCTCTTGCGTCCACGACTTCGAGCCATGATGATGCGAACTAGACTGTCCAGAGTGCCCCCTCGAATTGTTGTCGCCCGAGTCCGACTGGCCAGAACTTCCCGACGGCATCAATCCAAGCAGCTCCGGTGTTATCATCATCATGTTGTCGCTGTCGGCGGCGTTCTTCGAGCTCACGCTAGCCCGATCTGACATGTGGCTGTCTATGTCGATCGTATCCGAGGAGTCCATCGTGTGCAACGTCTCGAACTTGATCTTGATTTCGCTGTCGCAGTTCTGAATTTCTATAAACAAAGAAGGATGAACGTGATATACCATTGGCATCAGAGAAAAGCTAAACCTTAAGGGTTTATGAGTCGAGTGTATAACTTTCGCGACAAGTCTATCTACGTTGAGGTATTAGTGCGAAAGCGGAAAAGTTTTCCATGGTACCTGAGAATCGATCAGCGAGCGCTGTCGAAGGCAAAACTGGACGCGGAAGAACGCTAAATAAGGTTGCGTGGGCTGCTACCGAGCAATGCAAATCTAATCGCGACCAGTTAAGCATGATTAGGCCAATTATTTTGATTCTCTGTCCGCCTAATGACTGCTGCACTTTCAGCCCGGTAGTGTTTTATTTCGTACCGCACCCTCACGTCCGAGTGGCGAATGAAAATGTACGTAAGTGGTCGTATTGAATGAATCGAAAATAAATGGGATACTTCTATGACGCAGTAAAACAAAATCGGAGACGTAGATACAGTAGATATACTATTGAAATTGGATACATTTTGTCATTGAGGTATAAAATTTGTAAAAGTGAAGTGTGCTTTCTAGATTAAATACATTTATTACAAGGGAATTTGGAAATTGCGAAGATATATACATTTCTAATTAAAAAGACTATACGAATGTAATAAAATCGTAGAAAGAGAGGAAATTAGAATTTATAATTTTTATAACTTGGTGAAATTTTTACGAAAGAGCGTTGTACTTCGTTCAGATATATACATGGAGATTGTATTTTTTATTACAGTATTTGTACACTTAACAAAATTTTCTTTATAGTTAAAATATACATATCGTTTTCTTTCTTCAATTATTCTCTTTCGTGATATGTATCTAATTTATTTTTACTTGTCTTCGTAAACTCACTGGACCGTTTCTGTCCTAGTTCCTTATGTTGTTCATTAATAAAAAATAAAAATAGATCCAGGAAAAAATATTAAAATTCGATCAAGTTGTAAGTGAATCTGGTTTTCTCATCCTATATGATTGTGACCATCGTCGAGACTTGAACAATTGAAGAAGCAGTTGTATACCTGTAGAATGATGATCCGGATCTCTTAGATGGGTAATAGTGGTGCCGACCAAGGTGGCGCTGGGTGGAGTGGGTTGGGTTTCGGGGGGTAAATCGACCTCTCCGGGATCCGGATGGTGGCCATAGTGACCTAGCCCTGTGTGACAGAACATGTCACCTTTTTATTCGACGTGAAAAAGGTCTGTCCTCCTCGCTTCTGAAAATAATAACTCGCCCCACACCTGGCATCCTTCCGACATAATCACGGCGCAAGTTTTTTTTTTTTCAAATCTAGTCATAAGAGCTTTAGCTACAAAGCATAGCGCAATGTCTGAAAAACAATCATATTTTGTACTTTATAAATGTAATTTATTTCTGTACTGGAAATACGTCGAATGCAATAAAAGATTTTCCAGATAGCCGATAAAGTTAGCCGAATCGTGCGACTTACAGCTTACAGATGTTCTTTAATCGAACAAAGCTACTATTATTCATGAATTAAAAATCAAATTGCGTGCTAAATTAGCTCCGGCTTAATTAGCGCGGAATTTTATTTAAAAAAGTAGTTTGAGTTAATGAAATAAATTTTTACCTCTCTCACGAGAAATCTAAACCAGAAGAGAGAATAAACTCTTGCAGATACTCAAAGACCAGATGTGGGGCGAAGATCTCAACTAATAGACTTACCGTTATTGTTGTTACTCGCGCCGTTACCGTTGTTGTTGTTGTTGTTACGTTGGCAAGTTTCCAGTGCTACTGCTGCTGTTGCTGTCTCCGTGCACTCTTCATCTTCGGCCTGCCAATCCCGGTGGTTCTGCGGAATATCCGGTACGAATTTAGCGTCGACCCTGACGAGAGAGAGATCAAACTGCCCGCCGGTACGGGACAGCCATCGCGCGTTTTGTAGATTTTCCTTATTTCATCTTTCTCAACGCGTTACAAGCGATAAATTCGCCCCGTTACTGCTAAAGTTAAATTTGGATAACGTACATATATATCTATATAACTAATTTTGATCCCCGTGATATAGGATATTGCATCATAGTAAATCTTGGAACGGATATTTCGGAGGAATTTTTTCATCTCTTCATTTTTTTTCTATACACGGAGAAAATTTTCTCGTAGAATTTACCTTGAAAATCGTCGTAAGAAAATCGTCGCGAGAAAATATGGTATTAAAATAATTTTATAAGAGTTTCTCTGATTAATATTTAGCACAACAAAAATATTAATATGTACATAATAAAATTGATCGAGCATATTTTTATATCTTATTGTGGTAAATATTAATCTTATTCTTAAAATTCTAAAAGAAAATTCTCTCTGTGTAAGAATAATCTACTTATATTTATTACATTTTTACTAGACTCTCTCCCTATAAAGTTTTATTGAGAATTAAATATTGAACTATCTTTACTATATATATATATATTTTATATTATATATCAATAACTCTAACATCGAGAATTAATATAACATCTGATCAAATTTTATATACATAAACATTTTTATAGTCCTTTCCCTTTTCTTCTCTATTATTTATGTATTATATTACATATATACTTACAGACGAAAATTATAGAAATGCGAATGAAATACTTATTTTGATATTTTATGAAACATAAGTTTAAGGATGTATAAGAGATGCAATCGAAGACAAAAGTATCAACGCTATTCATAGAAAACCGCTATAGTTTAATATCCTAACTTTTAGCTGTTTTAGCGTTGGCACAACCGAATGCTCAGAAGTAACAAATTTTCACAAGATATTATATGTAAAACTAGCAGAAATTTATATTGCAATAACTTTTAAATAATTTAATGAATTAAAAGCCAAATGTTAACAGTAAGCTTTATAGTGTCAAGATAGAAACAATCTATCTAATAATTTTTCTAAATGTACCATTTTTAGATGTCTTCCATACACCCTTAAATTAAATTTTGACAATCGACCGTCACGTACATATATAATTCAGCTCACAGTCCTCTAATTATCTCGTTCAGATCGGCAAGCCTACCTCTTTGTTATCGCGGCTATAATCGTTGATTGTAATCGCCTCTTCCTCTTTGTAGCGCTCGTAGTGTCTCGGATCGGTTGCGCGCGGCTCGAACGTGGGCCGCTCGGTTCTGGGTCGCTTGTACCGTTGATGGTGCTTCTTCAGCTTCGTGTAGTTCAACCTTGGGGTGCCGGACTCCCTCGGCGGCGAGCTCAGGCTCACGGGTGGTGGACCGTCCCTGTTCTCCGTCTCGCACAGGCCCTTGATCTTCAGCTGGTCGGCCGTCTTCAAAAGCGACTGCGGAAAAAAACAAGTTTTAACTTTAACAAACCGACGCATTATATATTCCATTTTATACAAGCGCACTTAATTAAAGAAACCCATGATCCCTAAAAATCTCTCATTCTTATCCTTCACAATATACACTATAAAAATCATTTTTCTAAATATTCAATTTCTTCAAATATTTAATATACTTATCGCACAAATGATATTATAAATATTTATATAATAAATTATCATTGAGTCTGTATGAGAGTATATCGCTATACGTGGATAAAAGCGCACTTATTGTTACATCATCCTTATCCTTCACAATATCCGCTATTAAAATATTCGTATAAATATTTAATTTCTTTTCTAGTATTCGATATAAGATATACTTATAAACTCGTCGAAATTATGTTATAAATATTTATACATATAATAAATTATCACTGAGTCTTAAGAGTTGACTTAACAAGATATCGCTATACGTGGATAAAGCTACGCATACGTCGAAATTAGTTCGTCGCGAGCGAGTGATTAATTCATTAATTATCGCGATCGGATAATCGGATCGGCCGGAAACGCGTGCGGAGAGGTCCTGTTCGAGGGATCAAGGCGCCGGCGCGGAATAGAAAAATACTCATTTCGGTAAACCGCTTTGCGAAGGACCACGCGGCGGGTCCGGTGCGATTGAATTTGCATATTTCTCGCGCGAGCTCGTCGCGGCATCTCGTTCCGCCCGGCGGCGATGCAATTTCATCTCGACGAGGAAGGAAGGAAGCATTGTCCACCCACGAATCCGCGTCGCTCCTGAAAATCATCGCCGGCGAGGATCCTTCGACTTTGCGCGCGGTTTCTTTTATTATATTAATGATGGAATTCGCGAAACTGTTATATCGAGGAAACACGTGTTCTCTTTCAGATTTCATCGAGCTTGCTCATTATGTAAAAGAAATAAATATTTCCATAGATTTGATAGAATCTCGAGAATTTATTCGCGGAGAATTTTCTTTGAAAATTTACTCTCATTGAACAAAATGATTAAATTAATAAATATTTATTTCAATACTCTGCCGAATAAATCATTTATTTGAAACAAGTAAATATTTATCTGTTTTGAAAAAAAATTGTATCAAATAAATATTTTTTCAATACGAACAGTTAATTTATCGACCAAAACTGGCTTATTTTATTACGTGAAAATATTACAACGTTTCGATCACTGCTTGTTTCAAGTAAACTGAAAAATACATTGTTAAATTGAATTAAAGGAACGCAAATGAAACTTAGTATATAAAACATAAAAACATAAATTCTAATTCACATCAAAGCAGGCGAATCGATGGTAATCGCTCACGTCTCACATTATTCTGTGAAGCGTCTGTATTCAAACGGTTTATAACGACATAGCGATAATAAAAGGGCAAAAAGACCAAAAAAAGTCAGGCGAATAAACAAACGCAAAAACACCAACCTAAAGTGCAAGCAAACTATCATATACAGAATTTAAGCGCTCTGTGTCTTTTTGTAAATTAATCGTATTTTTCGTTTACTTTATGCAAAATCATGGTCCAGTCGAAAATATTTTTTCATATCAAATCGATATATTATTAGTTTCAAATAAATGATTTATCAGGTAATATTGAAATAAATATTTATTCAAATTCAATACATTTTTTAGTGCTGAAAATCATGGTAATCGTATAGGATAATATGGTATTGAAACAATTTTATAAAAGTTTCTTTGATTAATATTTACAACACAATAAAAATATTAATATTTATCAATAAAATATAAAATATGAAATGTTTTTATCGTGGTAAATATTAATCAGAAAAACTCTCATATAAAATTCTTCCATGTAATACTATCCCATGATTATACCATAATTTTCAGGGTAAATTCCAAGAGAAAATTCTCCCCGTGCAATTGACTGGATATATATTCGATATTAAATATTATTGTAAATTATAACGAAGAGAGAAATATTTCTCAAAAACCTGATGACATTAATTGTCGTGTTCAGATCTAATTCGCGATTAATTTTCTCAAAATTTCAAAGATACAATTTTATTGAATAAATCGCTAATAATAAGAAACAGTTTTCAACCAAATAAAAAAAAAAAAAAAAAAAAAAAAACTCGTAAGGATTCCTATGAGAAATTCAGGATGCTTATCCTCGTGAGGTAACCTTGAAATCCCAGCGCTTGACGGAAGAGGAGGAAAGTTAAGAGACGAATGAACCGAAAGGGAGCGAGAAGTAAGGTCACGAAGGGTAGGAGGATGATGGACGTCACCTCCGCGTGGCAGAGCCCGTCATCGGAGTCGCGTGGCTTCTCTCCACGTGGTCAGTACTCGTACGAAGGCTCGGAGGAACTTTATACGGACGACGAGGAAAAGCGCGAGAAGAAGACGAGCGACGATACGAGCGAAACGATACAAGCGACGAAGAGGGAAACCGAAGGGAGAGAGAGAGAGGAACTAATGGCAGCGACCCTCTCTCTGTTCTTTAATCAAGCCGGGGGTGGCACGATTAGGCGGGGTCTGCGCGCTTGCCGGCGGCGTGAGAGCGGCACCGTGGAGAAGGGAGAGAAAAGGGATGGAAGGAGAAAGAGAAGACCGAGGGACAGAGGTAGATATAGGTTGCACCGAGGGGTTGTCGGTAGCGACTGGAACGCGTTGCGTGGGTGGCGAACAGTGGGGAGAGATCCGACTGCGGATGGATTGAGAGAGTGTGTGACAAGAAGAGAGGGAAGAGAGAGAGAGAGAGCGAAAAATTCAGAGAAAATAAGAGAGGGAAGGAAGAAAGGAGGGGAGTCGACGAGAGGGTGAAACACGGCGGAGGCAAAAACGCCTGCAGGAAGAATGGGGAGGCCTCCGACGCGGCCCGTATCGACCACCCCCAACCCTCGACACGCATACACCCACACGTATATACTCTCTCGGTGTTCGCGACGGTATCGACACCAATGACTTCCAAGCGTTTCCACACGCGTACACGTCCGCCTGTCTCGCTCGCGCCTTCAGCCCGCTCGTTACGAGACCGGAGGTGTGCACGGCCGCCCCAAAACGTCCGCGGATCTTCGATCTCGCCGACGAGGGAGTTTGATGGCGGGGTACGCGATAATCGAGCGTCTCCGTCAGGACGACGCGTCGACGAGCGGCTCTCATCCTGGCCTCCTGGAGTGGGATCGCATCAGCGGCTCGGAAATGCGCGCACATTTAGGACCTTCGTATACACCGTCGTCCTTCTTATACGATGATTGCGCGGAAATAAAAGAGAACGTCTTCGTTCGCATCTCTTTCTTTCGTTCATTAAATGTAGGATAGTCGCGATGCATTTATTTATTGCATTTAAAATCTTGGCCGTGACCAAGTAAAATTTAATTCTGACGAAAAAAATTTCGTTTCGTTGGGATAACGCACTGTCATCCGCGATTTGGCTCTTTTTATTGCCTGTCTTACGCTTGAAATTTATATTTATATTACGGAGCCTTGTTAAACTCTTCATTTATTTATTATTGATAATCCTTGCCTTAGGACCAACTTATTTCGGTATTTATAAATGAACATATTTATATATTTTTTTAAACACACGCAAAATACTGGACTTTATATAACGCATTGAAACTGAAAGCAACGCGAAAGACTGAATTAACATAAAATCGAAGTAGAATATAATAAAGTACAAATTATTCATGTAAGTAAATATCGTATAAGTAAATCCGGATGAATTCTTGTTTCTTCGAAAAGAAAAAGTTTGCGCCTAAAATAATATTTCTTCCGGTAATATATTTTGCAACTTAATGTCGACGATTAATTAGAAAATTAACATAAAATGTAGATATTTGAAATTTAAATTTGATATTGGAAAGAAGTATGCTCCAGTAATTTATTTATTTATATTCCCGAGTTTTCAGGAAAAAAAAACCTTATTGAATAAAGTCAGTTATGCGAAAGCGATTTTTCCAATGTTACAATTGCAATTGAAGGACACTTAATATGCATGACGTTAATAATTTTGTATATATTGACTGTTTTACAACAATTCGGTTAATGTTGGCTCGAGCGGTTTGCAATTGGGGCAAAATTGTTAAGTATCATATTTTATCACGCGCCACAATTTTAATGGACTTCTAACAAAATACGAATTGTTGTGGTAATTTTTATCTTTTACGGTTTTACCAATGTATAATCAATTAATACAGCTTAATATAATCGTATCACAATAAAGACGTGTTAATGTGTAATATTTACATATATAAATGCTTGTTTTGCACTTATCACATACACAAATATTATTATTTTCACATTCTTCCCGTATATTTCAAGTCGAAAATTATGCAAATTTGGTTATATAATTATGTGATTAAACATAAAAAAAATTGATGCTTGAAAAATGCACAAAAAGTGATTAGATGTTAGCTTATGTGCAAATAAGAAAGTAACTTTAAAAATCATATTATATTTATATTCAATTAATTAAAACATAAACTTTTGCGCCAAGTTAAAATGAAGAAAGCGTCAAAACAATCTTACATAATGATCATTTAATGCTACACATTTCATCGCGAGAAAAAATTTCGAAAAAAATTGCCTTGAAATTAATAGAAATATTAATATTGGATATTAAAAAAAAAAAAAAAAAAAAAAAAAAGTAGATGTCGCGAAATTGTGAACGCGCGCGAAGAACGATCAATGTTCTCGCGAGACAGACGCGTTATATACGGTAGGTAAATCAAATTCGGCGGAGACTTCGAAGCGCACAAAGAGCCGCCGGGAAGGGTGAGAGCAACTCGTCCATTGCAATGAAATTACCGCGCAATGAGCCGCATCTTCGTGTATCCGAACAAAACGACATTCGATTCTCGGCGGAATTCGCCGCTCTCGAGAGGATGCTGGAAGGACCAAGTGGGAGGTAGGCTCGGATTGCGCTAGCGGAAAATGGCGTTTCGTAGTTCAATTAAATAAATAAAGGGCGGAAAAACCTTTGCCGACACGCGGTGCGACTAACGGCGACGGCACTTGG